TGGCAGGGCTCATCCCAGTCTCTCTGGGTACATCCATGCACCAGTTCAGCATGAAAAGATCCATCCAATCCTTTTGGCAGAGAATTCCCAATGCACATCACCCCATTTGAACCCCGTTATTGCATGCAGTAAAAACTGATTCAAGATCTGCAGAACCTCTAATCTGGTTTATGGATGACATCTGTACTGTATAAAGTCACCCTTATCATCTCTTGCCTTGAGGGAAATTTTCAACATCCCCTTGCCTCAATGACAGAGCGGCAAAGTCAAGATTAAAAATTCAATGACACCGATGTATTCCTTCTATTCCCTGAACGCGCCATCCATTCTTCCAGTTTAGAATTTTTCCACTTTTCCACAGATGCTGCCAATTCAATAAAATGATGTGGTGTCATAAAGAGTTCTGCTTTGAAGGCAAATGCTACTCACTCACAGCTTGATATGACTGCCTCACTTCTCCAGCGATCATACCTACATCTGTGTTATATTTGTGGGATGACCCATCAACTCATTCTATTTACTATGCCAAACACCACTCGTAATCCCACACAGGGTGAAAAAACAAAGATCTGAAATGTGAGGCACGCTTGAAAAGAATTTTCCATGTGGTTTATGAGAAAAGGTTATTTGCACTTTGTGTTTTGAGAACCTCATTACACTTTCCAAAGTATCTTGTCCCCCACCGCACCAACAGTGACATACCCGCCCCACAGAAACACAACCTATCATAATTTCTGGATCTGTAATGGGCCTGTGAGCCCTTGATCCTCCAGGATGAGACGCTTGCAAAACCTCTTTGCCGTTATACTCCTTCCCAGGGCTTGTCTGAAATGCACAACGTGAAATGATTGATTTTCACCTTTCTAAATAGGTCAGGTGCTCGCTCGGCTGTCTGCTAGGGAACGTCAACCTGAATGCCTACAGCAATCCCAGCTTCTTTGCATAAAAAAAGGACTGAAAAACAAACGTAAAACAATCTAAGAGGGGGAAAAAAACCTTCCTGCTATTTTCAATAGACAATAACGTTCAAGAACAAATGCTTAAACATTAGGGGGGGGGAATCTCAGCCTGGCGACTATAAAAACAATAACCTCCTGTGCTTCTAATGGCTTTAGCTATCTAAAGTGAGGGAAAAGCAGTCCTAAGTTCATGGCAGGGATCTGTCTTTCATGTATCACTTGATCTCTTGAGTTAGCATTACTGTGTGAAGTGGCTGCCCTTTGGCTCCGGGGAACTGATTGGGCCAGACAGTCCCACCAGCTCTGCAAAAGCTATTCCCAGTGTTGCTTCGCCAGTAGCCCCCCTGCACCCAGCGGCGCGGTGTGAGCCGCTGCATGCACCGCCGGCCGTCACAGAGCGCAGACCTGCAAGTGACATCCGAAGGATTAAACTGATTGAGATGCAATTCGCCTAGCAACCACTCATTAGGCAGGGTTCAGAAACAGGCCAGCAATGCTTCTGTCTCCTTATCTCGTGCCACAAACAGATAACAGTCTCTGCCATGTCCTGTGCCACCTTCCTCTCAGGCTCAAAAATATAAACAGCTTCCTCAAAAGGTTCAGAGGACACCACCCCCACCACTTAGACTGCAAACAAACACAGAAGAACATCACGTTTACTGGACCGTGCAGGAGATAGGGGCACATTCATGTCTGTCTGAGCCAATCTAGTTTCACTTCCTAGAAAGGGAAATACCACAGGAATCACAAAACATTTCAGCCATGTTGAGCCCTGGCCTGGAGAGGCACAGAATCAAAAGCCTTTGGTCCCCCACAGTGTGGGTCGGCATTTATTGTTCCATTATCTCTGAATCAAGTAAAATACCTTGTGCTTGGTTTTCCTTTATTGGATTGCAGAGGGGAAATAAAACTGCTCATGAAGCTTGGTGCCGCTCAGGCGCCTGCTGTCTAAGGTTTTTTATTTTAATTTTGGTTGTTTTAGTTGTTTTCGCCCCCTTCCCACTCTGTATGTCAGTGATGGGACAGGGAGAGTACACTCTTGACAGGACGAGTCAGCACAGGGACATTTGTACAGATGGGAGGGGAGTTTCAGCCATTCGTCCACGGATCCCACAATCCAGGTGCAGACAAAACACCCACTCTGGGTACTTCTGCACGGCATCTATTCACACTGAACTGAGGGACTAAATGCAAATGATACATGCACACCTGAGAATTGACCTGATTATGTGAGCTTGCACTATTCGGGGCTTGACAGTCATGTCTAGATTGCTCGCTCCTCCTCAAGAACTCTCATGATAGCAGTTCATCCCTACATCTATACTGCCTCCAGTCTATTGAAGTTTACCTGCTGATTTTGCAATGCAAACACTGTCTCAGGAACACTGAACAATGGACCAAGATCAATGGGGCACTGAAATTACGCAAAGCTTCCAAAACACTTTATGGTGAAAGCACTATACTTATTTGCCGACTAAGTGCTTTGCAATTTCTAAGCAGAGGTTAAAATAATAAAACAATGACTGTCAAGTGCCTGTTTATAACCTAGCAAAGCACAGCCCGTTTTAATTACATCTATTTTTACAACTAACAAATTACTGTGTTCTCCTGGCTGACGAGAAAAAGAGGGTTGTGCAATTATGAAATGTGCTTTTTCCAATTAGTACATGGGAACATTCGATGCCACTGTTCTCCTGAAGTACGAATAAAGTTTTTTTCCAGATCCACATGTCAGCTGCCACATTAATGCGGTCTGGAATGTATCACTTACAGGGTATTAGAAGACAAACTGAGGAAAGCCTTTTGGCTTTCAAGAGCCCATTCTGAACCATTCCCATGGCCTTGTTTGGCAGGAAATCATTTCCATTTCAATGAGTCAACTATTGAAAACGGCCTGGGATAATTCGAAAATCTGTTCTTTTTCTCAGGTTAGTGTGAAATGGGTCCAAAGTTATTTTCTATTAACTCTGAGGCCCCCTGAAAACAAAACCGAGATCCTGTTACTTAATCCAGTGTTTGTTTTGCAATTTATAGGAGATCCTGGACACACCGTGCTGTCATTTGACCTACCACTCAAAACCCTGAAATACCAAACTACAGTGACGGCCCAGACTCTGAGGCTAAAGAAGCAACCCGTTAATCCAGCACATAATTATCTCAGACTTGGTGTGCTAGACAAAATTTAGAAAACCAACTAAATATTGCAGAATAGTTTGTTATTTCTGTAAGGATACTGGTATTAGCTTCCTTGCAAAATGTTTGAAATGTCTGAGGCCCTAGCTTGAAAAACAAGTTAATATTATGATACCATCCTAGCACAAGGGTATTGATTCTGCCACACGATTGCCAGTTAGTCACAATGACCTTCTGATACACCATTAGCACACATAACCAGACAATCCCTTTAATTAATATTTACTGAAGTACTGTGCAAGCCTAGAGTGGTTTGCAAAAAAATAATGACAAACAATCCTTATTATGCTTTTTTTTGTCCAAAGTGATTAGACATGCCAAGGTCCGGATAATCAATTAAAGATAAACTGCTTTCAAAAACTCAGTTACAATAGCCCTATAGATAGCACAGCAATCTAATTAGCCCATACATTACCAGGTCACGGAGTCTGATGGTGATTTGTGCTCGAGGACAAAAATTAAGCACAAAACACTGGGTAACACCTTTTCTAAGCATTAAATCCCTTCTCTCCCCTGCAACACAAAGCTCTTCCCTTTAACCCAATTTTACTTATAAGCATTTTCAAAACGAGGGGGGAAAGGTTTGATAGGGCTCATCAAAACGTTTGGGCGAAGCATCACCACAATTCAATTTATCTATTAAAAGACAGATACCAACTTAGGAAAATGTAATTATGTGACAATTTAGACTAAACTGGCGTTCATTGATGCAACTTAATATTCCATTTGGCAAGCTCGTCGCGGGTAAGGATTCATTCACAGCAACAAAAGTAATAAATTCTTGAATAATCCCCCCCTAAAGGTTAGCACACAATAGCGTTTCTCTTTTTCCTGTACCCTTCAGAACGAGAACCACTTCATGGGTTTGTGCATGTGAAAGGAAACATTATACCCCTACGGCGGAATGAACCCTCACAAAGCTCGATAATTGTATTGAGAATAGAAACCGGAGTTTCTCGGGGAACAAGTGTTGAAATTTAATTATCCGCCCTTTCGCAAAACGCAGTGCACGCCAAAGAACAGTGACTGCGCAGTGTGCAAATCATGAAGTCAGCACAAAATGAAAACCGCCGGTTATTGACCATTTCGGCAGCAGACAAGCCGGGACAGCAGGGAGAACAGATCCCCTGTCGGAAAACGACATGTCTCCGCTACTTTACGTAGCGAGGCCTGCGTCGCAGAATAACGTCTTGGTCCTTAGGCTTTTAAAACGTGGTGAAACAGCTTCGCACCTCAAAAGGCACACAGATCGCTCGACCTGAGGGGGGAAAAAGAGTTTGCTCCCAAGCTCATATCCCGCTCCAAATTGCAGCTGCACACCATAGCTAGTGATCTTCAGGCATAACTGAAAACGTGTTAAAAAGTTACTATTCTGTTGCTCAAGAAACATTACTCTCTTCTCCATCTAAGGCAGTGCAGCTCTAAATCATACTACCTAACATACTGACAGGCAGACAGCTTGCAAAGACGACCTACAAATCAATACACTGTTACACTGCTCTAGAACGGGCTAGAAATATAATACAGTGCAGTTAAGTTTAATGGCCCACTTTAAGTACAATTTTTAATTATTCTAGCAACTAGGATTTCAAGTCACCGTGAGTTTTCAGACTAATCGGTTAAAATACCCTGTTCCGCAAGCTACAATCCCCATGTTTCATAGCCTTGAATGTACCAGATCTGTACACACAATAACACATTCAGCCAAAGACATACTTTTAATTGCTATCCATGCAGGAGACCTAGTGTAGGACAACGAGAAGGTATCACTGCTTAACTTTCACAGCCTACGAACGGAATACAGCCCAAGAGTAGCAGCAAATTACCAAAAAAAATAATAATCCTTACCCCTTCCGTCTCCTTTTCGGGGGCTGGGGTGATATTCTTAGTATTTCGATTCGGCATCAACTAAATCCGGTAGCGAGATGCATTGTTTCAAAATAGGCGAGTGGTCATAAGCGATAAAAATCCGCTCCCCCAGAACTACAGCCACCTAAACCAGATCTATCTCGGTTTAGACACTGAAGCCTCCCCAACCAAACTCAACCCACCGACTCTACATCAAAACCGGAAACTGTACCCTCTCAGCCTATCACGACGTGGGAGGAGGGACCCGCAAGCGCACCACGACCAATCGGAAATGAGTTGAAGAGGTAGAGAATCCGGACTCGAGGTCAGGCGGCCGGATATAACGGATGACGTCACCCCCTTTGTTACCTTGCCGACCCCTCTCAATGGAGTTTTGTGCAAGAGGATCCCGCAGAAATCAGATGGATGTGAAGCAGCTCGTACAGGATCACGGAGTTTAGATCACCGCAATTACCACCTGACGGAGGAGGCGGCGGCTCTCCGTATCCGTAGATTGCACGACCCGGTGGAACGCAATGCGTGCATTTATTTTTTTTTTAACGTGGGAACCCCATGCAAAAATGTAATCGGTAGCAAACGAGCTAGTGTACACCATTTAAACTGGGTCTCCCATTTAAAATATTCTCCAAAGCATGAACTTACACAACTGTATATGTAAATCTCACAAGCTCTGGGCTGGAAGTGGAAGGATAGTACGCTCATACGTTTTAGTTCCGACAACCAAAAGCCAGTTGCTGTTTCGTCTGGCGATTATGAGTATGTGCTCCGTCTCATTTACTGCCCGGCCGAATTAAACCCTGGGAACAGCTTTGCAGGCCTGTCCAAAACGGAGAGTGGCTGGTCTTCGGGAAGGAGGAGGAGGGGAGGGGGTACAACTTTTTGAATAGATCAGTCTATCCAATACGACGACTCGCCAATTACTGGCTCGTTCGCAAATTCTTCCACTCTCCATTTTTCCCCCCGTCTTGAGGCAGAACGACATTTTGAAACGCCGCATCATCAACTATTAAGCAAAGGTCACGGCGCTGAACAAACAAAGCTTAAATACGTGTCATTTACAAGCCTCGAATGGGGCTACTGCTAACAGCCGACCATCTGTGCCTGGCTATTCAAGAATTAAGCTGTTAACAACATCCTTTCATACCAATAGATTACGATATGCAAATGCTTTTAGCTGTGGAAACCTCCAGCTTCTATAGCAATGCTCTGTACTTCTGTGGAGGCATACGATACCCTTTTCCTTTGAAAGCTGTACAAAATAGAACAGTTTTCACAAAATGTACTCGCATACATTTCTAAAAGCTCTCACTTTTAGGTTTCAGGAAATGAGTTATCTCGGAGGTGTCCACGCAATTAACCGAAACAGTCTAAAAAGCGCATTCAAAGTGGATCACAATAAAGCAGAGATGCCTGAAAAATCAAAACTTTAAATCTGCTTCTGTTCTGTACTATTACGATGACTTCTTTGTTGCTGGTACGTTTTTTTATACAGAATAACAACCGTCATATGCGAATAATAAAAAAAGGGATACGATTTAACTTACTCTTCGTGAACCTGAGCGAAAGGCATGGCTCAAAACATCGTTTCGTTTTATTTCACACTGATATAGATCTTTATTTTTCTGTTGTTGCTGTACGTTGCCGAATCACTGCTGCTGTCTGCGACAGCAACTTCCGGCGCATGCGCACTGTCCGCCAAGCGGCGAGAAGCGATCAGGTACGGGTTGGACCTCCTTCCTGCATAATTTAAGTGTGTCTGCGTATCGCCTGACCGAAAAAAAACCCGGAGTTGCAGAATTCAATTAACCTTTTGTTCATGTTTTTCAGTCTGTTCCTTTTTAAGGCTTTTTTTCCCCCAAATCCAGATCTTAAATACTGCAATTGCCTGATTAATTATGCACTGCCTCGCTTTCCAATACCGTACCCTATATTTAAGAAAATATATCTGAAAATTACCAAAAATGTAAGTCTTTTTTAAACATTTTTTCCAAACCGGGAATTTAATTCCTTTTATTTCCCACTGTTTATAAACCGAGCTGTCATATACACTCATGTCTTCATGCGTTACAGGGCGGTAATATACTGTTGTACAGTACAGTTACATTTATGATTTGGTCAAATGTACCTTTTGAGATAAAAGCTTGAGTAAACAACTCAAGGAGTCCAGGCAGTCATTTAATTTTTATTTGGATGTAGGAAAATCCTACATTCTCCTACACAACCATGTAGGATGTGCCCCATGTTTATTGGATGTTGAACTACAGTAATATCTTAATATAAACATTAACAAAATAGCAGTATTAGTACTAAATATGCTTGCCTGCCCTTGTAGTCTGCACTCCACAGTGACCTTATGTTATAAAGATTCTTAAGCCGTTTCTTATTTTCATTGTTTCAATTTGACAGCAGGTTGATTGTAAAATGGATTTGCATGATGCTATCGCATTCTTCCTCCTTTTTAATCTGCTGTACAACAGACGTTCTCTTCTAATTTAATTATGAATTATAAGCTTTGGCTGGAATCGGTAGGGCCCCACCAGTTCATATATTATTCACTTTTTCGTTCATGTGTAACATATGCTATTATTTTCATACTGCAGTCTGTAAACCAGTGTCAGTACCATTATATTTCTGGTGATTGTGCATTCATATCTGCTGAGATGTCTGGTCAAGGCCTTATTGTTCTGTGGCAACTGAAATAAATTACACCACTGCACTGACCCACAGGGTTATATCTTGGTATTGATTGAGTTTGTAACCAGAACTGCACAATGAAATAGACTGCATTCTGATAAGGTTATGGCCAGAGAATACATTTTTTCTTTTTGAAATTTCTTTTTTCATTAAAGAAACTAAACGTGCATAATACACATCTCTACATATGCAAACACACAATTTATATATTTTTTTTTATATGTTGAGAAATACAGACTTGTCTAACATTATACTTCAAAGACCTGAAGAAGGCTCCATGGCGGAAACGTTGTGTTTTCTTTCTTCTCTTTTCAGCATGGAATAAACCTATTACTTGTTTTTATCATAATGCTGACTCACTGAGTCCTGATGTTTTAAAGGGCAGCTGTCATTTGTAGTGTAAGGACTAACATTACAATGCCAGCATGCTATGATTTCTTAACATATACTTCCCCATTTACGTGAAACAAAATGTTCACAATTTATAGCATTGAAAAATACTGGAGGTTAAGAAGCTTTTACTCTGTGTACCCCTATGAAGCAGTGCACTCATTACAAATTCTGACATTTTAAAAGTGCTTTTTGAATGAGGTTTTATCCATTTGTACATGCTGACCACTGTAGGCACTGTTGACTTGATAATTGGACCAGCTCTCCAGCGAGTGTCCTGTCCTTCAAATCTTTCTAAGCTTTTAACTCAGTCAGTAGTCCGCGCACAAACCCACAGGGGTACACATTCCTCTAGAAACACTTTCTGAAAAGAAAGTGAAAATACAGCATAAAACAATAACGAAAAGTACAGGATCACAGAAATCTGCTAGCAGTCAAAGCACTGGGTGCTTGTGGGATACAATTCGTAGCTGTTAAGGCATATATCATGATCAAAGAAGAATAGGACACTTGGATTTAGCTCACTGGTTTTCCATTCTGGGCCTGAGTAACCCTCGCTGGATGTTTTTCAAGTCTGGAACATAAACTATTTTTAAAAAGCCACGCAAGTCTTACTTTTTACTGAGGTTACTTAGCAACCTTAACCTGGTTCCATACCTGGCTCTGTATACCTTCCAGAGGTTTTGTATCCAACAGTATGAATAAACTAAAAATATACTGTACACATGTAAATGTTGCAAGCCATTGACTGTTATAGGACCACAATGTTATAAGTTGTAAGGACCACAAAGCAAAGCTTTAGCAATTCTTGCTGATTTTGAAGAGGAAATGAAAATGTATTTGAAAATTACATGAACACAATTCATATACCGATCTGCTGACACAAGTATTCAACCACATCTCACGTGAGGTTGATTAGTCCTTAAACGGTCTATATCTACAACAGTTTTTAGACAGAGGATTGTGGCTGATTCCTTACAGATTCCGCAGGATCTTTTAAGAAAGATCTTGATGGGATTCTCAGATCATCAAGCTACTAGCAACCAAATAATGAACGACTGACTGATCGATTCATTGATTGTTTGATTGATTGATTGATTGATTCAACCATATTGGATAACATAACCTTTCTTTTGTTCACTAAGGGGGAGTGGATGCCCCAGTGTATTCAGTGGCTGCGACTGGATGGCAGAGACCACCTTTCATTCAGTGACACAACTAAATGGTAGATTAAAGTAACTCCTGACTCATCTGTTCAAACTAAATGTTCTTTTGAAAAAAAGTTTACTGCAATGTCCTGTACACACACATGCCACACTACACTAACAGACACATTTGCTTGGCTTGATCACCACCAAAGTAAGATACCTCACAGCAATTGCACATCTCCTTGCCTAGCCTAGCTGATTATGAGGCCTTTACCCAATTGGTATCTGCAAGCACAAGTTTGCCTCCTTCTTGAAAGCTCATCTAGTGAATGATCTGCTTCAAATCCCAATCACACAGCATCACTGAAAGCCAGGGGCCGTGCACTGCAGTGGCTCCATCAGGCAATAATACAAAGTTAATGATGCAGAATGGTGTCTTTCTTCATCCCTGAAAGAAGTCAATACCGGATGTTTAAGAACAGCATTCCTAATTATGCTTTTTATATTCAATGCTGGCATGATTGATGATTTCAAAGGAAAGCATTATTGATCCACTTCACAGACAAGTCATATTGATTGCATGTCTGGATAGACTATAACTTTTTTTTGATGAGGGGGTGTTGAGAATCAGAATGACAAAGTGAGCCCTGAATATACATATATATTTTAATAAACCCTTTTAAAGGAGGCATGATAAAAAGCCCAGCAGCTTGTGCAGAGTGTGTTACGGGAGCAGTCATCTGTAATGGATTAGCAAATGCACTGTACAGTACAGTAAGCCTCCCACTACTTGTTTCTGTCATGCTTATGTCTGATACAGCTCTTGTCATTTCATTAGCTTTGTTGTGTTTTTTTTTTTGCCGGGAGCAAGGTTAAAATGGCAGCAGCTGTTTAACTACATATCTATTTGAAGCTTTTAAACAGCCAAGTATGAGACTGTCTGAAAAATGAGACATGTCAGAGGTTATTATCTTTGAGAGCCTATTAGGGACAGATTCAAACAACGAGATAAGAATTCAATACAGTTGATTTGCTTGCAGTAAGTAAAGAAATCCCCCCCGTTTTGCTATTGGATCCCCTTTAAAATATAAAACCTTTGAGTTTCTGAAAGCGCAGAAAATAATTCTGAACACTGGAATTGGGCAAAGGGGAACAGCCTTCCTGCTCGTTTTCTAAATCCTGCAAAATTTTTATCATGCCCCTACGATGCAGATTCCTGGAATGGCTTTTGTGTGCTTATAAATGCACAGTGCATGGTGAGTCCTTCAGCTTCAGTAGTGCCTTTTTAGCTTATTTGAAGGGTAAAGCTAATGCAGTCAAATTACCATATAAGTGCTCTCCAGTAAGGTGACACATGAAACGGCCTTGTGACAGAGCAGAAAGCACTCTCTTGGTGTATTCTGGGATGTCAGTTCTTGTTGTGTGAATTCCCCCCCAGCACAACAAGGCTGCCCTGAAGCTGAACTGTTAAGAACTCTGATAGCCATCTTGTTAACGTGAACTTTTTCTTTAAGGTTTCTCTTCCATTCCCACCAATTGCCTCTAGTTACTTTCCCTTTCCACCGAAGAGATCTACATTCAGTACAGCCGGGTACAGATCCGGTCTAAAGACCTGTACCCTAATATACAGTATGTGGAAGCCAGAGAGTAGTCTTGTTTAAACATGTCTTGTAAATGTAAAGGTTTTGAAGAAATCTTTAAATTTAAAGCTTTAAATGTTTTTTTGTGATTATGTCCTTCACAAAAAAAATTGTTTAAAGCTGGTCACTATCCAATTGTATTTTCTGAACTGCTCTTTCTTTGTGCTGCATAATACCATACTACAATATATCTTTTTATAAAGTACTCCTAAAATAAAAACGGATTAATTGAGTGACAGCCTGCGGTTGGGCACTCCTGATGAAATGCATTTCAGATGCAAAGCAGGACTGCACCTACAAGCCATTCCATTCCAGAAGCTGATTGTTTCCTTTCACATAATTATTATGAATCTGGGGTTTTGTCAATTATTTAACTGGAGATGATAAAGAGGCATGTAAGGACATTGTAGGGACAAAGCCCTGTAATTGAACTGACTGGAAAAGCCCATGTTTGTTGTTTTTTATTTGAATATTCCATAAATCTCCGTCTTCAATATGCCAACGTCTCAAAGTTTCTCTGACCACGAAATACTCCTTTGCCAAGTCTTCGCCATGAGAGAGTGTACGTAGCGTCTTTCTGCGAACGTGTTTGTATGCTCTGTTATAGCCATTCTTACGATTTTTAAAGAGATTGACATGGTATTTTCCAGTGTGACCCTGAATCCAATGTGCCATTGAGTAAAAAACAGTCCTACGAGGGAGACAGATCTCATTTTTTTACTGCACCACCACCTCAGCTGAAATGCCAGAGGCATCACATGGTCCCCATGCTGGCTCGGACCACACGTTTAGCCTCATGCTTCAGGTCTGGGCTATTTAATATCCAGATATTAGACAGATCGCCCGGTCACAATGGCGAGTGAAAATATTTACTTTTCAGTACCTAAAATCATTTAGGAATCTTTCTTGAAATAAATGTCACCACATTTTACAAAAATGAAAAACAGTGACTGCAAACTGATGTAATTAAGCATTTCATAACGGAGAGATCAGAAAACCCAACTCCACTGACTAATTGACTCATTTGATCTCTGGGATGTATAATTGCTGTGGATAGCTTTAATGGACTGCTTTTCATCTATGAATCAGCCATGCAAACGCTAATAAAACCTTTTTTCTGTAACGACAATAACATTCCATGGTTTGATCTATTATTAGACAGGCTGCTTCAAGTTGCTTACAAAGGGACTCAGATTTTGACCTTGTGACTCAAAAACACATCTGAAGCATGAGGTGTCTTATGCTAAACCATAGTGCATTGTAATTTAGCCCTTTTATAATCAGCATGTAAAAAGAGAACCAGACTGTTATTTGGGAAAAAGGGAACACTCATATGGGAAGGCTTAGATTTATAGTCATGTTTTGGAACAAAGACAGTGTTCTTTTTTAGGAGCACAGAAGCACAAAATCATTTCCATGTGAAGCATAGAACAAAAAATAGCTATTTCCACATAGTAATTATCCGATCTATAAAACTCAAAAGTGTTCTGTATAAATCGCGATGTATTTAATGTATGAGATACAAGGTGGTCCCAATACCAAGGCACAATAAAACAGTTCTCTTACTTCAGATCACATGTTACCAAACTAGTCTGTCTACAGTATCTTTTTCTTTAAATGAACAATTCTTTTGTCTTTCCACACAATACTCTTTTTCAATGAGCAGTCCCATTGACCTCCCAGCTGAGCATTTTTACAATGACTGAGTTACACTCATATATAGTCATAGTCACAGTAATTGTGGTCAGGTTATAGTAGTCATAGTGGGTGTAGTGAGGAGTCTGGACAGTCTGCTGCACAGAAAGGCGCAGAACTATTTATCCTTTGGAATTTGAGGCTGAGGTTCTCAGACAAGGGCAGCACAGTGGAGCAGTGGTCACCATTGCTACCACGTAGCGCTGAGGCCCTGGGTTCAATTCCAGACCTAGGGTGCTGTCTGTGTGGAGTTTGCATGTTCTACCGTGTTCGTGTGGGTTTCCTCTGGGTGCTCAATTTTCCTCCCACAGTCTAAAGACATGCTAGTAGGTTAATTGGCTTCAGGGAAAACTGGCCCAGGTGTGAGTGAGTGTGTGTCTGTGTGTGCCCTGCGATGGACTGGCGTCCCACCCGGGCTGTACCCCGCCTTGTGCCCATTGCTTGATGACTCTGACTCCCCAGTGACCCCGAATTTGAAGAAGCGGTTATAAAACTAACAAAATAGATGGATTCTCACAAAACCTCTTCCAGTGCACAACAGCGCCGATCCCGTGCTGTCATATCATACTTGGCTTTAGTGTTGCAAATGTGCCGCGTTTGTGACGGTCAACTATCGTTCGGCCAACATTACCTAATCATCATAGGTAAAGACAAAACAGGCTGTTTTTACGCTTACCCAGCTATTTCCTAATCCGGAATGCTAATTATATTCAGCAGTCAAACAGAGTGACCACACGGTGAGCTCATTTCTATGTTGCAGAAAAAAGCTACCTCAATAAAGGCATTTTTATTATAACTTTGGCCCAGAATCAAATTATTAGCCGTGCCAAAAATATTAATTTCCACCGGAAATTACGCCGGAAAGCCCGTAAATCCGTACTTCAGAAGATGGGTTTCCTTATTGTTGAGCTTAGTCTTTCAACTAGTCAGAGCTTGTGATCCCTGTTGGACGAAACCAACAGAAGACGTTTCGCACTGAACTGTTGGCGCTGGCGTAGTTCCTCGCTATCGCTGCTAGGGGGCGCTGCAGATTTGCCGCTGAAGTCCAAATGCCTTTTGAAATCGCTCTTACTTAAACCAATCCCACAATCCTTTGTCAACCAATATGTCTGCGCCCTTCAGAAAATGTGAACGTGTGGTAAACAAATAGGAACGATGTAATAACCTTCCAATTATAGTCTGTTTTGGATCTGAACTATCTAGATTGTACTAATCACAGAGGGTTAGAAATTAATACCCGACAATGAGTTCCACTTTCTGTATCTCGTTATTTCGGAAGACCTTGCGTTTCGCTTCTTCATCGGTCATTAATGCGCCATTGTTTCTTAAATCAGGTCAGTGTGCTAATTAGATTAGAAAATGTATTGAATCGATTGTTATTATTACTGTTTTATTAGAAGTAGCAATGTTGTTTAAACATGCGCTAAAACTTTCTCTGAAAAACAGAATATATATATATACACCCAAAAATGTAATAACGTTTATTGATTCTTAGTTCATCATTTAATTCCAACGTAATTTGATTGTTCTTCGGCTTAAATGTATATGAGCAATTAGTGCGCTTGTAATCGCATGATGTAAACTAGAAATTCCCGTATGATTCAACGGACTAAAATAAAATACCACTTCACAGCTTGTGATCAAATATACAACTTCATATATGAATTGGCATGGTTTATAGAATATATTCAAGTAAAGGTACCAGCTGTTGCTAAACGTTCATTCAGAAACAAATCAACGACTCTCAAGAAGTACCTTTTTAGGTTTTAAGGTGGTAGTTTTCGCTGTCTTCCAGAAAGCGCTCGGCAGACTGTTGTTCGCCTGCCAGTCTGCTGTTTCGGAACGGAGACCGCCCTGGACAGTCTTGTCGGTGTCAAGGCAGGAGAAAGTGACGACGGGCTCTGTCACCGTGTGCCTTCAGTCTCGCCAAGTAACGGTAGCTGTTATCTCGTTCGAAACACAGCCGAGGTTACCTTCCTCGTAGTCTAAAAAATAGGACGACTCGTTTCCCTGCTTTTTTCCTACATAAAAAGTAGGCAAAATTGTGCTCGAATTGTGTTAATTGCTTCGTTAACAGGGTGTTGGAAGAAGTGAGAGTCGTTTTTTTTCTCCAATGTTTTTTGAAATTTAAATGACCCAGTCTTGGAACAGTGACCTCCAGGGCTGCTTAAAAGCTGAAACAGGTTAGAAGTGGTTGCTGAAATTGGACACATGTTGCCTTGCTTGTTGTTTTAGTGACCGCACGAATAAGATTAACCTGCTGCGTTCATGATCTGGTACATGAACTGCAGCAGCATGAACCCCTGACATTTGTGGGAAGAGTCTGAAGCCTGATAGGGAGAGATCGCATGGGTTTTATGTGTAAGCAGAAGCATTGGAACATCAGAAGCATTGCTGTCCTTCTCTCGTTTGTGCCTCTTTGAGCTTATTTGGTTAGGTTTTTGTTCCTGTAGTCTCATAGACAGGTACTTGTTGTACTGGGAACAACCAGTACTTGGCCACTACAGACCACCACCTCCCACCCCCTCAGAGAGGGCAATCAAACACAACCTGTATGTTCTTGTGGCTGTATGAGGTCTCCAGAGAACTGCGCAGAGTCCTCAAGCTGGGCTCAAACCCAGCCTGACAGAGCTTAGAGGCAGTGGTGCCACACCACTTCGGGATAGCAGCACCCCTTTTAGACAGGGGACGTTTCCGTCATCTCCGCCGGTTCAGGAAAGCTGAAGGACGGAAAACCTCTTTCTCTCCCAGCTGAGCATAGGTCCCTGCTGATCAACCGCCCGAACCAGCCAGTGAATCCGAAGGTGCTGAGGGTGGCTGTCATTGGAGCCCCAAATGCTGGGAAATCGACTTTGTCCAACCAGCTCCTTGGGAGAAAGGTACAGAGCACGTGCAGGGGTGACACCCATAAACCAAGTGCAAAGCCCTCTTTTAGAGAATAAAGGTCACCTCTGTATATTCCCCTTGGATTTGATGTCAAAGTGGGGCTAGAGAGTACATCAGCGGTTTTAAATATTACAGTTTTGTTCAGGATACTGCCTGTTCAGCTTGTTCTAGTTTAGATCCTTGTTTAACAGTGCTCATGATTTACACAGAGTAGATGACACGCCAGACTCTAAAAGGTTTGCATTGCTGTGTTCTGTGTGCCATACGTGACTGCATTGGTTTTGTATGTATTTTCGGGGTTGAAAGGAAACCTTGTGTTCTTCATGTGATTTCACTCAGGTGTTTCCTGTGTCACAGAAGGTTCACACCACGCGATCCAGTGCACAGGGCATCATCACTGATAATGACACCCAGCTTGTGAGTATTTGCTGCTGATATGCAGCAGTAGAAATATTTCATCGTATTAATAGTTTCCTAAGTTTCCTTTGGCTGCTATTATACAGAGACTTTTAAAATAACCATTACTTAAAAGATTTTGTTTTGTGAAATTATTGTAGAGTACTCTAATGCTATTTTCCCCTATTTTTTACCTCTCTTTGGTTTGTTGTTCTTCTCTTTAGATTTTGTTGGACACTCCTGGTCTCACTACACCTTCCAAAGTAAAGAAGTAAGCCACCAGTAACTGCACAGCATTCAGTTTAAACGGCACAACTTACAATCTGCAGTAAATGATCAATGTTTTTCTTTTTGTATCCCAAAATGGGTAAATCTATATCTGTTGCAGGCAGGGCACAATGCAGAACTAACATGATGTTGTGCCTGTTGATATTGAATTGGCCTTCCATTTAGTAGGTGAAATCTATGCTGTATGGTTGAGGTGTAAATAAAAACTTAATGACTATTTGACTATTTTACAGCTTTGACAGTTGAGATCTTCCATTTTTTTTGTGCTTCGTACAGAATAGATTTTAAATAAGCAAAGGCCATTTGGCCCATATAGCTGGTCTGTTTGGTAGGAGGTGATTGATCCAAGATCTCTTAACTGCTTCCTGCTTCATCCACTTAATAAACCTGCATGAAGGTAGCTGTTTCTCCAAAAGTAGCCCCACATCTTTCTGAGTATAGTAGTGGCTCCTCTTTTCCCTCATAGATGCACGTCTGCCTGGGTTTCATTTGTGTCTTAAATGAAATAAAGAGATTAATAAAAGAGATTATTAGTGAGGGAGCTGAGGACATTGATGCATTTGTCTCGCAGGCACCAGCTGGAGCAGTCTCTCCTTGTGGATCCTTGGGATTCAGTCCAGGAGGCCAATTTAGGTAAGACAACACCTGGCTTATAAACAGCCTTTTGGAGAGACGACATCATTACATAACTACATCATAGTTACAGAACAAAATAGGATAGTTCATTTTTTTTCTATCTTTGCCGTTACAGTTCTGGTTCTGGTAGACGTGTCGGATCACTGGACTCGCAGCAAACTGTCTTTTGAGGTGCTGAAGTGTTTGGCCAGCAATCCACACATCCCATCTGTTCTTGTCCTCAATAAGGTACCAAAACTGTGGCTGAGCCAACTGATTATGTAGGGTGGTTGTGAAGGTTTAAAAGAAACAAAAAAAGGATTTTGTTTTATGCTCATGAGAAACAAAATAAAAGGAATAAAGGATAGGGAGGTGCACTGAGCTGCCTGCATTGCAGAGGTTATAAAATAACGCATTCTTCTTCCACTGTGCAATATTGTGCATTTTAGGTAGATTTGTTAAAGAACAAGAGCATGCTCCTGGACATAGCCACTGAGCTGACTGGAGGAACAGTGAATGGAAGAAAACTGAGAATTCGCTCAGTGTTAAAACCGGAAACCGGGAAGAGAGACTCTGTGAAGGTGGAGCCTCGGGGCCAGACAGCCAATGCAGAAATCGGGGCGCCGGAGCCTGAAGACAGAGAGGTGGAGACGTCTGCGTCAGAGGGCCCAGCTGGCCCTGGGCAGGCCGCTGCTGAGAACGTGAGGCTGGGTGATGCTCCGAAAGGAGAGCTGAGCAACGACGACCTGAGCTCTCTCAGGTCCAGGCATGGCTGGCCGCACTTTCGGGATGTCTTCATGTTGTCCGCCATTGAACAGGGAGAAGTGGAAACACTTAAGGTAAATTGTAGTGGCCGGTGGACGTAAACAGTAGTGTGTGTTGCAGAGACTCCTACAATAGGGTGGGCGTTCTTTATTGGGGCTGTTGTGTGCACTGCAGAGGTACCTGGTCTTGGGGGCCAAGCCTGGACCCTGGCAGTACCACAGTGACGTGCTGACCGACCAGAGCCCAGAGGAGATCTGCGGCAACGCTGTGCGGGAGAAGTTACTGGAGTACCTGCCGCAGGAAGTACCATACAACATCTCTCAGGTAATAGGTGCCACAGTGGTCATTCTCGGTGCACGAACTGCCACCCCCTTCATTCCTCAACCCAGGCTGTAGCGCTGCCCCCTGAGCTGTCCGATCACAGCTTTAACATGGGGAGCAGCAGCAATGCTCCAGAAATGCTCTCTCTGGAAGTTTTCTGCTGCACAGTCCCTGCAGAGATTGTAAAGGTCAGATGTGAGGACTCACTACTGCAGACTGCCACTCTGGCTTTTCTTTTTCGAAATGATAGTTTGCAGTACGGCGGTAGACAAAAACGCATGCCTAAGGTATTACTTTGAACCTTAAGTTTTCCACTGTTAAGGCTATGTGAAAATTCTGAAAATATCAGAACTCAACGCTTTATATTGCATGCCTTTTTAAAAAGTTTGGAATTGCCATTTACAGTGTACTTAGCCCCAGAGCTCCTGACAGGAGAGGCAGGGGGTGATTGAGGGATGAGTCCGACTTCTCGCTGACACCACTAGAAGCGTGCAGGAACTGTCAGGTGTCACTCTTTGCAGGAAAGCGAGGAGCCCCTTGGTGGACCAGTTCCACCCTGCTTCAGCGGGCACCCTGCCAGTTGTGTATCACCGCCAGGGCCCTCCTGGGCCCAGCTGCAATCTGTCCGTTTTTTATCGATCAATACCATTTCGGATTTGTGTCTTGTTTATTGCTGGTGATTTTTTTTTTGTTTGTTTTAATTATAGACTATTGAGATGTGGGAGGAAGGAGAGAGTGGGGAGCTAAAAATATATCTAAAGATGTATGTGAAGAAAGAAAGTCACATGGTGAGTGAGCAGCTGTACATGGGGCCTCCTTCAACAACTTTAGAAGCGTGGCTTCATTATAATTCACTGTGCGTCCCACTGTGGAGTATAGATAACCTACTGAAGGATGAATCAGAAGCATTTCTCATGTCTGTTATTAAATTTCCCATCAGGAGAGGGTCACAAAAAAGTAGATTGCGGTGAGGGAGAGGGAAGGAAGCAAGGAGGTATTTGTCTCCTGTTGATTCAAATTATATAATGAGACCTGTTTGTTAAAAAAATGTTTTGCATAATCCAATGGCAGGTTATGAGGGCTTTTGTCATCGCAGAATGTAACATGAAAGAGCGTGCTTCTTGTTTTTTAGAAAATAGGCTCAGGGAGTCTGTATATGGAAAATTCAGTCCTCACAGCTCAGCCCTGGCCACAAACTGTAAATCCAGTGTGATCATATTCTCTCTTGCTCTCTGCTTACCATGAAAAATAGTGTTACTTACCGTAAATCCATCTGAAGCTTGATATTTCTCAGCTAACATCCTTGCATTTGTTTCCTCATGAGTCGCTAAGGGTCCTTTGTTTCTCACCTGGTTTCTAGAAAACACGATAAGCTGGATTTATCTGTATGTACAGGTATCATTCTGGGGGAAGATCTTCAAGCACGATCACAAATATAATAAAGTATAAATATACAGAATTTTGTTACAGCCTTGAATTTCTACATTGTACCGGAAGAAGAAACATTATACATTGTAGAGAGACCTGTTTCTGTAAAAAACATTTTAGTGAATCCCATTAGAAAAGCATTTGAATCACCCCTGTGTTTTGGACAAATGTTACGAGGAGCTAAGTGAGCCATAATTAATCAAGGGCAGAGCAATAGTAGAAAAGCACAACGGAGTTAAGAGCCTGTCTACCACATTGATAGAAGTTGTGAGTGTCTACCTTTTCTTTGGACTATAGAAAATGGTGATTGGGCACAGAGGTCAGGTGATCAACAGGATTGCTCGGGAGGCAGCAGAAGACCTGAAGCACATCTTCCTGTGTGAAGTCAAGATGAGGATATCCATCAAAGTGAAGAAATAGGAGGCCCAGGAGACCAGTGTAAATGACTCTTTATTATTTAAAGAAGACTCTTAGAACGGTTTCCTCCTTCTCAGCCTATGTAGCACCACGGTGCCATCACTAAGACTTGCTGATTGTAATTATTAAAGGCACTCAAACAGTGGAGCTGTGCTCCAACACTGATGATTTGTTTCATCCTGGCTGCTAAAAACTAGAATGTAACTGTTTAAGGTGGCATAGCAATTTTCTGCCCTTTGTTTTGTTCGGGTGGTCCACCGTAATTATCATTACTTACGTTTTCGTTGGCTAACCAGAGCAGTTTTTGGGTGGGTGATGGGAGGAAATGGACTACCTGGAGAAAACCCCACACACCCATGGGCGTGCAGATGCAGACTCCTCAAAAACTGTCCAGTAATGATCCTGGGATCGGGGAGATACCGGGCAGCAGTTGTAGAAAGAACAGAGAAGACATGTAATTTGGACAGGCAACGTGCAAGAAATAGCAGGAATTAATGGGTGATGCAATGCACTGCTGCCATGGAAGTCCCAGTTTTAAGAGTCTGGGGGGGAGGGGGGTTATGGGGTGTCGGTGCTGTGAATGAGGGTGTGAGGGGTGGAGGGGAAGGCTCTGGAAGGTGGCTATCTGTCCTCCCACAGCCCTTGAAATCAGCCCTCGGGCGGCAGCGTCCCACTAACCTGGGAGTCTGCAGATAAATAAACTGGGACGCCCTCAGCCACGCGCTGGATGCGCGCCCGGCTGCCTCCCCTGACTCTCCGCGTGCTTGCAGTGGCTGATAAAACTGCTCGGGGCAGAGAACTCCATCGCCTCCCTAATGAGACAGAACCTGCCCTGGAAAATAGATCAGATATACAGAAGATCTGATGCAATTTGGAAACGTTTTTTTTTTCTCTTAAGTTTTTAGCTGCTGTTCCAAGGACATCCTCGTGACAAATAACAGAGTTAAGCGCCTAAAGCTGTTCCATTCCAGGTTGATCACTTAAGAACAAAATTCCTAGCTTCTGAGATCGGTCAAAGGGCAGTTTCAATTGATTAATTGTAGAATTTAGAATGATTAACTTCTAAGCCTTTAACTTACAGATTTTGGTGATCCATACCAGAGCAGGTATGAACTTTCAAATATTCATTCATTAAATTCTTCTCTGAAAAATATGAAAACGTGCATCTATAAAACTCACAAAGGCCCTTTTCATTCCCGTCTTGTTAATATTTACTGGTTTGTAATATGTGGATTATTTTAAGACGTTAAATTCTAGGGTTCAGTTTTAGTGCGCAGTTTAAACCTCAGAAAGCGACTGAAAGGCTTTCAGCTTGCAGGTTTTGATCAGCTGTATCCAAACATAATTCTGCAAGAATGATGATGTTGTCGTCTTTGCAGGTAAACAGCCCAATAATGCTGATATACCGTATAATGTATTATGTGTAGAAGATTCCCTTTTGTGTTATTTGTTTTAATGCCTGGTTATTGATATTACGGCCTTTTCTGACAAACTGGATGAAATGGCAGGCTCTGAGGAAATGGGAAGAATGTTGCACGCTAGTGATAGGTGCCAATAATTCATCAGAAGCTCTTTTTTACCTTTTGTGATATCACTGATGTTGAAAAAGGTGTTAGGTTACGCTTTAGTGCAAACTTTCACAATTAGTGATCACTGCCTCATTAGAGAATCCAGCAAGCCCAGGCGTTTCAGAGCAGATCTCCATTGGCAGTAGGTTTAGATCAGCTTGCTTGATTTTTAAATGTTTGGACTTTTTCACTCATTTGTATTGCCTTAGCTCCCCTGTGCCCCTGAATTGGAAGAAGTGGCGAGAAAATGAATCATTGGATGAATTAATTAATTAAAAATCATTTTCTGCGCTGCACTGATAAGATGCCCCTTTGTTACTGAAGGCAGATGTAGAAGATGTCTCAAATGTTGTGTTACCCTGTTGTTGCTACAGACTGTTTAGACCTATCGAGGGCAATGTTTTTTAGTCAACTACATAAAGAACAAAACAGTTGGAGATGGAAAAAACATTCTGTTCTACACGGTGATGGTGAACACGGTTCCATGAACAAAGTATTTACGTTGTTTAATGTGGTGGTTATAATTTTCCAGTCACAAAAAAATACTACTGAAAAGAGTGTGTTTTTGACAGTGATTTATGAAACCACAAATGAAATGGTTGCTTTGCTGGTCTTGAATTTCTAAAAGGCTTGTGCATACATAAATAATGTGCATCAGCCTTGGCTTTTCAGATGACACAGTAATTATACAGGTTGTAAATTTTCTCTAGGGGATATCGCCCATGTGCATATATGATATCGCTAACGCACATTGCATCTTAAGTCCTGTATATCATAAACCCTTATTCCCCCGGTATTTTTTTAATTATAAATGATTTATAATAACCCAAACTTATTACCCAATAACCCAAACAAAAATATTCTTGTTATTACAATATGGCATTTTTACGTCCTTATAAAATTACCCTAAGATTAACAGCTCTCGTGCATTACAGAACATTAAAATATTTCCACATTCTGAATGCAGTTTGTGTTTTGAAGTAATTTTTGACCACCTGTGCTCTGCAAATTACATGTTTAATACATTACAATAACCCCCCCCTCCACACACACTTTTGAAAAATTAAAGTTACATCTTACATTTGTAAAAAACTGGGCTAGTATTATGTGTATACATGGTTTGAACTCATCCTTTTGAAATGGTTGAATGGACCAACTATACTTGAGTTTCACACGCCAAAGGGCCAAATTCACACAACATTAGTGCCAGCGTTTGAAGTCGCTATGAATGCCTAGAATTTGTCCAAGAAGATTTTTTTATTTCCCTTGGGGAAAAAAAGATGGTTAATGTATTTACTCCTGCTGTATATGTTTATATCACTTGTCGTACAGCGCCTGTAAATAAACAGTGACGAGGAAATTGTTATCAGATGTTTATTAAATAGTTCTGTTGTACAGTCATTTAAATTGCACTGTCATGGCTCACACTTTGCCCATCTGTTCTCACTGAGCTGCTGGCATGGGCGTGCCCTCTTCTGAAGCGTTTGAGAAGAGGCGACATAACCCTTACCATTACTAAAGCTCAGTAATGGTAACGGTTTCGTCACCTCCCCCGGGAGAGCGCAGGGCCTGTTCCTTTCCCTCTCATCCAGTGCATTTGTCCAGAAGGAGGATGAAACCCTGGATAGTACATCATCTATACTGTAGTGTCTCTATAACGAACTTACAGTATATGATGATATCCTGTCCAGAGTACAAGCCTGTTCAGAAAATCACCCAGACGTCACGGTCCATTCTCAGCCTGAACATGAAAAAAAAATGGTATTGAATTAAATTACTTGCATAGGTTTTTCTCTCAATACTCTTTACCACTTAAAAAACGTCATTTCTAAAATTGGTTTTGTGACATACGTAGGCTGTTTTTCAGTCTAAGATTTTCATTTCTAGGTGTGACATCTCTTACACTTAGTAGTGTATTGAAATATACAAGCAAGCTTCAATAAAGTAGTGATACGCTGTTTATATTTGTTTTTCTGCCTCTCAGTTTGGTGGGAAGTTACATTATGCTGTACATGTAAAAATCATTGGTGCTGAAGTGTCCAAAAATACCCATGGAAATTAAAATAAGTCTAATTTGGGATTCATTTAAAACTTGAACATGTCTCCCATCACGTTTATGATTGTACCCCCTGCGGTTTGAGTGCACGATGCAAAATGGTCTCTTTTGCATTATTCCAAATAAAAGACTTCTTTGCCGTTGCTTATAGTAAAAGCTGAGGTTTTTTTCCAAGAATGAGGAAGTGAAACTATTGTAAGCGAAGCAAATGCCCTTTTCATTTAAAAACCGCTTAATAAGCTAATAAAAGATACACTCGTACTGAAATTCATATAGAACTTATTAAAGTGTTTATTTGAGAGTTTACATTATGCAGTGCAGTAAAACCACAACTTACTAGTTTGTCTTACGGTACGTAGGGTGATTAATTAAATTAATTATTTTAATTCTGTGCAGATACTGTAAAGCTAGTTTAGTTAAACTATCAAAGTTTTCCTCCATTATTTTTATTAAAGCCCATTTATCCATATTCTGTGTAGATTTCATTTTTTTTTTAAACTTAAAAACATTATATATTGAGGAATATCAAATAAAGCCCTTATCAGCTGTGGAAGTTATATTGACTAATTTAAGTGCTCACCTTTGCTTCTGTAGTCTCCTTTATTCTGCAAGGAAAGTGCTAATTAATGGCTTGATTGCCCCTTTTATTGTGTGTTGTGTCTTCATGCTGTTTGCAGTCCCTTGTCAGATTTCAGCCACCTCCCAGGCTCTTATAACATTGCTGTCTCATTTGCATATTCTGATGATGTCACTCCTTCGGGTTTCCTTATCTGCCTGCTGCCTGGTCTTGACCAATGAGATCCCCTTCCAATATCGGGGCCAAACAAGTTATGGAACATCACGTTTCATGCCTTTTGCCTCTTGTCTCTCTGTCCCTCGTTTTACCCATCTTTCTTTAACTCCACTTTTGCACTGAGGGCGCAATGCCAACTAACAAGCCTGCAAGGGCAATAAATCCAGTATTTAAGAAATGTTAATTGTGATCCAAAACAGTGTTGATACATGAAGTATCATTGGTATATAGTGCACCACAGGGGCCATAACGCTGTCCCAGAATGAATGCAGTACACCAGCCCCCCTCATACGCATTTAAAGTCCAGTACTCTCATAGACTCTCATTCTTTTTCCCTTAACTATTCTATATTCTAGCCAAATGAAAGTCCACAGGGGTTGAAAGCAAACATGAAAAAAATAGTTTGGGCAGATTTAGCTTTAAAAGAAGACGCCACTTAGTATGTATAAAAAGAAATTTGTATTGTAGAGACGTCCCCACATCATTCCTGTCTATGTGGGAAGTTCTTCTCAAAATAGCAATACGTACCCATACGCACTGCCAAAGGGAAGTTTAATTCAGCCTGACTGTCAGTGCAAACTGCAATGAGCGTGATGTTCAACTTTCTGAATGTTTTTTAAATGCAAAGTCATTGGAATGAAAATGACACTGTTCTAGCAGCTTTTAAAGATGCTCTTATAATAATGCTGTGAGAGCTTTTGGAAAACAGTCCTGAAAAAAAGCAAAATGTACTGTTTGTGGTACCAATGCATCTCTAGAACTACATAGCATAGGATATGGTTTGCAAAATCATCAGACTTCACACATTTCAGGCTTCAGGACAGTGTTGCACCACTGTAAAATATGTTTTCTTATTTAAAATCCAGAGATGTAAGAAAATAGGGAAGTTCCTCTGGTATGATCAGTGCAGGGAAAGTTAGTCATACTGGTGCTTTTTTAAGTTCACCAGAAAACAACCTTATAGGCCTCTCTGTATGTCTCACTCAAGGTTTTTACACAATTCAGAACATCCCTCGGATTGTTGTAGAAAACATATCAAACACAACGCTCCACAGCCGAAACGTTGTGTTTTCTTTCTTCTCCTTTCAGCAGGGAATAAACCTATTACTAGTTCCTTTGCAGCCTATGCATGCTGACGCAGCTCCCCACCTGAAAATATACAAATGCCTTCTTCCTGCTAAATCCCCTCAATAAACTAAATAAGATGAAATGAAAGTTCCATTAGGCCTTCCTATTCTCAATACATTTTCCAGGAGAAAGAATGAACTTAAAAAATGCTGGCATATATCCAGGTCTAAACATTACTTTTCAAGGTGCTCTCCAGTATCTCCAGATTAAAAAGCCAAACCAACACATTAAAAGCTGTCGGAATTTATGAATGCAAACTGTGCAGAATATGTAGTCCAGTTTTATTTTCTGTATTGTACCACATTAAAGGGACGTATGCTTCTAATAAAGACATTGATGTTCAAGTTTCAATTACAGCCAGCACTAACCTAGATACTATTTTAAAAAAAAGTTTTGCAAATCATAGTGGACATTTCTGTGAGTTGCAGTAGAAATTAACAACTAGTTTCTTATGGCCTGAACCGGTATTTATTAACATGAACTGTTTAAGCTGTTTAAATGTTTGAACTGCTCATCAGTTAACTTGAACTGTTTGATCTAATGATAGATTAGAAAATAGCCCTGTTTTTAAAAGTGATGGTATAATAACTGGACTCAACTAAGTTTTGAAGGTACTTGTCACCAATGGAATCTTTTCTACCAGAATTTCCACAATTGGAATTGTCCAAAACACACGATGAACAGTTACAGTTACTGACAGTTTGGCAGGGAACCTTATCAATTTACACCTCCAAAATACTGATTGGTCTTTTTTCTATGTCGTTTATGTTAGGCCTTATGTTTTACCATACATCACAATTTTACGTTTCATCAGCATATCTGAGATGACAAAAGGAACAGGTTAAGTATTGAATAAATGGACTGGAAATGTTAAGTAGATCCATTACAATAACATCACATAGAAAACCTACTTACAATTCAATAAACTATCAAGCATGCACTGTAAATTGAATAAAATGTGTGCTTGTACTAATCTATGTCATGCTTCTTTTTTCGTTTTGCAATATATAAATGTCATAGAAATTGGATCTATTGCGTCATATTGAAGTTCTCAGAATCCCAGAATATTGTAATACCAGATAAGCGAATAAATAAATACGTGTGCTGCTTTATGTTACCTGAGGTCACATAGTTAGTTAATAGGAGAAAAAAACCGGGCGGTGCGTGACAAACTGGACACCGATTCTTGGTTACCTTGGAAACCGCCTCTGCTGTCAGGGTGGGTCCCGAACCGATGCCGTGTGCTCGGGTCGGGCCGCCTGATAAGGCGGAGCCGTCCGGCGTATCAGTGAGAACACGGTGTGTTGTCTCCGCTCGGCTTGGTTTATTATCAGCTTCAAAAATAAACGTCGAGTTCTGCGGAAAAAAAAATACAAGCCATCTCTGATAAACTTAATTCCAGAGTTTTCTGCAGGCGAGAAAAGATAAATAAAAATATGTAATTTCCTTGAAAACCCGTGTTGACACTACGAACTAATCATAATGTGTTGCTGTAAACGCACACAAATATGTTTGTTTTTTTTAAAAAAAAACGTGAAAAGCTTAAATAAAAGGTTTTTCAAACTACAGCTCAATCATAGATTACTGTTTGCAGGTCTGAACATATACTGTATTACATTTTGTGAATTTAAAGTGAATTGCACAACTGAATGAAGATGTTTCAAGTCCTTGATGTGTCAATCTTTTGCTTTCTTTCAATGTTTGACTTGAGTCTTATTTTGAATTAAGCTTTCTGGAAAGATATATATAAATATATTTGAGCAGTGTTGTCTTTTTTTAAGTCTGAATTCATACAGAACAATATTACCAACTGGCACAGACATGGATTTCCTTGGCAGGCCGCATTACCTGAGCAAATGGTAACTACAACAAGATCTGTAGGCTGTGGGTTAATAGAAATTAGAGTTATGCTCCTTTTTGAAGTCAATTTAGAGACTTGTCAGGGTGGAGGGAAAACCACAGCATTCTACAGAAATCCCCTTTCCTGCACCCGGATTCTAGAAGGTTCCTCTTTAAACATGTCTTTTCAGAGCAAGAGGCTCCTCTCCACTCTGACCGGCTTCCTGTAACTCCCTGCCCTCCGTTTCCAGAGCAAAATGTCCTGCTCTTTAGTTATTCGGCCTCTTCACACGTGAGTGAAATGGTGCTGCCCCCGCTAACGGGCCTCTGGAAATCTGCATCTGGCAGGGAGCAGGTCAGTATCCACTCAACGTGTGATGGGCACCATCAGGGGCTGGAAGCTGTTGGTCTCTTATTTTCCAACAGCATAGAATCAGACGTTTGTTGCTTTCAAGGCTTTTAACACCTGCGGTCATCCGCAGAGTCTTGGTATCATCTCTGGCTGTTTTGTAGATGGTGTAAAGCGCTTGGTGTCTCCACACTCTTCAGGCAGGAACCCTGTGGCCCGATGACACTGATAGCTCACATTTAAAAAGCCCTCTGGTTTTTCGAATAAAACCCTGCCAAGATATTTGCTAACACGACAAAAGAAATGAGTGAAAATAAGCACAAGGTCTGCCTTGTGGTTTCCTCCCTCCGAGAGGCCCGTACCGCGGCATGGTTTAGTGAATCACATCTATTCTGGATGGCCATACCTTGTTAAAAAACTGAAAACAATTCCTGGGATTGTGCACTTCACTGGAACAGACCTCCCAATGGCCTGCTGGCATCGATTGCCTTACCAGCGCTAGGATGCTGTGGAGACCCCTGTCTCCATTACACCCTCAGACTGCAGACAGTTAATTCACTGCCTATGCACTCCATTTGCACGCTGTTACCTACTGTCTAGCCAACATGTGAACTCAGTCCATAAAGAGACGGGGCCTGTTGGCTTCCTGTAGTAATGGCAGGACAACTGCTCAGGTGATTAACGCCTGCGAGCTGTGTTTTGAAGTGAGAAGAGAGCTGCGTCTCTGATGTGCTTCCGAAGTCAAAGCCCTGATCCCAAACTGTCAGGGACTGGAAGAGAGATCAAAGGCAGCCCTAAGTGTTTTTCTTTTCAACCCCTTTTTTGGAAAAGGTAGTAGGATTCTCATACCCCTCCAGCCAGCACCTAGAGCAGAAAGTCTCAAAGCGCAGAGACTCTCTGGAAGGAATCTCAAGGCCATGTTCCTGCACGAGGAGAGACACTTTTCCGATTTCCCCCTTCTCCTCACCCCTCAGACGAAGAGCTGTGCCTCCAGTCCCTCAGGTATGCTTATTTACTTACCGTTTCTGTTGTCAACAGGAAAGCAGAAGTCATGTTTTATGACTCAGAGGGTCTATCCAGCCTTCCTACCTGTTTGACCTTAACATTGAGCAGATATGCTAAAGGAAATGGAGTGGTTGACGCTACCAGGGTAGGCAAGCATGGTTATGGCATGTTTCTAGTTGTCATAAAGGAAAAGGGACGGTATTACTCGTTCGTTTTTAATTCCCTCATATTTACCCCCCGCCGGGCTGCAGGCTGGGCCGGAGCCGCTCTGAGACGCCCGGGTCGAGATGAGACGCAGGCTGAGCCGCGCGCCCCGCAGATCGAGGTCTCGCTGCAGGACCAGGAGCTCTGGGCGAAATTCAGCAGCCGGGGGACAGAGATGATCATAACCAAATCTGGGAGGTGGGCCTTGAAAAGATAAACCTCCGGCAAATCCGCAAACGTAGTCGGTAACAGCAAGCGGCCGCTTTCTTTGTTTGTCTCACGTTGGGTGTTAAATATTTGTCGCCGTGTTGTTAAACGACCAATATGTGAGTCTATCAGCTCAAAGCTCAAATCTGCATCGCACAACGGGACTTCCAGGTTAACCGTATTTATGATCTTCAAATAAGCGCATGCCGAGGATCATGAAAAGATAGACTGCAGCAGCTTTTCGGTGTGGAGAGAACTGCGCTGCCCGACCCAAGTTTTCTTGCATTAAATTGTGTCCCATAAAGTTGCAAAGCGGTCAATTACGGAACCAGCGTGGCAATGTGAGAATCAGAGAGAATCTCAGACATTCTTTGTATAGACGTACATTGCGACCTCAAATCTACGTTTTAATCTACCTTTTTAGATTTTAAATCCGGTAATTTTAAAAATCCGTTTTAAAGAGACTTTATATGCATACTATAGACACACTTTTAAAGCGCTTTTTAATATTGTTTTGCTCAGGAGCAAAACAACATCAACAATCGCTGAAATAATAAGGGAAGATATAAACATCCATTATTCACACTAAACAAGTGCATTAGTCTGTGGTTCTGTTAATTTATGTCAGCCTTACAAGGTACAGTAAACATTCGCTCCATCCTGTAATATTTAAATAAAGTTATTTTATTACAAAAACATGCAAAACAAAATACTTTCCGTGTCACTTCGGGCTTATCATTAAACTTATAATACATACAATTAGATCAAATTGTTGGTATAAACGTATTTAACAAGACAGTGCAGTGGAAGTGAGTATATTTTCCTTAACATTTTCTAGAAATTTCCGCCAGCAGCAGATGTTTTTTCCTTATTAATTGTACAACAGAAATTGTATGTCCTTCCAAATATTGAAGGCATTGATTATGTTTAAAAGAGACTGTTACAGTATGTTTACCTTCATAACGGCATTACTGTACTTTAAAAATTAAGTTAAAAGCTGCTTGCAGAATTAGTTTGAGATACTGTTCAAATGGATACACTAAACTTCAAGTTATGCAGAACTGCGATCGTATATATAAAAGATATGAATAAAACTTTTGAACTGAGCTACTCAGACTGGTGAAGCTTGTCTGTAGATATTTGCACATCTATAGATCAACTCATGATCTACAGACAAGCTCCTGAATCGACTCTGAACACATCCCCTTACTTAGGAGCTCATGAGCATCACACCTCAAGGTGACCCAGAAAAGGTGCAACTCTGGGCGTGAAATCTGAGAATATAGTCACCAGCAGGCACTGTGTTATGTTGCGCGCCCTGTGGTGGACTGGTGTACCCTGCCTCGTGTGCACTGCTCGCTGGACAGGCTCCAGCCCCCCCTCACCCCTGAGCGGGAAGAAGAAGTTAGAAAGGGGGTGGACAGATGCTGGGATATATCTCCATTTCCCTCTTTACACAGAGGTGGAGGGGCTGTTGCTCGAAGGCCGGATACCTCGCCCGTGGCGTGATCTGTGAAATCTGTAAAGCGCCGTGCGGTCTGTCTTTTCAGGCGGATGTTCCCCCCTTGTAAAGTCAGCGTTACAGGCCTGAACCCCAAAGCCAAGTATCTGCTGATGATGGACATGGTGCCCTTCGACAACAACAAGTACAAGGTACTGTAACCCCGAGCCCAGTCCTGGAGCGGTCCCCACCCCCGTTTCCTCTTCTCCCCTGTGACGTCTCTGCCCCCCCCCGCAGTGGAACAGGGACAGATGGGAGCCCAGCGGGCTGGCAGACCCCCACCTGCCCAACCGCTTCTTCATCCACCCCGAATCGCCTGCGCTGGGGGAGAAATGGATGCAGTACCCCATCTCCTTCCACAAGCTCAAGCTCACCAACAACACCCTGAACTCCAGCGGCCTGGTAAGACCCTGTCTTGTAGCCTACTGGTCTAGGTGCGTGACTACCCACTGGCAGGTTGTGTGTTCGAATCCAGCTGGTGCTGGACCTTTCAGTTTGGTGAGCTAATGGCTCTGTGGCTAAGGATCTGCGCCTGTGACTGGAAGGTTGCCGGTTCAAATCCCGCGGCCGGCAGAGGAATCCTACTCCGTTGGGCCCCTGAGCAAGGCCCTTAACCCCCAACTGCTCCAGGGGCGCCGTACAATGTCTGACCCTGCGCTCTGACCCCAGGCTTCTCTCCCTGTCTGTGCGTCTGTGTCTCCTTGGAGAAAAGCTGGGGTATGCGAAAAGACGAATTCCTAATGCACAAAATTGTATAGGGCTAATAAAGAAACATTATAAAAAAAAAAAGGTAAGACCCTGCGGCTCAGCCAGCGGTGTGGCTCCGGGTGCGGGGCGGGGGGGGCTGGGGACGGTGCAGGAGGGTGCTGCCTTCTCTGGCCGGAGGGGAACCTCGTCTTCGCAATCGGGCCGGAAGTAGATGAAACCAGGAGCTGAGCTTTGACACCATGAACAAAGCACACAGTGTGGTCCTGAGCTCTCATTTAATAAGCAACCAAACAGTGAACTCTACTGGTGTTTAAGTGAGGCCTTCGGGCCACTGAGTGACCAGCAGGTGACAAAAAACACACCGTGTGCTGACTTTCTGTATAGAAGACTACCTGTCTAATGTCTCTGAGCTCGAGCAGTGATTCAAGAAACTTATCACAGAGTCTCACTGGGAAGGGTATATTATATCTTGTACCTGAGACCACTATATCTACACTGGCCCGAGAAATCGCTGTAACGCTTTTGAATTAAAGAGCGGCTCACATATTGAGGGGCAAATGAATGTGTTTTGCATCATTTAGAAAGTAACTGCACAATTAGGTGTAGGCAGACAGACTGGGGGCGGTACTGTGGTCAGCTCTGCTGCTTTGCAGCTGTGGGGCTGTGGGGCTCCAGGTTCAATTCCAGACCTGGAATTGCTGTGTGGAGTTTGCATGTTCTTCTCTGGTTTGTGTGGGTTTCCTCCAGGTGCTACGGTTTTCTCCCACAGTCCAAAGACATGCTGGTAGACTCATTAGCCTCTGCGAAAACTGCACCCGTTGTGAGTGTGCGTGTCTGTGTGTGCCTCGCTGTGGACCGGAGTCCTGTCCGGGTAGTATCCTGTCTTGTTGTCTGGGATAGGCTCCAGCTCCCCCTTGACCCTTTACTGGATAAAACACTTCGAAAATGGATGGATGGCTAGACAAACAGCACACTGAACCGGCAGGGTCTGGTAGCTTGTGTGTGAGCCATTCCAACGCCTCCTGTTGGAGTCGCTGCAAAAGGCAGACGTCTCAATGACTCTGCGCACGGCATCAAGCAAAACTTAGATCAGTCCCTCGAGCCGTCTCACATCCGCTTTCGCAAGATATTCCCGTCGATCACACAGCGCAGCGGGCCGTGAGTCAGCCCCTGGCGGGCCAGGAAGGATGAAGACTGGGTCACCGCGCAGGTCGGCTGTGAGGCACGCCTGTGTCCCCCCCTCACCCCCCAGTAGTGAGTCAGACGTGATGCCGTTTAAACGGCTAAAGCAAGGCGCACACTGCACAGATGAGGCGGTTTTTCCACGGCGCCGAGTTATTAAAAAGTATGAGATGGAATATGAAAGCATGAGCTCGAATGCCCTCTGTGAAAGGTGTTCTAACGAGAGGCTGTGCTGGTGTCTGTGTTCCAGGTGGTGCTGCACTCCATGCACAAATACCTGCCGCGCCTACACGTCGTCCAGGCGGCTGACGTCTGCAGCCAGCGCTGGGGGGCTTATTTACACTTCGCGTTCCCTGACGCTGCTTTTATCGCGGTGACCGCCTACCAGAACGCAGAGGTACGGTTCATGCACGGTCGCTCTGGCCCTTCGGAAGAAGGTGCTTCCGGAAACCTGACTTTCTTTAAGGGCTTTAAACGTTTCTGTGGGTTTTAAAGATTGTTTCATGAGAAGTTACATCTAAACACAAAATGTCGCATGCCACCTGGAAAGTAATTGATTTCAATGGATAAGGACGGAATTACTCTTTAGAGTCATATTACACGTGACATTTTTCAAGTGTGCATCTCCACTGCCTCAACGTTCCTCTGCGAAGGCAGAAAAAGAAAGTCGTGTGCTTTTTCATTTTAACCTATGGCACTGCTCATGTGCATGAATCTGAATGGGTAGCACGACATTAGAGTGTAGTAAAAATATAAAATATTTTTTTTAATACCATAGGATAACAAGATACCCCGAACGAACCAAAAACGATTTTTAGCGAGTGATTTGCTAGTAAACGCTTCCCCCTAGCGGTTTGCTTTTAGCTGGATATGGAATCGGTGATATGTGCAGACGCAGATCTTTTTTGACAAGCCTAATCACCGTGCCTTCCGATTCTTTTGCAGATAACAAAGCTCAAGATAGACAACAACCCTTTTGCCAAAGGCTTTCGTGATTATGGCTTGAACAGCAAAAGGTAGGAGCAAAAGAATGGGACTCCCTTCCCGTTTTTTTATTTTAACTGGACAGAGCTGCTGAAACCACTGCACGGTGCTGGTACAGGCAGAACTGAGGTGCGGTGGATGCCCTTTGACCTAACCCAACATATAACATTTAACATATAACAAGCCTGATCTGCCTCTTAACCCTGGACACCCAGACTGTGCTCCAGTGGGACCATGTACCCACACAGGCCGCATCCTGGAGTCCAGCCCACCTCACCGGGCTCGGATACCGACAGAGCGTCAATGTCATTACAGGCAACGTGACCAGAGAGTCCAGAGTTCCTGCAAACGGCCGCCAGAAAATCCAGGAGAACAATCCGGGAGCGTTAATGGTAACTAACAACCCACTACTAAGACCGTCGCATATCGCTGTCCTGACGTCTGTCTTCCATCCAGTGCCTGATCTGTGAATGCCAAGGCAGATACGACCCTGCCTTTAAAACGGTCATGGACAAACGACTCAGTTTCTACAGGAGCTGGCCACGTAGGAGAAATTCGACTTCGTATGCTGGCGTACTCTGCAAACACTGGGGCCCCCGAGCCTTAGACCGAAATAGTAGCCTGTTTCAGCAATGTGGTTTCTTTGTAGATCATTCCTCGCTTTATTTGGGCCACGCTAAATGGCTGTTTTTTTAGAATCCAAGACCGGAGACACGGACGACGCAGACTTCGCAGTCTCCAGCACAGAAGAGCCCCACACTGCGGAGCGTAGGGCAGGCAGCCCGGACTCAAACCCCTTCATTTCCGCTTTCATGAGGAGACACGAACGTGGTGCGTGTGGCGTGGAGGAGTGGACCGAGGGCCACAGGGGGCCCCTGCTCAACAGCCAAGACGCCCTGGATACCACATGTGGTCTCAGGTACAAGCGAGCAGCTCATCCCGAGATCCTTAACTTTCAGAGCCAGACAGCAACAGCAAGAGGCCTAGATCGTGCCTTTTCACAGCAGAGCTGCTGGGAGTCTCAGTGTTTGCAAAAAAGACTTGACTTATTTCAATGCTGTAAGATTATAATAATAGCTTACACTTATATAGTGCTTTTCTGGACACTCCACTCAATTTATACAGTAGATGGGGATTCACAGCGGTTGTGAGAGATCACACATTCAGAGTACCTCAGAGCAGGAGAGCCTACCTTCCGTCTCGCCCTCCTTCTTCCAGCTCCTGCCACTACCCAGCCAGCGCCGCTCTCCAGCCCCCCGGCCCCGTCCCGCCGTCCTCCGACCAGCGCTTCCCCCAAGGCTGGGGGGACAGCCGGGCCCCGGGGGCCCAGCCCTCGACCAGCGGCGGCCCGCCCGGGGGCCTCCCCCTCCCCCTGCCCCCCAGGGTCAGCAGAGTCCGCCTCCCCGAGAGCCTGGAGACCGCCGGGCCCCTGACCTCCGACCCCAGCGGGCCCCGGCCCCTGGCGGACATCCTGAACAGGATCCGAGACAAACCCGAGGCCGCGCAGGGGAGCCCGGGCGTGTGGCATGGCCCCGGACGGGGCAGGGGCTACTCTTTCCACCCCGGGGGCAGCAGTGCTGGATACCTGAGCAGCTTGACGACTGGGGCTTCCGTCGGCAACAGCCTCCTGGACGTCAGAGCTAACCCAGGAAATGCCCCCTCCCTCGAGTGCCCCTACAGGGCACCCGTGATGGACTTCTATTCCAATCTGTATGGAGTCAAATAAGGTAGTAGGGGCACATCTTACTCGAGAAAGACTCCAAAGCTCCAGCCACAGCGCTCGTTTCGTCTAGGCAGAGAGACCATGCATAGACTTCCTTCCTTTTGTAATTGTCTGTGACGTGTGGCGGATGACCAGTGGGGTCATGAAGGTCATATCACAGGACACGGTTTGGATCGACAGCTGCTTAAGAGCATCATCCAGTTTGGATGATACAAGTCCTGTGAAAAGCTTTGGAGAGATGAAGTATATGAAGCCACAGCTGCTAAAAACAGTCATGTCAGAGGGGAGCTATTTGAACAATGAAAACCCCAACATCCTGTATTGAGATTGTCGTGAAATAAACACTAATGCATGTTGAAATTAAAAACCATAAAGAAACAGAACTGGATGCCATCGACTCAGCTCAGCTCTAAAGGCAATCAAACGCTCTTGCCTACCTGCTATATTTGTGAAGTGGCCAGGCTGTCCAGTCCAATCGTTTTACTACTGCCAGCTGTGAATTTATGTCATTTTCAAGCTTTTTTCTTGTGTGTCCAGGTTCTAAATTAAAACAAGTATTGTCTGAAGTCCAACAGTTTTACTGTGTTTGCACAACTGTACATTTAACATGGAAAGTCTGCTCTATTGTAAACTGAAACCCCAGTTCATGAAGCCCTGTATGAAGGAAAAGAGCAGGTGTGTAGATGAATTAACAAGGCATTCCAAGTACAAACCCAGATTTAAGTCTGAAACAGTTAAAACCCCCCTGGGATTAGCCTTAATTTTAGGTAGACCAAATCACATAAAAAATGTACCAGGCTTTCACCAGTGTGGAGTATAAAATAAGCCAAAGAATAACACACATCAAGCTAAGGGACAAAACAAGAGGTAGATGTGCCTGGACTGCATGCATTGTAGGAGTCTTGAACCCAGGCTTTTCCCGAAGGCTTAATGTCTTCTGGGTTTTGTTCCACCCAAACTTAGTTGGTCTTATTATTTAAATAGCTGCACAATTATAAAGTTCAGAATGAGATTCTGAGCATTTTTATACAGTAAGTAGCTGTTCCTTTAAAGTGAACATTTCGAGCAAAAAACATGTAAAACAAATCACAAAACATACCGATACCTGTATAGCTTAGAAAAAACAATCAGGGTAATTGTTTTAATTTACTACTTAATTTACAAAAGCAGAAGACACATGGCCGTGTAGGAACAGAGTCAGACACCTGGGCGGTGTGGAATTTCCTTAAATTTCCTTTTTAAGGAAGAATTTCCCTGAATTCTTTGAAGATGAATGTCTTAACAAACACATAAAAACCCCGTGGTGGAAGGGACTCTCTTGAACACAATGCTCAAAGAAAGAAAAACCGCCCATCTCCTCTCGCAGCTTCATCCAACCAAGGGTCAGGGGAGAGCCGGAGCCTATCCCAGCAAGCAAAGCGAGGCAGATTCTGGACATCCTCACAGGGCACACAGACAGAAACATGCACCCACTCACATCAGGGCCAGTTATCCCACAATCCAATTATCCTACCCGTATGTCTTTGGACTGTGGGAGGAAACCCAGAGAGAACATACAAACTCCACGCAGACAGCACCCCAGGAACTGAATCCAGCGCCGTGGGGGCAGTGATGGTAACCACAGTGCCACCTGCCACGCGTTACCAACAAAAGTAAAAGCAAGAAAGTATATTCTTTTGCAACAGCCACCTCGTTTCTTTTAATTAGGACTTAAGAAGGTGAAGAATCCAAATCAGAAAATAAAACAACCTATCCTATATCAGATTGAAAGACGACATCTTAAAACACAGTTTTCAAAGCCTCTTCCCAATGTTCTGTAATATACCCACCGGATTCTGAATTTCAACAGCGGAGAGACAATGAGAGAACGAGGGGATTGCAGACAGACCTCATCCCTGCTCACACTGTCGGAGTTCTACTCAGTCCGACTGAGCAAATGCTCGGTGAGAACCGGAGCAGTCCTGCTCCACAAACCACTACGAATGACGTTTTTTTTAAAAAAAAAAAACACTTCTAATATGTGGGGAGCATTCTTCTGCAAGAACCAGGTGGAGATTCAGAATGAAGTGACATAAGTTTTATTACATTTACGTAACATTCCAATATGCCGGACTACAAATGAGTTACAACAGGCACGTGCAAAAAAATAAAAAAATCAACATGCAGATCATGATGGTTGGAGCACGTAACAGTCGTCTTCAATATGTTCACTTGATTGACATTAACTTCAGTACTTAAGCAGACAGATCTCATTTAGATGCTTGACAGATATTATACATATTAGAAATAAAAAATAACCAATAGCCTTTCCCCACATTTTCAGTTTCAGCTCTTTAACCCATAATATGCCACCCAAACATAGAGGCTTACATTTACAAAACATGTAATTACAAATTCACATGTTCATTTATGAGCAGAGCATCTCCCAATCTCTTTATGAATCCAACACTAATGGCAGCATGGCACCTGATGCATTTCACCACTGCCTTGGATGTGTTTTGGCATCAACGAGTTACGGAGCCAATCAATAACAAAATACAGCATCAAAGTCAGAATTCAAAAGCAAAGTTAACCCAGTGGTGCCCAACTCTAGTACTGCAGAGCAAAAAGCAGCCCAGCAACAGGTGTTGGCATGCAGATGCTCCAGTTAAGCCAAAAATGTGTTCATTTGGGAATGAAAACCTACAGACATTAGTGGCACCCCCGAGTTAACTGAACCAAGGGAACACCAGCAGCAAATCACGCAAATTCTGACGGCAGTCCGGTATTATGTTATTTTAAAAACATTTCACATTGAGGAGAACAAAAAAAAAAAAGTTTTCAACAGCTTCAGTTTCTTGCAAAACGAAATCAAGCCATAGCAAAAAAAAAAAAAAAAGATTTCTTGATTGGCTGCACAAAACTTCAGTTTTCCAAGATGTAACAATTTAGAGAACAAAATACATCAACTAAAAAAACAAAACCCTCAAGCTCAAGCATTCGATAGATAAAGGCACACTTCCTTTAAACCAAGTCATCTTGAGGGAGAAACACAGCACCTCGTCTGCTCATAGCCCTCGGTTGTCTCACATATAAAGCTAAGGAATCAGCCGTCTGTTCGGAAAATTATTTTAAATGGGCAAAGGGCCCCTGAGGACACTGTGTACACTCAGGCTGCTTCAGTTTGGCTGACAGGTTACAGAAAGGTGAAGTAATGTTTGTGACTCGCTGCCCCCTCAGCAGTCCCCCACATCTACACATGAGTTTGTCCGTTTCTTTCCTCTCAGAAACTTACAGCCAGGTCAAAGCTTTTCACAGGCTATCCTCACCTGAGGTCCACGTTCACCAAGAAGGTACAGGAGAGTCCACATGTTGGAGCAGCGCAGTTGAACAGGAAGAGGTATCTCGAAAACTCAGTCACTAGATTCTGACATTGTGAAAACAGTACGTTCACAGCACTTAAGACAGGAGACTAAACAAAAAAAAAGAAAAGAATACACACCACACATGGTCATGGATGGAGCAGAAAGTGACTAACACTACTATACAGTATATATTACAGTCAAGTGGAAATGAATCCAATGGTAAAGAAATGGTCTGAAAGCAGTGTACGTCATTGAAAGAAAAAAACCACGTCAGGGCTGATTTCAGCTGCTTCTCCTGGGATGGGATTTTATTTCAAGCCGATGTGAAACCTCAGCCAGGAAGAGTCCTGCCACATGGTCAGGCAAGGCTCAGACCGCACTCGACCCGGCCAGTCTCTAGCATCTGCTGGGCAGCTCGGATAGAGACTCCGTGACCATCTCAGAAGTGAAACTAACTAGGCGCTTAGTGGTTTGGGCTTTCCAGTGGTTGAAGTAGAAACATAAAAAAATAAAACTTTTTAAAAATATAAAACGTCTGACAGCAATATAACAAGACATCCTGTAGCCTACAATGTCACAACATGACAGGTGAATCCATAAAAACAAAGAGAAATACGACAACACAGACATTTACAGATGTATATACTATATGGCAACCCCACAAGATATATGATAAGATTGGTTTGATTGATTATATGAAACAATCTGCTGATACCTTTGTGGCTGATAAATCACAGTACGAAAGCTGGACTAACAAACTATCAGTACTTTAATCTGACTAGCATTATTCACAGGCTCAGGCGCAACATGAGAAAAACCGTAAAACAAGAAACGTAACGAAATGAACTCTTTTTTCAAATACTTCAAAGAAGCGTCTATTATACCATTTATGTAAGTGGAAAAAAGCTGTAAACTACATCTTATTAATAATATTTAAACAGTTAAGTAGAAAGATACACTCCTTTAAATTGTTAAAGCTTAGATGTTGTATACAGTAAGTTCTAGTACTTCAATCTGATTAGCTGTTCTGTATTAGTATAAAGAATGTGGAGAGCCTGACAGGATTCTGTCTCGAGCTCCGTTTAAGGCCTTTTGATTTTTCCTTATATGGCTTTACATGTTAATTTATATACAGATGTAGACAAGCACACAAAAATACACACGGAGCTGCTTTTTGAATACCTGCATGCCAAGAAGTTTTGATTAAATTTATGGTGGTGTGGCTGAGGTTTAGAATTCAGACCTGCCTTCCTCTGGTGCCTGATGGTTCCCCGTTTTGAAAGTCTTTACTTAAACACTTAATATGCAAAGCCACCATGTACTTCAGGCCTATTAAATAATCGAATCCAACCGATTCCTGTTCTCTGCCATAGCAATGAATTGTTAGTTCCCGATTTAGTAATGGGTCCTAAGAGCCTTTAAAGAAAACATTCTTATAGTAAGATTCCTGTTTGTGGAAGAGACTATAACCAATTATAAACTTAACAATACTTCATTAAAGCAAAAAATATTACAATCATGGTTTACTGCATGCTTACTAACCAAGAAGGCTACAATTCTATGAATGCACTGCAACAGTGAAAAATGAAAGGTCTTTCATTTTAACAAGACTGAATATGTTAGTCTGGCATGCGTGTGACTGCTTTTGTGAACATTGGGTCTGTTAAAGAGAATTAAGAACAGTGGTGGCAGAAATGGATTAAATAATTCCATACTTTCAAAACATAAATGTACTTAACAAATAAAAACATTCTAAAAGTAACGTGCCACAGAAAATGCAGATCACCTTTGGGCCATCAGCCCGATAAAATTCTTCGCCACCCTTCCACATTTTGGACTACCTCTCGGTAGGCATAAATCCCTGCTTCCGCTCATATCCCTTCACTAAGATCGAAATCCAAATCCATCGAAGAATCTCCAGATTGTTCTATGCCCACTCTGAGTCTGCTGGCATCCAATAATCTTTGCTGTTGTTCATCAGTGAGAGATGTGGCTTGAGAACAATAACTGCTACTATCAGTACTTCCACAGGAATATGGCACCAATAAGCTGCCTGAGTACAGTGATTAGAATGACTGTTCGTTACTAATGAGTGCAGGCTGTCAGAAATGAAGAAAATGCCGGCTACCTACTCTCTGGAATGGAGGCTGACTGTGTACACTGTGCCATGGAACTCCTCAGCCTGGTTCTGATGCCTGACCTTTGCTCCACATCCTGAGTTGCAATGCAGTATTTATCCACCAGGCGGCACACAGGTCTCAAGGCAATGCTTAATCTCCCCGTGTAGGGTCCTTCAAGTTTTTCTTATAATAATAATGAGGGGCAAGAATTCAGCTGCCCGTTCCATCACCAGCACAAGACAAACTGGAGATACTTAATCATAATTACTGTACCGAATTGCTAAATGAAGCTAAATTTGATTACCTCAAGGGCAGGCTAAAATGAAAATGAGCACCGATTTTCTGGGGACCCAGCTTGGAAAAGTTATACAGCCTCTTTCATCGAGCTGGATTACTCAACAATGATACACTGGGTAAAACAACACAGGGAATCAATCAATCAATAGCCCAGACCTACAACATACAATAGGCAACACATGTGCTCCCCTGGAAATTCCCAAATGCTTCCACAGATTATTCCGACAACCATGATATGAATCCGTGTTCACTGAGACATTGTCTTCATCTACATTCTCTGCTGTTGGGCAAAGTACAACTTGGGAGAATTTAAAAGCATGGATCTGTTCTTTTTTGCATCCACATACTGGATGATGAAGAGTTTCAGCACCTCACCTTCCACAGTCTAACTAGTACAAACCTCTCATTGTGAACATCAAAACTACTTGGCATAGCACAGCGTTATGGTCATGTCTTCCGTTTGGGAACACAACCAGTAGGAGCTTGTGTGGGCTACAGCCTGAGATCAAGGATACAAAAACAACTTTGATTAGACCAAATTCACCACAGCTCACTGTAGCAGTGACTCAGCCCATCAACTGTGCAACATCTACTGTGGTGCAAAGATGAAATGACCATATAATTTCTGTTGCAAGTATTCTTCACAAATACCAATTATCTTAAAACGGACAGGCAGAGTGCTGGGATCCAATGGCTTTTCGTCTGGGAAATAAAAATTATACGTCTTAGAAAAAATGACTTTGGATCACTTTTTTAGAAATCTAGGTAAGAAAGTTGGTGGCATACTTTAAATTGTTACATTTGACAAATCAGAGGCATGACTGGAGGGGGAGAAAGAAAGTATTCGATACAGCCCCTGTACTCATTACAGAACACAGGGCCTCCTTAACCTTAACAGCGGCAGAGACACGCTCAGCACAGACGCCTTTACAGCTCGAGGCCTGTTACTGTAAGGAAACAGAAGACTGACGAGTGAGGATATTTTCCGATACCCGCTTCATATAGCTTTTTAAAATTGGTCTTAAAACCCCATTAAACAATCTAAATTTAAGAAAAGTAAAGTTAAAAGGAGAAGTGTTTCATGCATACGTTCTGGTCCTATAAAATAAGGCACCAGAGGTTTGAAAAAAAAAAATTCACTTGTCTGTAGAAAAGACTCAATTTTCAAGTGTTTTGAAGGCAGTCGATGTGAGAGAGTGCATAAAACAGACATGTTTGAGGAGATACGAGGGCTCGGTTTTCATGCTTGTGGATTGGTTATTTTCTGGAGTAAGGGAATCTGTTGAACAAGAAGAAATACATGGTATTAAAGAGATGGTGAACATGTTGTTTCAGCAATCATTCAGAATTAGACCAGAACCTTATGATCAACAGATCCATTACTGCTGAAGCAATACAGAATCAGAAGAGCCCCATTTCTGTACACGGGGCCTCGTTAACACATGCAGTGCTTGCTTCCTATTAATCCTGTTAATATTCCTATTTATTAATGAATAAGTACTAAAATTTCAGCATAGACAGAAACAAACAGTAGACAGCTGAATCCATCCCTCCATCAAGACTACCACAAATTCGATTAGTGGGAATGCAAACAGTCTGCGTACACGTTGGGGGGGGGGAGGGGTTGCGGTCAGCCCCCTGATGTTTTCTTACCTTGGTCAAGTCCACGCCGGTCAGCGCGTTGACCGAGACGGGGAGCTCCGCCAGCAGGCGGGTCACCTCGCCCGTCACCCGGCTGCCGTCTCCACTGAGGATGACTATCTCGTTCGTCTTGGCCAGGGGGGCAGCCACTTTTCCAGCGATCTGGACGGGAAGAGAGCCGGGATTCCATGAACGAGACCCATGCCGGGTCTTGGGAGCATTAGCGGGAGCCGCCCAACACCAGCGATACAGACACGACGATACCAATGTAGAACCTGATGGCGTATTTCCATGAGCCTGCACCCCGATAGAGTGCAACAGGCCAGTTAACCTAGTAGCGCCTGTGCTTGTATCAGCCTTCTGCGTTGGCTACCTTCATAATTATGGAACCAGCTGCTACTATGTTTGTGTCTGGTCCATTCTGGCATTGCTTACTTTTAATATACCAAGGAATAAAGAAAAAAATATATTAGGGCTGTAACAGAGGGTAAGTCAAATATTAATGCTTTATTTAAAGGTCTAAAGCAGCATGCATCTTTTTTGCAAAGTGTGTACTAACACTGCCTCCAGCGCTGGCTGCGACCTTACCTTAGGAAGTGCCTCCAGGACGAGGGCGGTCTTGGCAGCCTCTCCATACTGCTGATAGGCTTCAGCCTTCAGCCTCATCTTCTCAGCCTCGGCTTTACCTATGGCCTCAATGGAGCCGGCTTCTGCCTCTCCTATCTTCCGGATCTTTTCTGCCTCGGCCTGAGCCGTGAGCACCCTTTTGATTCTGGCAAAGCAAAGGACAGTCGACGTCTGTGCACTGCTCGTGCAGCTCCGACCGGAGAGGGCGTGTCTCTATACAGACATTCATCAGTCCGGATACTTCCCGTCGCGGCTCTGCGGATTCCAGGAGTCCCGCTAGCAGCATTCGTTCATCTACCCATCTTCACACATCACACATCTTCTAACTGTTTTATCCAATTCAGGGTTGCGGGGAAGCCAAGGCCTATCCCAGCAAGCAAAAGGCGGAAGATACCCGGGACTGGACTTCAAAGATATACCTTCCATGCATCTATCCATTCTTTAACCGTTTCATCCAAAACAGGGTCCCAGGAGAGCCAGAGCCAATCCCAACAAGCAATGGCTGCAAGGCAGGGTACACCCTGGATAGGACAACAGTCCATTACTGGACACACACTGACACGACCACACACACACTCACACCAGGGCCAGTTTTCCTACCAGTAGGTCTTTGGACTGTGGGAGCAAGCTGGGGCCCCCGGAGGAGACCCACACAAACACAGGGAGCCCATACAGACTCTGTGCAGGTAGCAACCCCAGGGGCCCTGCGCTGCGGGGCAGAAATGCTAACCACTGCACCACCGTGCGGCTCAATGATATACCAATAGGTTTATAATAAAACAAAGATTTGAAATATGCAAGATAATTATCAGTGTGGTAATACCATTCTTACAGGATAGTCAACGTGGATTTAGAAAAAGTGCGTCTCATCTTTGAGCAAGCAACGGCAGCAACGGATAAGCTAAACACTTGTGCTTTAAAGAGTACTCACCACAAACTCTTAAATGGCTTATGATAACTATAATAACCCAAGAGGGCAACGTTCAGTTTTGAACCCACTGAGCACTAGCAGTGAGGAACACTGGGAAAGAGCCCTACTCACTTCTGTCCTTCAGCCAGCTGCTGCATCTTGTAAGCCTCAGCCTCGGCCGGCCTCTTGACGGTGCCGATGAGCTCCTTGTCCATCCTGGCTACCTCCTTCTCCTCGATGGTGATCTGCTTCTTGCGCTGCACCACCTCGATCTCGATCTCCTCCTGCCGGATCTGCTGCTGCTCCTTGGCGGCCTGCAGCTCGTAGGCCAGCTGGGCCTCTGCTTTCTAACCCACACGGACAAGACAGGCGCTGTTATCCGGTGTGGGGTGCAGCAGGCAGGCAAATTACAGCTCAAAACACAGAAGTATCAGCCCCCCTCCAATCAATCTCAAGTGCTTAGACTAAAATCACACGGAGATGTGACCCACACTAAGAAACTGTGTCACCAAGTGATCCTGTGCACATTATATGGTTTATGGAGGAGAAGATTAACTAAACAGAAAATTAGGGTTTCCAGAGTACTGGAGCAGCAAAAAAAAAAAAACTTCACACTACACATGTTTGCTGATGAATCTCAAAGCTAATCGAAACCCACAAACCACAACCCCAGCACGGGTTTCACATACCTTTGTGTTGACTTCCTGGTTGAAAGCAGCTTTCTGCATTTCCAGTTCTCGCTTCGAATCGGCCATTTTAGTGTCAGCCTGGAACTTGATGTCCATCATCTCCTTCTTGCAATCGGCTTCCTATGGGGGGGGGGGGACAACAGAACAGCAGTACTGGGACAAGAGCACATGCCAGTAGAATGAGCTAGAGGAATCAGGGAACACATGCAAAACAGGAAAATGAAAAAATCCCAAGATCTGCATCTTGGAATCATCTCCAGCCCAGGGTGCCTCCAAAGCTCTACAGTCTTGTTACTTTGCTGATATTGTAATAAAGATCATACATAGCACCATCCTGCAATTACTATGGTCTTAATAAGACTCGTTATGACAGCAGGACCACGTATTATCCAAAAGACTCATTAGAAGAACCCATGCCGTACAAGGGATACAGTTATCCGTAGCCAAGACTAAAATCCTGGTCTCTCACCCTTATTCCGGCATCCCTCTCAGCTTCCGCCACTCCGATGTCCGCGTCTCTCTGGACGGCAGCCGTCTGAGTCTTCCCCAGGGAGCTCAGGTACTCCACCTTGTCGTACACATCCTGCAGGAGACGCACATCACAACGTTTCACAACTGGTCTTCACCACCACCACCACCACCACCACAGGGCTCAGAGTAGCACCACCACAAGACAAATGTTACTGTAATCCAGAAGAAGCAGTATCTTCATTTTAGGGCCTTTATAAGTACTAGGTAAAAAAAGAGACCCTGTAGCTTAAAGAACAGTGCATACATGTGCATTTTTTGTTTGCATAGGTGAACAAAAAAAATCAAATCATATTTTTGGATTCTGGAAACTATATATTTGTCTTTTTTATTCAGGATTCTGCCATCAGAACCCACTTATTACTCCACCCTTCCAGAGGCTGCCGATGGACACCAGACTGCAATGGGTCCAAAACAGCCGTGCTGGATTCTGCATCGGCAACAACCCGAGCAAGTTCATCAAAGAGCTGTCGCTTTTTTCAGGATTTCAACAGCCCACAACGTGCGAGGTTCAGGAGGCGCGGCCCCTTTGCTCTTCCCATCCGTCGCCGGACCCCCACCTTGATGGTAAAGCTGAGGATCTCGATGCCCATTCGCCCCACGTCGGGGGCTGCCACCTCCCGCACCAGCTTGGCAAACTGATCCCGGTCCTGGTAAATCTGCTCCACCGTCAGAGTACCTGGGCAGTGCAGGGCACAGACACGCTAAGCGTTACCTCCTCAGCGCGTTCTCGGAATAAGTGCAAAACCCGCTCTGCGGGCCTGAACAGAAGATCCAGTTCACTTTCCACTGGTTTCAAATTAAATATCTCTTTCTACCTGATGAGGCTAGATTGCCAAAATTCTTCAAAAGAAGCGAGGTGAAAAACAGAGAAAAGAACGCCTGTATCATCCTCTCTACCACAAGGTAACGGGTTGTTAATGACGGGTTTAAGGCATCACCGTTCTGAAGGCGAAACATTCTTACACAAATGTAACACGCATGGTGTCACAACATGACGTGCTGAACATCTGCACACTCCACTGAGCAGGAAAGCACTTACCCAAGATGGAACGCAAATGGCCCTCCAAGGTCTGCAAAACAACGTTTTTAATTTCCTGGACAGATTTTCCCAGAAACTGCTCACAGGCTACTGCCAGCAGTTCGTTTTCTGTCATTATTTTTACCTGCAAAATGAGATAAATGACAGATCAGGGGACGAACGCAAGACCCAGCACACATGCCTAATTCTGGGAATACACTTTGACAGCCTTCTAAAGGCAAAAGCACAAATGTTCAAGTCATTACAGTTTAAAGAGGATTTTTAAGGAACATTATTAAAATCGTAACTTCATAAACTGTAAAGTACCCAAGCAAGGGATAGAAATCTCTATACCCTGTGATTTATTACAGAGGCTATCATGACAAAATGCTAGAAGTGCACCTGAACCAAAAACATCTTTACACATAATGTGTTATCAGCTTTTGGTTTAACAAAATGTTGCTTTTTGATCCCTTCTATTTTTTTAAAAACTAAGACATCTTATGTAGTACTGATATGTAAAAAACAATACAATAACAAGTACTAACAAAGACATCTGTGCTTTTCTGCAATGTAGACACAAGCCATTCTCAAACAAAGTGTGGAGGGCTGTTTGGACTTGGTACCAGTTCTCCCGCTGAGCCAGACATGTAAATCATGTCTACGGTCTGCAGCCAACGCAGCAAAAAAAAAAAGCAATTTGTTCCGTTGAGGCAAAAACATCAGACGTTTCTTGCCATCACAGGCTTCAGAACAGCCATAACCAAAAAAACAGGATTCAGGTAAAGAACATAGGCTATGGTACAGACAGACTGCGGCACGATGTAATGGCCTTGAAAGAACATTCTGAATAAATCCAAAATAAATTAAAACAGAAGGGGGTGGGAGCTGAAAAAATTGTTTCATAACCAAGTGCACACTCAAGATCCTTGATGCAATACAGCTCTGGATGACCTTAAACTGCATCAGCTTCAGATGGTATTCGGCAAGGGATCTTCTCTGCTAGCACCTGAAACATCTCTGGCAAATTATTCTACATTCAAGCCAGCATAACCGTGTTTTGGGGAAACAAACTAATGTTTTGTTATGAATTTACAGGGCCTTTTTCTTTTATGGAATCACAGATTTTCATTTCATTACTGGCTATAAAAAAAGAAGCCTCATGCACAAGTATGTATATTTGAAAGCCTGAGTTTAACTTTCATTCGGCACCTTTCCATGTCTCCAGTGATCCCGAACCATGCAGCCTGAGCAAGCTTCCATCAGTACAACCTGACACCCAAGTGTGGGGCGTGCCTTACATAGGCCTGTATAATACCCACTCATTCACTGCAGGAATTTTGCACAGTGACCTGTGTGATCTCCTGTTGACTGTGCCCCCTGTGCTGAGGGCTGCGTCCAGCCAGTTCTATTGAAGAGTTTGGATCTGAACCTGGGATCTCCCCGGCTGTAGCAACTCATCCAAACCACCTCCCACCTGCACAGACACAGCATGTGGGCCTCCAGAGATCTGACAAGCTTTGAAAAATGATTCTTCTTTAAAACAGACTGTTCCTTTAGGGTCAATGGAGCATTGTCTATCTAGATACATTGCTCATGTTTGAATTATCATCAGCACAAGTCAATAGTCACTTTAACCCTCTATATCCTGAATTTGTTTTTGTTGTGAAATAAAAGTAAAAAGTGCTCAGAAATTGCAAGAATGTTTTCATCATTGTACAACAACATATACAGGTATCAGGACTTAGAAATCCCAACAGGCCTCTTTGCACTTATAATGATCACAGCCATGTGGAGGATTCTGATGTCATTAGGTTGTAAAATGCAAGGTGTGCATATACAGTATGGTTTCATTAGATGCAATTATTCATTTTATGCATGTCAATTATGAAAAAGAAGCATTCATATAAATAAAATTCAGATACAAGCAATGACTTAAAATTCAATGAAAAAATAATTGTGGTGAAGTTCAAACTTCCTGCACAGGAAAACTTTGCAGAGTGTGTATCCTGAATGTGGGTGAGGTTTAGTTTTTTTAGTGGCACACAATGCATACCGGGCTCTTTGGCAAACTGTTAATGCCGGGGCTAGCGACACCAGTGTGGTCCTCGTTTTTGTAGTCTAATATCACTGCTCACTCAAAACCACCCCTTTCTCCTACTTGCAAGTGGCAAGAAGCCCAGATCCAGAGCTCAAAGACTTTTTCTACTGACGGGGCTTTCCTGTCCTGACGGACCATAAATGGCAAAGAAAAGCAATACCCATTGAATGGAAAATGACTAATTTGGCACCCATCTACATCAAGGGGAACCGAACCAAACCAAGCAATTGTAGTTATAATTTTGATTATATACCACCCAAGCATCTATCCATTCTTTAACCGTATTATCTAATATAGGGTCACAGGTGAGCCAGAGCCAATCCCAACAAGCAATGGGCGCAAGGCAGGGGACGCCTTGGATGGGACAACAGTCCATTGCACCACACAGACTGACACGTCCACACACAATCACGCCAGCACAAATTTTCACAGAAGCCAATAAACCTACCAGTATGTACTGAGACTGCAGGAGGAAACTGGAGCACCCAAAGGAAACCCACACAGACAGCACACCAGAAACTGAACCCAGAACTCCTGCTCTTGGAGGCTGCAATGCTAACCACTCTGCCACTATGCTGGCCAATAAGATACCAACAGAGTTATAACGAACCAAAGATTTGAACCAAGCTAATTATATGTATGGTAACAGTATTCCTACAGGATAGTCAACATGGGTTTAGAAAAAGGAGATCTTACTGAACTGAGTTCTTTGAGTAAGCAACAGCAGCAATAGATAAACACAGAGTAAATGACATGGTAAATTTCTATTTTCAGAAGGCCCTTATTAAAGTTTCACATAATCTAATTGTTAAACTGAAGGCTGAAAGCATCCGAGGCAATGCCTACAATCTTTTGAGATCTTCTTAATGGATAGAAAACAAGAGCACAGCAGAGATAATGAACGGATGCTCAATTAGGGTCATGTCATTAGTGCAGTACCACGGAGATCTGCATTAAAAACCAGTGGTTGTCTTAATTTATACTGATGACAGTCTGATGGTAGAGTCAGTGGGTTTCTCTCAATTTTGTTTTCCACTTCTGCAGAAAGATTTAGATAAAAGGCAGGACTGGGCGTGGAATTTAAATGTAACTACGTCATGTTAATGGGGTTTTTCATTTTTGAGAATACAGTACATTGCAAAATAATCTTGCCGCTCTTGAATAGGTCCAGATCAAACCCGTCAGGTAGTGGCTTAAAGAAATGCCCTACACTGACAGGCTGGAAGAACTGAATCTCTTTAGATTTGAACAGAGAAGACTATGAAGGGATTCAAAGGCATTCAACATGTCAACCCACTGGAGTTCAGAATCAGTGAAACATGAACCACAGAACAAGTGGAAAGTACATTAAAACTGGAGCTTCTGGGAGCATGGATCAAGCTATCCAGCCATGTTGCTGAAGCCCATGCCCTGGCTTCTTTCAAGAATCTGGATGAGATCATAGGATCAACAGGCGGCTAGAATAAAACCAAACAGCCTACTCTTGTTAGGAACTTCTTTTAGATTCTTGAGCAGGTTGGCCAAAACCTGCAGCGGGAATTATCCGTTGTTCTCCGATTGGGAACAGTTTCCACAATCAAGTGGGCGACATACTCCTACTTAGTGGCAGGCACTGTGTTCCAGCCCCAGTGCAACCGTGCTTAAGTTCTGTTGTTTCGGGTAGTGCAAGCAAAAACAAAAAGTGTGGCAGCTATGCAATCCACCGTAAAGGTACAGCATGAGAAGGCTGAGTGCTGGTCTGGAGGACGTCAAGAGCGATGGACAACTGGTTGCTTTTAGAGAACAACCTGTACAAACAGCAGTTCACTCGTGGAGAAGCTTTACAGTAAGCAAATGAGACAAAGTGCAAGAATCAATATACCACTTAGGTCTAAGCCACATCTCACACAGCACGATTTGCATATTTAGCAAGGAAATGTGTCACAGACACAGCACGAACATTACCAGAATAATGGCAGCAGCAAAGTGAAGCCTGTCGGAGAAGCACAGGGTGCTTGTTGAGATAACACCCTGGATGGGACATGAGTCCATCACAATGCATCTGTATGCAAACTCTCACATGTTCATAGACACTAATCAACCTAACCAGCATGACCTTTGGAAGGCAGTGTAGGCTGGGATCAAACCCGGCATGCAATTTCTAATTGCTATTTCCCCATGCCACTTATAATTAGTAACACTAAGTGCTATGCCTCCATTCCACCCTGTTTTAAGACCCAATTCTTGACAGGAAAATGGTCAATAGCATAACATTCCTTCCAAGATTAGTCATTTTCCTTTAAGATTACGGAGGCATTATCCTCTCCACTTGTGATGAGTAAAGAGAACGGATTTCACATGGGAACAGAAGAATGCTCTTTTCCACTAACCTTTCACAATGATCTGCTTACAGCAGGCTTCTGTGTAACGAAAACTAATCTGATAAGTCTCATCCTTGTGAGAGACCGCTGTGTCTGAGCCTAGGGTGTTGCTGGTCTGCAGTTGATATCTGTGGACAGTAAAAGTCATGCCTCGGATGACTCAAATGAATCAAGCATTATTACTTGGCTTTCAGAAAACGGGAGCTAAATGATCTGTTACAGGAAAAGAATCCCTTAACCGATGCCAAGAAAAAGCTATTTAGCTCAAAACCCATAACAGAATTTACAGGTTTCAGGTTTTTCAATGGATGAAAAATCCCTGTGCTTTTTTGCTGTTGCTTTTCTAACATTACTTTAGACATAAATACAACTGTTGTCTTGTTTATGCATGTTCAAGGTACTTCTGAGCAGCAGCATTTTAATAAAGCAACCAGCTTTAATTAAGCACCACACATCACAGTGATGAAGCGGTCTTAAATTAGCAATAACGACACCTGACCAATTCCATATTGAAAATGATGACTTTTACTAATGTTGAAGCTGTCAGCAGCAGGGTGTGTCTGAAAAACAGGAGCTTGGTTTCAAGGAAACAGTGTGATGGCTTTCTGTGGCAATATAGTGTTGACCAGTCAGCGATAAGTTACTGATCATACAAATGTGTCAAGTGATTGTGGCATCCAGTCCTAATCAGGGACAAGATCCTGCGATTCCCTGCAGTTCTATTGCAGCAGACGACAACAAATGATGCCCACATTTATTGCAGAGGATACCAAGCAAAGCAATGATTCCAGTTAGGAATTTCTGGAATTCTGTGATGCTGCAGTTGGCAAACGATCACTCCAGCCATAACTGGCATTGTTACACTGGCAGGCAAATGTATCAACACCGGAAAATCGGCTCCGCAAATCTCAGATCAGCTTGAAACACTGCCCAGCAACACATCCTCTGGGGACATATGAAAGTGTCCAGTGAAGACAGCACATTACAGCTCCACACAATATCAGTGCTGCATTCAATCTGCTTGGGTTGGACTAACCATATGGGCCACAGATGTGAGCTCCCCTGTTTATTGATCACCATTATAATGTTCTTTCAACTCGGCAGTCTCTCACAGACCATCCCCCATGTCTCGGGAGGTCTTCCACATCGTCAAAACTGAAACATTAAACCGGCTCCTCACTTGGCTGTCTTTACATCCTCAAATACATGACAACAAAAAAATCAAGAAACAGCTGCACATGGTTGCATGACAATGTGCACACGAGGGAACATGCTACAGACACATGGGGCATGCAAGTCCGTCAAGGAGCGCATTCTCTGCCAAACAGCTGAGGACAACCCTGCACAGGGGCTCCTTTGAGCAAACTGGATAGAAAATCAGTGGTGGCGAATTAGAGCTGGTGAGTGCAAGAGGACATATTTCAGGTTACAAGCCATCTCACTAGTGTGTAATACTTGTTTTTAGGGCAGGCACAGAAACTCTGATTCTCTAATGTTACTGTATAATAATGCCTTCTACTAACCAGATTATGAGGAGAAATGATACAGACAGCATACGTTCTGCATTTCAGGAATCACCATAAATAGATTCCTTAATTTTTAGATTCCACTATATATTAAGAAATATTCTAAGTGTCTGAGGTATGAATCTTTAGCATGATTTATAAGGGTATAATAAAATGCCAGCATATTTCTATTTAAGTCCCTGTTATACGAATGCAATGAAAGTGGATGATAAAAGTTATGATGTTGCTGTTTAAATTCTAAATAAGTGGGGGGGATTGTAATGGGTTCCATTTAGGCTCTGCATCAATAAGCAGATTGTCTGGTATCATTTGCAGTGCATGGCTTGTAGGTGCTCATCACTTGAGGCAAAATGATTTGGGACAGTCATACTGCAAAAACACAGAACATACCTGCCTTGCTAAAAAAAAAAAGTCATAAACATTAAAAGAGCCAAAAAAGGCACCTACCTTCTGCTTGGGCTGAGCAAGACAGTACACCTGTTTATGTTCTGCTTCAATTTTTTTATGTCACATTCCAAGGCTGGGTCATTACAGGTAAGCAACCGATTGTAGCTTCCATTTAAGATTACAATTCCCCAACATATTTCATGGTTATTGTTACAGGGAGCTTCACACTTAACTTCCAAATGCACACGTTTTCTACTCTGTTGATGCTAAAGGCTTATTTTGTTAATGCTCGGCATAATGTAACCGAGGAGCTATCTGTGCAACAATCCTGCTGAGAAACGAAGACAATTGCTAGGTTGCTGAATTCAGCTCCGGATCCAGAGTGAAGCAGAACCTAAGTGGGTGGATTCTTTCCCAACTTCCAAGAACTTTGCTTCTCTAATTGGCACACTGTAAACTTTTTGGGACAGGCACAACCAGAGAACTGGCAACACACAACAGCAGCACGGAGAAGCACATCAGGATGCAGTAAAACGGTTCAAGGCTTCTTCAACAAAAACATTTCTTTTTCCAGTCTGGAGTACAGCTCCCGCAACACACAACAATATTCTGCACAGAAGGACCATGATATTATTAAAGGTCAATGATTCTCAGCAAAAATTGTGTTCGTTCTATTCAATAAAAAGCCCTACTGTCTAACTCACTGCAGGCCTTTCCCAAATCGTTCTCGCACTCAAAAACTAGCATTTAAAAAAAAAAATCAGCAATGACAAAAGGGGCACATGGTTTAGATTCTAATGAAAAGCTCTACTGCCATTCAGAAAAAAAAAACAGGTACTGCCATCTAGACTTTGAAGATGGAGGCTTCTAAAGCAAGGGTAAAGAAGTAGATAAGATAACTGCAAAGCAGATACCATGTTAAGACCATTTGGGGATTTTCATTAAACTTTTGGGAGAATTATTGACCTTCTGCCACACAACGTCCACTGACTACTTCAGCTTCTATGGAAGCTGGCAAGAGGCTGGGCCTGAGGTAGCTGAAAAAGGCATTCCCAGAATGTGTGCATTTACCTGTGCCACACCAGTGACAGTAATAGCTACACCCTCGGCAGTCTCTACATCCTCACACTTGGGCTGCAGGGTCATTATCTCAAGGGTAATCCTGTGGAAAACGTAAAACATTTGCATCTTCCAAATAAAGCCAGAAGGAAAGGAAAAAAAACTTTCACTCCAAAGCCTTGGAGCCCAGTGCACTGTCAATGAGGAGGATGTCTTGCCACACAGACTCCATATTCAACTCGCTTCAATCCGCAGGTTTGTAGCCCAGAAGCTTAAACATCACCAACGCTGATGCATCTATAAACGATTCCCTTAGATGCCTTGCTATAAAATACATTTCCAATCAAGGCGCAATCCCTTTTGGTCTATTTTTAAGCATACATTACCACCTGCATTGCCAAAGCACATGGGGAGTGTTCAAGGCAGGAGTTGCAAAGCTCAAAAGCTGAAAAAACATTAGTGGCACCTTCCCAGCTGCAAAGGGGAGAGTATGGATGAAAAAAAGCAGAAACAGTTAGCATCTTTCTCTTTCTTTGGTTCATTACCTGAGCGACCCCTGTCACATCCAAGGGGACACCCTCCGATGTTTCGATATTCTCGCAGCGACAGAGGATGGTCATAACCTCCAGAGTCACTCTATGCAGCAGGAAGTAGAATGAGGAAGCAGGACAGCAAATACACAGAGCCGTTATCAGAGACATTGAATGGGTCAGTTTCCAGTAAAAGGAACCAAAAATGGCCGGGAGAGATGCACCTCGGGTTCGAGCTATACTGCACTCAAGGTCTTTCGAACTGGCTGTCTCCTCCTGCACCAACAGACACGCAGAGTCCAGTCCTAGTTAAGACTTAATCTGCGGCTGTGCGGGCAGCATATTCGCCCGTGAGGTTCCTGAAACTTGAAAGTTGCAAGGAAATATGATCTAAATAAGTTACACTAAAAGGTCTTTTGCCAAAACCCAACAATGGGGAGAAAAGAACTTTATACTTGGTCTACAGCCAAATTAGCAGATATCCTGAAAGGTTCAAGCAATCTCAATCTATCCTTTAAGCCTCACTAAAGATTTTCCTTTGAGTTCTGGTGTTCTGGACCGCTAGGAGTCATGCAGAAACGAGAAGTTCAGGAGACTCAAATCACACCGCTGTCGCACAGCAGTGATCTCACAAATCAAACCTGACAGTCTCTTTTCTATTCAGAGCTTGACCAGAGTTTCTCTCCAGTCAAACAGTTTGAAAGCAAGCTGCCTTTCCTTTTTTGAACTAAGGAGATGCTGTATACACTGTATGCCATTTCCTTGTTCTTAATCCCAAACTGGCTGCTGTCTATGTTTCAAACATTTGGGATTATTTTAAAATCCTAAAAATAACAATCCTGTTGTTACTGTAAACAGCAAATCAGATGAAAAACTAATTTCCTCTCTGGGCCACATGGTTTGTCCTTTTACTGTAAACTGACCTCAAAGCAACGTAATTAGCCGCCAAAGAATTTTAGTTTGCATTTTTTTTATATTTGCGTTCAACTCTGAATGTACAAGTTTTAAATTAAACATTTTCATTTTCAAAAGCATCGTAACTGTTAACTCTTAGTGGGCACTGATTAAATATTTAATATTTTATCTAACCTGTGTGATGATTTTTATTAAATATTCCTGATGTGAAAGACTGGAATTATTTTAATGGAACTGTTATTGAACATTTTTCTTCAGTAGATAATTGGTTGATTGAATTAGAATATGCAAAAACAAACTCACAGGTCAGCCTTGTGATTGGGTTTATAAAGATTTATTGATTTCTTCTTTGTCTCACAGTGATTTAAATCAGGGAGACTTGGAAACAGTGCAAGGATATTCCAATCATTTAAATTGGTTTCTGAAGGCAGTCTCTGCACTAGTATAATTCTCTTTGCACCGAGAGACAGCTTGACCTCACTCTTCAGACGATGGCCTCTCTGATTCAGGTGGAAGACGCACGATGAACAAAAAAGGAATCTCCATGCACAATGGCTGTTTTTTAAAACATATAATGACTCTTAGATTAATTGCCTTTCCTTGGAGGTATTCTAATGCCAGGATAATTTAGGCGACAGCCTAAGAAGCTATAGTCATCCTTGCTGTTGTTGGCTTATTGCATTAGTGAACTGTGACATTAATGTACGACAGCCAGTCGGACTGTAATGCGATTATATGGCCTAATATCGGAAGAGAAAAATACCCTTCGTAACCAGAGTTGTCAAACTGGCAAATCTCTTGGAGCAGTCTTTGGTGGCCAAGCAGTTACTAACACAGTGGTTAGTTCCAAGCAAACAAAGGGATGGCTCAAATCATTAATGCCACGGATTCTCAATCTTTGATGACGAATTCCAAGGTTGATTTTCATTTGATCACAAATCCCTCAGTAGAACACTATTCATGAATGGCGCACGAGGTCGGAATTGAAAAACAACGCTAACACTTTAAACCATTATCCATTACCATATCATCGCAGGCTCACTTACACAGATAAACTATTACCCATTGCCATGTCACTACAGGCTTTGCATGGTTGTGCCTGTTCTCTCGATATGTTTTTTTTTTGTCCCCTAAGAGGAGAAATGTATTTCAAGAATATTTAAAAATGCTAAGTGAACATGGGGCCTACAAATCAGCATAATTATTCTTTTATCCTCAGACATGTTGCATGTAGTGCAAACCGTCAAGGCTCTCCCTAACAAATCATCTCTTCCCACTTCACTTCAGGAACAAGAACCCGGACTGACTGCACATCCTTGCCAACTTAACAGGATCTCCCAGTCCCTTGGTGCAATGCTTCCATTTTGTTTTTACAAAATTCAACTTTTTATGCTGAAGTGCATTGACACAAAAGAATTTTCGTTCCCTCTTTAAATTGGGATTTCCGATTAGAGACCCCAGTGGCACGAACCTTTTAAGCCATCCGTCTACAGCTGACTCTGGGTCTACTTGCCAAGTGAGCTAAGTTAAGAAGACGAGAGCGTGACAGTTCCCTCTGCCCCCAGGAGAGGCGCTGTGATCGCAGACCGCGCCAGGCGACAGTAATATGTTAGCATGACACCCGGCAAGCAGAGCGCATTAGTATTGCAAAGAGTTGAAAAGGAAAAAAGTGTTTAGTTTCTACAGGAATAACTGATTCCAGTGCACATATAGTAGACCTCAAAACAATAAATGTGCTACATGAAAATGAAGGTTATTTTATATATTGGACTTCACATAACTTCAAAAAAGTAAATATTCATGTACAGGCAGAAATATTCCTCAAGTACCTTTTCCCTTTGTGGGATAATTAAATATTGGCACCACTAAACGCTAAATGATAGTGACCAGGGGGTTCAAATATCAATTACCAATAAAATCAAATCAAAAAGTGCACAGTTGCTATGAGCAGGTGATAGTGCCTTCATTTAATTTATAAGCAGTGCCTGACATGCACTGATGCCGTTTTCCTTTAGTGTCATGAGCGGTTTTAGAAATTCTCTAAAGAATTTGTTTTGTTTTTTCATTTGGAACAGCCTACTGTTGTACTTCACTGCTACATTTATCATGAAATGCTGTTAATCCGAAACAGCCTACGAGTGTGTCAATTTCCAAAGGAATTGATGTTTGGAGGCTCTAGAATTCTTGGTCATTCAAAGCTCATTTTAGCTTTAACCTCTCTCTCATACAAACAGAAGGAAATGCGCAAACCTTCACAAGATGGCAGATTTCTGCTTTTTTGCAAACTAAACGGTTCTACACTTGCGTGTCTCCGTTACGGATTTTCTTCTTAATTTTACGTTAAAAAAAAGATACAAAGGCAGGCTTAAGAAATTACCTTTACTAATGAAGATTGTAAATTAAGAGAACAGGACTGTTCTAAAGCTGATATTCAAGGTGTGCTAACTGATATAAAAAGGCCTAATTCTTTGAAGGCGTATCTTCAGTCCTGGGAGGCGGGATCTTACCTTTGTGTGTCTGAAATAAACCACCAGGCCCAAGCCCAGCCCCCCACCATATACGTTTTCTCATCAGAACCACAGCAACCACCTGGAGAGGAAACAGAACGGAGAGAGATATAAAAAGAGCCCAGATAAAGTCGGAAAGGCTTTCAAATCCAGTTTCACCCCTGTCCTATTCACGAGCACTCAATCCCTGCGCTGGGTTTTAAGTTCAGACCCAACCCAGGACACCAGGACTGTCTGTCTCCACTCCAGTCCAGTCCAGTCAGCGCCCTCCCCTTCTCTCCTGCATGTGACTGTCACAGCTGCAGCTCGGAGCCAACGTCGGAGTTACCGGGGTCGATCGGCTACGAGAGCTGCAATGAATAGGTTGATGGATAGTGATAGGGTGCTTTTGTCTTCTCATACAAGTGTGAGAATTCACCATTTAAAATAATCTGCTAAAATATGGTCAAAATATCTTTCTAAACATGAAAGAAACACATTAAAACACATGGCATTTACCAAGATGACTGCAATAAGGCTGGTACTTAAGAATAAAGGCGGGGCTGTGACAATTCTGCACACCTCAAACACGAAGGGGCTCAGTACATGACTAACATTACACTTGTAACGTGGCCACTGTTTGTATGTGCAATATTATTTTTCTCAAGCCGTGACAACATGAAAGATAACTACCTCCCACGCCTGCGTCAACAATAAAAGGTCAGTGTCCAAAACTCCAGAAGTTACGGATCATGCCCTGACATGAAGACACGCACCCTGATTTAACAGAGGTCAATGCGAATGTGCAAAACCTTTGAAAATGGCTTAGGGCTACAGACCAAGCAGGTATACTTTGAAGGCTCTGGGCATTCCCAGAACAGCAGTTAACTCTAGTTGAAGAGTCTTGATTTATGTCTCCCACCGTGCTGCTGTGATTTACAGATATTGGGCCGGGCACCATGAATGTCTGCACTATTGTGCAGACTGAAATGATCTGGCAAAACTGTATATAGATTAAATTACAGGAAGTGGTCTTTATGGTTGGCTGTACATTGCACAGTTCAGCCCAGCAAATCAGCTGTCATTTCACCATCCCAACTCTGTATCGCTCACTAGAGCACATCAGGTATCGGAAAGAAACAAAAACCACCTTCTGCACAACCACGTTTGCTCGAGCCAGAATAAAATTGGTCTACGAGAAAATGCAGCACAAAAACTAGGTCACGGAAAACATATAAATAGGGCACAAATCTGAATACAACCACAGGTTTCACGTTTCATCACGATCCAGAATGCCTGTAGGTTTACGACGGGAGAGGCATTAAGCCCTGCAAGAGGAGATCGCTGCATTTCACACAGTTGGCAAAGCAGGAGTTTTACAACTGCTAGTGTCACCAGCTGACAGGTGCATCGCCACACAGCAAACAGGCTAGTCTCAAAAAAGAAGGACTCCTCTGACCCGCCCACCTCTGAGCCTCTCGTCTCTTCAGCACCGCACAGGCGGCACACAACCCCCCCCCCCACTCTCACCACTGGGCGGCCACTGGGGGAGCCGTGTTGAGCCCAGAGACACTGCCCCACACTCACAGCTACACATGCCTGCAAGCCCCCAGGCGGCCACTGGGGGCACTGTGTTGAGCCCAGAGGGCCCAGGCGGATTATTCCACCCAGTCCTGGTGAGGAAGTAACAGTCACAGTAGGCTAGTAACATAACCCAGGCTACACCCTATGATCCCAGAGCACACAACCTGCAAACAAAAACAGGAGGGTCCTCAAAAAAAGGTGAGTCTTCATTACTCAAGCCTTTGCCTTAATAACCAAATTTCAGCTAGACTACAACATCATTTGTGGTCTTTCAGTAAAGAAGATCTCCAGGATCAATGGCAGTCTTCTCCAGTTCCCCAAAAGTGCTGCTGTAAAATGGGAGCTGTGACGCACTGGACTCCACAGACTGCAAAACAGTGACGAGGTTCGACTGTAACACTGCGGTCTTCCTCCCCCATTGTTCGCATTCAGGGTTTATTTCCTTCTGGATACCCAGACACTCTCCTGTTGTCAGGCATGACAGAGACAACAACGATCCCCCGTATAACCATAAAACCCCTCTCCTGGAAAGGTATCTGTGCACAGAGCATTGGAGACCAGCTCTAAATGCTCCCTGTGAAGCTAAACCCATTCTGCTTCACACTCGCCTGCTGTCATCTTTGCAAACCCTCCTCAGGTGTCGTGTCTGTTCATCGGATGTGCACCCCACTTCAGGCTGTCTCTGTATTTTTAGCTGTTTACGCAGCAGTGCCCTCAGGGTCCACCTCAAGCAAGGTACTTGAACATGACAAATGAAAGCCTTCACTGCTGGCAGGAAAGCGAGATCTCCCATCCCAGGCCAGCCCTGCATTAGGATTAATTCCTCTGATGGAGGGAATCACTGAGTGAGGCAGACTGCGAAGAACAGCCACGGATGCTAATCTGCTGCTGGCACAGGAAGTGCCAGGACCACGATCGCTGGGAGATAGTCTAGCAGGAACAACAGGCAGAGTGCAATGGCCAACACTGCATAGTTATATTAAAGAGGTACAGTAGCAGAGCAAATTTTGTTGCCTAGGTCTGTTGATCAAATACTGGGCAAGGTCATAAGGGACCTTTATAACGGGCCAGATCTGCAACACTTTTGTAGTCTTTAAGGAGAAGCAAATGTAACAAACTACATTTCCCATAAGGCTGTGTGTGTGTGTGTGTGTGTGGGGGGGGTATAAAATGGTTTCATGGGGTCATCTCAGGATTTCAATGAGATGCATGATAGTTCTCTGGACATGAACAAGTGACTCATGTGGTATATGCAGCACAAATGTAGTTATTTAACCGATAGAAGGGTGTACATTTTTTACTTTTTAAAAAACATGCACGTTAGCGTTAATTGTTTTGAACTCTGTCAAACATGGGAAGATTAACAGCTACACTATTCTGAATAAATTACCTTGATTAACACTCCTCAGGTCTGTGGTCCTTTCTCATGTTAGAGCCTGGCCGTGGAGATCAGCGTCCTTAACTGTCACATGTCCTACACTGACTTTCCAGCCCCATGTCAAATATTTCATTCATTAAACACAGGCCTCAGTGAGGCTGTCATGACCCCAATCCAAACGGAATTCCAGGCATCTACAGACTGAAGTGGGAAGCTAAAAAAAGCTGCTTCCTGCACAGTGCCATCAACCCCAGCAACGCTGTTCAGGCTGGAGGAACTTGTAACAAAGAATATGGAAGAAAGCCAGACCTACACCCAATACCCAAACACTCAACAAGAAGAGAGATTTTCATCCCTTTAATGTGGAGCTGCCCTGTGTCAGCTTAAACACATGAAGCCCCCACTGCAAAAAACTAACAACCCGAACCTTTCGATTTCACTCAGCTGAAGCCCGACAACTGCATTCGCTCCTTGAAAAATGGCTGAAGGGCCACACTACATCATAGTAAGAAAAAAAAGCCTTTGACTTACAAAATTCTGACGTAGGCTGTTTTTCTTTTTCTACAGGAAATAAACCACTTTTATCCATATCAAACACAGATACACAGAAAGATCCGCAAGCTGTCAGAATCTTTTCTGATTGGTCCATCATGCATCAATAAAGAGAAAACTTACTGCACTCATGCGTAAACTGAATGGCAATGCTTCGGGTGTCAGTACACTTCTTACACCATGGGGTGCCACTGTGGTCAGAAGTTCCGCCTCGCACTGCTGGGGCACTGGGTTCGATACCCGACCTGGGGTACTATCTGTATGGGGTTTGTACACCATGTTCACGTGGGTTTTCCCCACGTGCTTCAGTTCCCTCCCACAGTCCAAAGACATACTGGAAGGTGAACTGGAGCGGGGCGGGTGAAGACAAAACATTACAGTGACAGCAAAACAGCGTCCTTTCCCCTTCAAACCTGCTGATTAAAGTCATTCGTTTGTTAACTAAAGAGGTTCGTGTGTCTTGAGTCACTCTGGAGAAACAAGTCTGGTAGCAAAATCATTGCGTCAGAGGTTCAAGGACCTCCTGAATACAGTTCAGGCCACTTTTGCTCTTTACCGTCAAGCAATTGGATGCTTTCAGAAACATGGAGACACATTGCCTATTGCACTGCCTGTCATTTTTAAAAAGGTGCAAAGGAAATGTCAGTATGGTTTTGCCTTTTCCCTTCTTTCACGTATTCTAAAAGAGAAGCAAAGATGTGTCCAAGTATTTCATGCCTGTTATGCAAACCGCAGTATGCAGAAGTGCCATGTGCCAGGAAACTAGTTCATTCCAAACCATGCGAATCTTTCACAAAGCGGAAACCAGGCTTTAAAAACTGAGATTGGCACTTTTTGAAGACCTGTTAAGTACAAGCCAAACACAAGATAGTGTGACCTAATTGTTTTCATTATTTTAAAGGGTCTTTTACTAAACTTCTACAGCAGGCATGTTGAAATCTCTGATAAGCTTTAAGAATAGGAAAACCCCCATGACCATTTCAGTACATACTGACGCTCCTAAATGAAAAATGCTCCACGTCCCAAATCCATTCTTATATGTACACGCAGGTAAGGGAAGGAAAAGGCACAGATTGTTGTGGAAATAAACTCAGATGACAAGTACCAGCGAAGATGTGTGTGCTCTGATTATCCAAAATAAACAGGCTGTGGAACCTGTAGACGGATTGAGCCCACAATGCTCACGTGAACCCTGCTGCACCAGGACTGAGCCAGAAGTGATGTGGATTGAGCCAGCATAAGGAACTTTCACAATAACGGCTCGTGGAATTTTAGAAACTGTGGCGTGTTTGGCCTTTACACCAGTATTATCCACCCTTCTCTTACAGGAAAACTCACCACCAAGTGGTAACTCCCCACAATCTTGAGCCAACTGTATTTCAGCTATTTCATTCAAATTCTTCACTCTGTCTAGGCCACTGTGTCCTATATTTTTTTTTTCAGGCCAGAACAACAGGCCACCTCCAAACCCACTTCCTGCAGAAATATTTTCCTTGACAGGCCTCCTGCACCAGACAACTCCAATCCTGCTGAGCAGCATTCACGCTGAAAAGGTGAAACAGGGAAAAAAGGCCAACTTGCAGGTAACCCTTGCACATAGGGAAAGAATTTTGTAAACTCCAGAGCTGACTTGCCACTAAATGCCATCCTGATGTCTAAGTTCACGGCAGACTCACAGCAGAGGAAAACGGGTTTCTGAAACCCTTTGACTGTGCAACTGCACGAATCACAGAAACTGCAGAACTGTGGCTATGGGTGTACTTAAGCTTTCTATTAAGATCGCTGTACTGCTCAAACTAAAGCGTATTTTGCTTTAGTTCATTAAACATGTTGCAATGGGACAAGTCCCAACAGAATACAGCCAATGTTAACTCTTAAGACGTCGTAAAAAGCAGGAATAGAAAATGTCAAAGAACCGCAAGCAGTTGTTTCAATGAGCAGAAGACAGAAGACCTCACCTACTGCAGGCCATCGAGCCCGCCCCCTGGAGTCGCCTGTTTAGCTGTACACAAAAACAACACACGCCCTCCGTCCTCCGACGGTGGGCGATACCCTCACCTCGCCATCAACACTCAGGACAGATCTGGACGACCAGTAACGGGACAAGAGCTACGAAACAGAATTCAGGGACTTTAATCCGTACCGAATAAAACCATGTTTACCGAGTAAGAGGAGCTGCAACACCGTAGCGACGCGTTCGCCCTGCTCGAGTCACGTGCTGCCCATTCACGACCGATTCCCTCTGTATTACACACTAAACACATCCACATTGAGTACATGAACACATCCGCGTTCACATTTAAAGTGCTGAAGTTTATTTCTGTGACAGCAAAAACACACCATACGCAAGGATCAAGGGGCTTTGCGTGGTTTCGATGTCTTCCACGAATCTAATAATCAGAAATAATTATACCGTTACCATAGGGACAAATCCAGCTCCGTTTTATCTACCTTCAAAAAATACGTTTTTTTTTAACTTCTGTTCATTGCAGATGCGCACTCGGTGTTCACTCACTGAACTCGGCATTGGCGTTCGTACGCTCGGAAAAAAACATTTAGCGTGTTTCCACGTCTTATTGTTTAAAGCCTATTGCTCAATCAAAGCGTTCGCAGGAAATAAGCGAGTCTACTTTTAAACATGCACACCAGATTCAGAATAAATCCAGATTAGTGGTGTACAACGCACCCCTTGCCCCCCAAACCAGGTTATTGTGATTCTCGCAAGATGCACTTTTTAAAGCATTTGGGGAGGAGGAAAAAAAACAGCTGTAACTAAAAAAAAAAACACCCGTTACTCACCTGAAACGACCAACGCTTCATTGGGACCGACCGTATGGCAATTTCCCATTGTATACAACTGCTGGATTTATTTATTTTTTGTTTTAAATGACGGATTTCTCTCTTCTCTCTCGGTCCTGCGAGCCGAGCTCAGTTTCTACTACGACCGCCGCCAATAAACACGGCGAGCTCGAGCCTCTCCGCCTCCGCCCCGGTGACGTCACGCTCGGCAGCCCCGCAGCGCGCCCGAGTGCATCATGGGAGAGTGGTTCCCGTAACAGAGGGGCGGGGCGAGCCGGGCCCTGCCGAATAATTCCCAAGAAAAGCGCACCACAGCCCACAGACTCTTCTGTTCTTGTTTTTTGTTCGTCTTTTTTTATTTGTCTTCGAACAGACGGCACCAGGAAAAAAATGTATGCATGTTGGAACTGCAAGACAGCACCTGTATATGAGGCCAGTTCATAGAGGGTAAAGGTCTGATCGATCGCTAATCGATTTTAGGAAATCGATTGGTAAAACCCATCTGAAAAAAAATCTAAACTGCAGAAAAAAAGGTAAAGAACATTCCCCCCGTACAAATACCCTTCACGTCCATCAGGTTTTCCGACACACAGAATTTTGCATTTTGATTCCTTTGTGTATACTGACATCTTGCGCTGAAAACAGGTCTGATACTAACCAGATGTTACTTGAAAACGTTGTGATGTTTAATGTGTGTAATCTGAAACCAGAGAGGACACAACAGACCCATTATTGCAACAGTCTGATTTCAAGAGGAGTAAAACATTAGAGCGATAACTGATCGAACTGTATACATGCAAGTAAAAGACTAACGGAACCTAACGCTGCCCTACAGTGGCTGCAGTTTTATAGCGCCCCACAGCGAATGTTGCTTTTTAAAATGTTGTTTCTACATCTTTAGGTAAACCCCCACAGATGATTCGTGACCAGGGTTTCAAAGATTGAGCACTGAGTAGGTAGTTTTCCACCCCCATAAAAGATTTACTACTTCAACTAGCCTAGTTTGTCTTTATCTCCTGGAAAAAAATAAATACTTTGAACTTTGAACATAACCTCACCTCGCTGATCCGTAATAAGCAAGGGAAGAAAGCGCGCAAACGAGAAGGGGATATTCAGCCTAGCTTATCTAGGTGTTAGGTGCTATTTTTTTGCCATTCTTTATACCAATGTATAAAGAATCACCTTCCTTTCATCCTGGAGACTCCATTGTTGACTCAACCAGCTGTGGTAATAGCGTTACCCAACAGCACACCTCCTAAATACTAGTGTAGCTTTCCGGGTGAGCTAGCGTTCAGCGTTAACTGCCAGGCGGCCACATGTAGTGGTTGGAAAATGCAGGCAGCGATGGAGGACAGTCTGGACCGAGTGAAAGAAGAGCAGATTAAAAGGCCAACTTGGAGCCGGCAGATAGAGTTCACCCTTGCTGGTATAGGCTGTGCGGTGGGACTCGGTAATGTCTGGAGATTCCCCTATTTGTGCTACAGGAGTGGAGGAGGTAAGCAGCTGGCTGTCGGTTCATAGACCCATCAGGCATCAGTCGTGTCCCGTTTCTAGTTTTTCTTTTCTCTTATTAAGAAAAAAAACATGTTTTGTTGTATTTTATGGTAAAAATGACTTTGTTGACACGTTTTTAAGACCCAGAAAGTGATGGACGTGCATTTACCACCAAGAACAGAAGACAGGTCTTTTCACAAAGGGTGGTGGGAGCATGGAACAAACAACCCAGCCACGCGGTTGAAGCTGACAGCCTCGTTCCTTTCAGCGAATGGCTGGATGAGGACCTTGGAGTAATTAACTTCTCATGATAAAAACGGGCTGCATACGGGGGGCAAGTGGCCTTCTTCTGGTTGTAACTGCTCTAATGGCAAATACTGACAGAATGGTTTGAGAAAAATGTAAATTCAAGCGTAATAAAGTGTCTTTTTTTTATATATGACGTATGTGATAAGTGTCCCAACAGATGATTGAGAATTCTGCTAGCACAAAACCTGGTCTTGCAGAGAGGACCCCTGTTGTGACCCTCTGGGGTCAGCCTCTTAGCCTGCCTGAGTTCATAGTTCATGCACGGGGGAGGCCACAAGAAGCAAGGAGGCTGATCTCTAGGGACAGTGTTATATGTCAGCCATTAACACAGGGCCAGAAACGGGAAAGTGATGAACGAAAAGCGCTGAGGCCACGTTAGCCATTAATTCAGTTAAGACAACCCAATGTATCGATTAAGTTGTAAAGAGAAAGCTATTGGGATTTTTCTATTGGATGTCATACAGCACATGACTATTGTGCACTTTACCCAAAGGCTTGTGGGAGGCTGGGTAGCTTGTTCCACTCCTATTGTTGAAGCCAATAGTCTGGTTTCTTTCAAATGAGACACTTATTCACTTATTTAACCACCAAACAGGCCAGATGGCCTCTTCTCATTTGTGACTGTTCTTATGACTGGGTTGATGGCATTTCTTACCATGTGTGGTTGGATAAGAGGGACCAAGGATCCAATTGTGGAGCGACAGTCTAGAGCAGCCCATCAGTGCTAGCATGCCGGCCTGTGGGAGGTGGCAGAAAACTGGAGCACCTGGGAAAACCCCTTGGAAACAGGACGAACGTGCAGACTCCCCACAGAAGGTACTCCAGGCCAAACCCAGGGTACAGGAGCAGTGCGACAACTGTTAGCTGCCAGACTACCATTGCTACCCTGCCAAGTACTACAGGACCATGAAGCGAACAAACTCCACTTTCTGTTCTGTGTCCTGTTGTCCTATGCAGGTGCTTTCCTGGTGCCTTACATCATTATGCTAGTAGTCCTGGGGATCCCTCTGCTATACATGGAGCTGGCCGTGGGCCAGTATCACAGACTGGGGCCTGTGCACGCCATGGCCAAAGTCTGCCCTTTGCTCAAAGGTACGGGTATTGAGAAGTATTAAGTATTATTATTGTTTTGCATGGTTACAGAATATTACTGTTATAGAATTATAACCATTTCTGTTAATAGGTTTGCAGTGCAAAACCCCTTTTGGGCATGACAGGATCTTTATAATAGGCAGGTCCAGGAAAACAATCATCCATAAGGTCCAAACCGAATGCACTTCTATTTTAAGTGCAGGAAATCAAAAACCAATCAAGATAAAATGGCCTAAACTTGAAACCTCCAAAGTCCCTCACTAGCAATATTGCTGTGCAACTCAGCTGCTTACTGGCCTCAAAACAAACTCTTCAAACTTTAGCCAGAAGCTATATCACCCTGCAATAAAGATTTGCAGATACCAGGATTGTTGTTGAAATACTGTATACTATATACTGTAATGGGAGTCCTATCGCGGTCAGAAAATTGTGACAGCTACAGTAGCTCGGAAAATAAAACCCTGAACTTAATGTTGCCGCAGTGTTCATTTGTCAACAGAGGATCATGTATCATTTCAACACTTTGATAATGTGTAAAGTAACGCATTCTAAAACCACATAGACAACGCGATTGTCTTGAGAATTTGTAACACTGTGAGGTCGTATCTGAACGACTCCCATAGCCAAGCTGCACTCTTCCAGTTACAATGTACAAATGTTGTGAAAACATGTTCCCTTCTATGGCCAGATTGCAGATATCCAGCACTGTTGATGAACGCTGCGATGTGTTGTGTTAGCTAGGCTGTTGGAAGACAATCACTATACAGAGCTTCCTCCTGAAGCCTCATTTCAGGATGATCATTTTGTGTTACATGAACCTGTGCTGTAACTCCTTTTCAGGGGCTGGCATGGCAACAGTGGCTATATCCTTCATAATGTGCACCTACTACAACGTCATTATCACCTGGGCCCTGTACTACTTTTTTAGCTCCTTCCAGAGCCTCCTTCCTTGGGCAAACTGCAACAACACCTGGAACATCCCCGACAACTGCTCAGACCACGTGACCAGCAACTCCTCTTCCACTACGGCCAGCCAGCAGTTCTTTGAGTAAGAGGCCCTGGGTCGCCGTGACGACGACGCAGACACAGAGCAGCTGTGGAGTCAGCTGACTGGCCTGAGGCGCAGGAGCACGACAGCAGCGTGACTTAGGCTGTAGCTGAGCCCCAGGGGACGTGTGCAGCAGCTTTGCTTGCAGCAGCCCAGTAGTGCTGTCCAGGTGCTACTGCATGACTAGGAAGCTTATGAGAGTTGCCTGACCGTGCTGGATCACAATTTCCTCATCAATATGAACCCTTTGAGTAGTGGTTCGTCCCCTGGGGGGGTGAGACATACCTTTAGAAGGTAAATCATCAAACACACAAATTAAGCACGGTCATGTTCAGTACAACTACTTTGTATTTTATGGTAAATGTTAAAGTGTGCATTTTTCACGTATCCTTGATTTGACAGCAAAATTAAATGTGTATATATCTATTTCTACCTCTTTCATTCTATAGTTATGGTATATCTTAGGTTTAAAGACCTGACGTGATTCAATGATTTTTCATCAACGGTGCTCAGCAGCAACAAGGGACCAGTAAGGTCAACAGCGCGTCGTGGTTTTCCTAACAATCTGATGGCGTGCTCCTGAATTCTATGGCTGCTGTCCAGGGCATTCAAACATTTGAAGAGGTGCATTGAGTTTACACAGACCTCAGCTCCTGCGTGTCTTCGCAGTTACAAAGTGCTGGAGAAGACAGCTGGGATTGAGGTGGCCGGCCAGCTACGCTGGGAGTTGTTCTGCCTGCTCATTTTGGCCTGGGTGCTCATCTACCTCTGTATCTTCAAAGGTGTCAAATCCACTGGGAAGGTAAGTGATGCCTGAAAAAAAATTGAACGTTCATTAATATTAGATAGTAATTTCCCAAAAGACAAAAAAAATGTCTTTAGACCAGAATGCATGTGGACTGTTCGCAAGGTTTTTATGTCCCATTTGTGGTGCTTTCTAGCTTGAAGGCGATGAAAATATATATCTGATACTGTGTGCTGCTGCTTATACAAAGAATGCAGCCCTCTGTTTCAAGGCAAGGTAGACATGTTTTACTCTGTGCAGGTGGTTTATTTTACAGCTCTTTTCCCATACTTGATCCTTCTGGCCTTGCTGATCAATAACGTGCAGCTGCCCGGAGCCATGGAGGGGATTAAATTCTTCATTATACCCGAGTGGGAAAAACTGGCATCAGTGGAGGTATGAGGAGTGAATGTTGGACTGTGTTTTACAAATCAAGTCTTCTGTTTTCCATCTGAATGCTTGTTTTCATTATAGATACACTAAAGCCCACATACAGTCTTTTTAAAATCTGTTTCCATGTGCAGGGCAAAGTTATTAGACAACTCTACCTTTTTTGCTATTTGTAATATGAAGGAAATGAAAATACAGTTGGATGGTGCAGTGGTTAGTATTGTTGCTTTGCAGGGCTGAAGGCCTGGGTTCAATTCTGGACCTGGGCTGCTATCTGTGTGGTGTTTGTGTGTCCTACACATGTTCACGTGGGGTTCCTCCTACACTCCAAAGAAATACTGGTAGCTTAATTGGCTTCTGGGAAGATTGGCCCTGGTGTGTGTGTCTGCCCTGCAGAGAACTGGTGTCCAGTCCAGGATGTACTGTCTTGTGCCCATTGCTTGTTGGTAATAGACTCTGACTCCCCTGTGACCCTGTGTTTGTGAAAATGGTTAGAAAATTGATTGGTGGGTGGAAAGGAGAGTTCTGTTCTCAGACACAATTGGAGCTGTATAAGACCTTTTGCAAAACCTTCATCCATTTCTCCAAATGCTGAATTATTCATATCTCATAAATAATCATCTTGAATACAGTCTGTCATTAATAAGAGGTCTCTTCATTGGTCTTCAGTCAGTAGAAGATGGTATCACAGATATTTCATAACATGTTGTAATCCTCAGTAGTTTAGGTGAATTGCAGTGCCTCAGTGTCGCTGCATGTCTCCTGGCAGGTTTGGATCAATGCGGCCGCCCAGATCTTCAATTCCATTGGAATCGCCTTCGGCTCACTCATGGCCATGTCTAGCTACAACAACTTCAACAACAGTGTCTTGAAGTGAGAAAATCACTCGGACCGACTCTCTGTCTTGTTTTGTCTTAATTTTGTTTCGTAATTGTACTAGGTGCACCCTTTGTCTGTGGTGAGCTTCCAGGTAAGAGTGCTCTTCAGCTCCAATGAGGGATTTCAGACATGTTATTTCTTCTCTTCCTTAGAGACACGCTGGCCATCTCCATTACCAACTCGGCCACCAGTATCCTGGCCGGCTTTGTCATTTTCTCTGCGTTCGGCTACATGTCTCACCTAACACACACACCAGTCAGCAAAATAGCTGTGGATGGTGAGTCTGTACGGCAGAAGACAGGCCGCAGAGCTGAAATCATGTTGGCATTTTCTTTTTAAAACAGGCTCTTTGAGAAGAAAAGCAGAAACAATGTAAACAACGCTGACGGGACCGGAGGTTTATTGCTATTGAGCAATAGTGTATGGAGAACAGAGCTTTAATGTGCTTAACGATGTACAAGGAGGTCTAAGCCCAAACGATGACCAGAAATAAGTCAGAATATTTTGGGTCCAGGAGTATTCTGGCACGAATGCTCCTTATCCACTATGTAAGGTCCTCCTGGGCACCTCTGGGGGTGCAGTGCTCTGAAGCTACTGGGGAGATATCTCATTCTGCCACTGGCTGACCCCGGAAGTAAAAGCTTCCCCTTCCAGGGTCAGCCAACCCAGCCCCTGGGTGTCTGCCCGCCAAACACCAGGTGGCAGTGCCGCCGCTGCTGCAGCACCTTAATATATGTTCATATTGTCACAACCCGGCGTGATCGAGCTCTGTAAGTGCCATTGTGTGGCCTCTCCCTTCCTGTGTACTTGAAATAGAGGCTCAGCTCATTCAGCATTACAAGATATTACCAATTTTACTACCTATTGTGTTCTACAAGTAACCCTTAAAAAGGAATTTCATAATAGCATTTGACATTGGTTTCATTTATGTAAATTAGAAGAATACCCACATTAAGGTGTCCTGCTTTCTTCATTTACCTTTATTACTAAGGGTATGTATAGTCTATACATTATAGAACAGATAAATATAAGTGATATATTCAGGTTTCTGGGCTGTAATGTTGTAATGTTTTATGCTATGTGATATAGTTTTAGAACTAAACTGTAAGCATGTTTGAAAAGTCTATTATAATGTTCATTTAGACAAAATGATCAAATGCTTTATGCAAATATTTGTTGTTTTATTAGTCATCTCTGTGATTGACTATGTTTAGGGAAGAATTAGGTATTTTAGTCTTAGGTACCTAGGTACTTGCTGTTTGCAAAGGAAAAATAGGATGTCACTACGTTCACAAGTTCTTTAGCCTAAAGCTAATCAACAAATCAAAATGGTAGGGTATTTGACTGAAAAATCTACACAAATAACTCAGTTATTAGATCATGTATTCTAACTAGAGCAGATGATTAAAAGCAAGTACAGTATCTATGTGTCTGATACTGCCCAACACAGATCCAAGAAACAGCTTTCTCCCACCTGAAATACTAGTGTTCCAACACTGAGTGTTGTGGTTACGTGTTCAGAGTTGATCAAATGTATTTCCTTGTTTCCTATTTGTCACAGGCCTATGTTACTATCAGACTATGCACAATGAACATTCCATGTTTGTGCACATTTGTAAACCTGGTGACATAGTTGTTGCATGTCTTGACATATGGAAAGAACTGCCTATCATCTATCAGTTTTTAAATGAAACCATGTTTTTCTCTTTATGTATGTTTTTCAGGTCCAGGCCTCGTTTACGTGGTTTACCCACAAGCCTTCTTAACAATGCCCGTAGCTCCTCTTTGGGCAGTTCTGTTTTTCTTCATGCTGCTGTGCTTGGGGCTGGACAGTCAGGTATCTCTTTTACAGTGCACTGTGCCTGTGTCTCATACTCAGAATGGCCTGAGACTGTGCATTCACCTTTGTACTATCTAAAGCACAGCAATTAACTTTTCCCAGGATGGCCTAACTGTGTGGTCTTGAGTTTGGCTAGCAATCTTTGTTTTAGGGGCAACACAATGATGTCATGTTGATGATTATGGTCTGTGCTTTTCTGGTGATCAGATTATTACTCTGATGTGGTTGAACATTATTCAGCAACATGAAAATAAACCCTATCCCAGCAGGTTTAGCTTTCCCAAATACAGCACTGTGTTTGTTTTATAAACAGGGTCACAGGTTTTGGCAGCAAAATATGAAGAGAAGGCCAAGAGCATGAAAAAAACCTACTAACCGACAGAAGCGTCAGTGACAGTCGTTGAGCAGCTTACTTCCAGTGCTGTAGATCTAAAGCTGACCACTTAGAAGTAATCCATAAAGGGTGGTTTGGGAATGCAAAGGAGCCATTTTTAAAAGACGGCCAGCGCTCTGTCATCTCTTGTTTTGTAGTTTGCAATGGTGGAAGTGATGGTGACCAGCCTGATGGATGGCCTGGGGAGTCCCTTGTTAAAGTACTTCAGAAGGAAAGAGCTCCTCGTCCTTGCCGTCTGCTTCACGGCTTTCCTCCTGGGAATTCCCCACGTCATGCAGGTGCGGGCTCGCCGGCCACGCCCACTCGCGCCGATCGCGAGCTTTCGCACCTGGAAGAGGTGTCAGAGGGGCCAGCAGGGGGCGCTCACCCTGTGGTCCTAATGCCCCAGTATATTGATGAGGACACAATACTGTAAAAGGGCACCGTCCTTTGGATGAGATACAAAACCGAAGTCCTGACTCTCTGTGGTCATTAAAATCCCAGGGTGTTTCTCACAAAGCGTCGGGATGTTAACCCAGGAGTCTTGGCCAAATTTCCCCCGGCCTTTACCAGTCCTGGCCTCCTCCCCACTGAGAGCTGGAGTGTGGTGAGCGTACTGGTGCACTATGGCTGGTGGTACAGGGGAGTCCCAATTACCTGTAGAGCGCTTTGAGTAGACTGTCCAGAAAAGCGCTATTAAAATGTGAGAAATTATTATTATTATTATTATTAAAAATACCTGCATGCAGAACACAGCACATTCCCAGGCATGAAATATTACAATAACACTTTTTTTTTTTGACAGGGGGGCATTTATATTTTCCAGTTAATGGACCACTACACTGCCATAGTGTCTATCATGTTTCTTGCCTTTTTTGAAGTGGTTGCAATTTGCTGGATATATGGTAAGTACGCACGCCCACAAAGTGTTTGCACGAATGACCACGGTAGTCTTGGCTTTTAGTTTAAGGATCGCCCTACATCAACAACTTCTAACTCTTGTAAACTGTGACTATTTTTCTTATCTAAAAAAAATATTGACAAATTCCTAATGCAAGAAATGGCTAATAAAGTGATCTTATCTTTATCTACTCTTGACTGGTTAGGTTTTTGATGGCAGAATGATAGCTCTAACCTACTTAATTTAACTTTACAAATGTTTGCCTTTCATTGTTCCAAAACCTTAATCTATAGATGATTCCACATTTTTAATAAAAACTCTTGATTTGAAGCTCTCCAGAATCAAGGTTAGAGATACTCCCGTTTGATTTTACATTATGTATTCTAGGAATTTTAATGATCTTTTCTCTCTTTAAGGTGTCCTCAAATTCTATTTGTGATATTTGCATCAATGGACAGGGTCTATACAATACAGTGCTTAACTGTATTCAGAATTTTAACTGATAGAACAGCGTTGCAGATCTTTTTTATTCATTGCATTGTTTTTTTTTCTTTTTTTTACTATCAAAAAGGAGTGAGACGTCTTTCCAGCAATGTAGAGGAGATGACTGGACACAAACCAAACTGGTTTTTCACTGGCTGTTGGACGGTTGTATCCCCTTTGCTGGTCACGGTATGTCAAGAAAATGGAGAATGATAAAATTTCAGACACGTACCCTAATCCTGTGTGTAACCTGCGTCCCCCGTGTGACCACGCGGAGCTGTTTAATTCAAAACCTTGCAAGACCCCTTAAAGAGCGCGCTGGCTGAGAGACCCTACATCAGACCTTGTTAGTGGATTGCCGATTTCTGATCTCATTTGCAGGGATGTCTTTTTTTTTAAACTGATTTGTTTAAGTTGTAGAAGGTCAAACCCTGTCCTAGCATTCATCGGCAGCACAGGGAGATGTGAGATTCCTAGATCAGATGTTACAGTTTGATATAACACTAATAACCACTTTTTCCACCTTTTATAAAACCGGAAACTGAGAAAAAAAATATGCCCGGCACGTTTCAATATCCAACTCTTGTATTTTATTAGTGCAGAACATTTAGGTTAATTGCAGAAAACTACAGGGCGGCACGGTGGCTTTGTCACAGCCCTGGGGTGCTATCTGTGGGGAGTTTGTATGTTCTTCCTAGATACCCCCCCAGTAGTCCAGAAACATACTGGTTGGCTCATCAGCTTCTGGGAAAGCTGGCCCTGGTGTGTTTGCGTCTGTGTGTGCCCTGCGATGGACTGGCATCCCATCCAGGCTGTACCCCACCTTGCTGGGATAGACTCTGGCTCCCCGGCCACCCTGAACTGGATGAAGTGGTAAGAAAACAGGTGGATGGATGGATGACAACATGAGTGATTTTCCCCTGTTCGTCATCCCAGGTCATCCTGGTGTTTGCGGTCATTCAGTTCAAACCCGCCCGCTACACGGACTACGTCTACCCTGCCTGGGCTCAGGGGCTTGGCTGGGTTATCGCCATGGCTTCCATAATCTGGATCCCCCTGGGAGCGCTCCACACTCTCTGGATTCTCCCGGGCTCCTTCACACAGGTACCACAGCCCCTCTATGACAAGCACGCATTCCACATAGAGCCTCTTCTAACGCCAGAGGATTGTCACAGCTCAGCCCTGGAGGACTCATTGCCGGAAAGCATCCTCCGATCTCAAGAGGAACATGCTGCATCTCTTGACTGTACTTCATTTTAAAATACTTATCGAAGCAGATGGCAAGGAACATGTTCAGCATTCAACAGGACCAAATGCCTTTAAATTTATTATGCTTTTAACTAATTCAAAGCATGCAATATTACACATACGTTATATGAATTGCCAGCAGCACACTTCAGAGTCCCCTTTTATTCAGAAATGCAAGAAACCTGCACCGAACCGCGTCCTCTAAGAGTCTTAGGGGTGTATATCCAGTTATTTCCACAGGGTGGCGCTGTTCAATTATATTTGTTCACATCCTGAACTGTTGACCATGAAACAGCTATCAACGTACTGTACTTCCAATGTGAATCTTTGCCGATTTAGTTTTTTCATTTTACACCTTTGTGAAATCATGTTTGCTAGTTTTCATTGCTCACCTTTTATCTTTTACCTTTCTTCCTTAGCAATGGCAAGAAAAGCCCTTCACAGCACGTACTACTAATAGGAGTGTTAAACCTTTGCAGGTCTCTTCCTCTGTCGCGTGTATCCCTGATCCTGTCATGCAGGAGTGTGGGGAAGTTAAGAGAATTGTATTTATCAAAAGAATGTTGCAGAAAATAGTACCAAAAAATGTAAAGAGTGTTATAATAAGATTGGAGATATTGATGGTATTTCCCAGTGACTGGTTATCTCTGGTCTGAATGCGTCCCCTTCTCTGTTTTGTCTTGTAGAGATTACGACAATCCCTTACCCCCTATGGCCTCGATAACCTTTCAAAGAGACCCCGTTATGGAGACAGCCCAGACATTGCGATCGTCTCTGCTTCCTTCTGAGCGGCAGGGAGGTCTTCCATGCAGACCAGAGTCGGAGCCTTGCACTGTGGAGAGTATGGACGAGCTGCAACTAGTAAAAAATGCCTTGCCTCAAACATGTGGTTTTCTCAAATATTCTGAGGATGGATGTCTCTGTCAGTATATATGATTTGGGGAAAAAACGTATCTGCAATAACAAAAAAGCGTCTGGGCTTGGGATCAACAGGTTCACCAAAAAATAAAAGCAAGATGTTAGTGAAGTGACACTGCCCATCTTGTCACAGCATGGGTCTGGGTCTGAATAATTCCACTTCTGTATTCCAGGAGAGCGCCGGGCTCTCTCTCAGGGCTGAGAGCAGCTGGCTCTGGGGATAAAAATCTGTGCTGGGTGGTGTCTGTACTGGCGCATGACAATGCATCACCACCGAGCTTTCTGAAAAAAAAAACTCCCATCAGAAGGATTTGGTGTGAAAACAATTAAGAAGAAAGACTCATTTTGCCTCAGATATGGCAGAAGTGTTCTGTCTTCTGTACTCGTCAGCAAATCACCATCACAATCACTCCTTTCACAGCAGTTAACAAAGAAACTTTATTGAGGCTAGCAGCACAAGTCATGCTTGTTACAGTAAGTTTCACAGGTTTTTCATGTGAATAAGAAAGTTCCTTATGATATTGTATGAATCAGGGTCATACTTTTTTTCTGAATAATAGCCTATTCCACATAGTAATGGCATAGCTTTTTTCAAGACAATAACAATCTATAACATTTCGTCATTCAATATGTGTCTGCCAAGAGAGAATTCGGCCATCAGCTCACACACACTAAAAGACATTAAATAAATGCAGGGGGGAAACTTATTTGAGAACCTGTCAAGTCCAGTTAAAGACGCACCTACAGCCATGTTGTTTAACAGCACGTTTCCTATGAAGGCATCTCTGAAATACATATATAGTTTTTAAAAGTGAAACGTAACTGGAAACTCGACAACAGGGGTATTATGCTCTAAGCGCAACTTGAATAAAAACTTTTGTGACGCTGTAGTAAATATTTATATTGTTGGGAAAACAAGTAAACTGTTCCCACAAGACAGTGGTTTCTTTGAGTCTCTGAATATCAGGAAAAGCAGAGATTTCACTCCTACCTTAATGCTGCTAAAGCTCCCTCCAGCTCTATGATGACTTTATTATACAGGCACTTGGGAATACGACATATTTTAAAGAATGTGTACCACATTACACAGCGATATTCCCTGGGGCAAAACACAGTTAATTAAAAAGCCGTACGGAAAATAGCCATCTAATTTGATATCGCTAATTGCGTGACCTGGAGTCATGCAGGCCAACTCCCCAGACCCGCCCACCTGTAGGCCAATCAGCTTTAACAACGTCACAGCTCACGCACTCATGAGGGTCGGTGCTGATTGGACGAGAGGCGTTTCCTACTTGTCTACCTGCGGACGGACAGCCCCCGTGTTCGAATCCCACCCCACCCTCGGCAGCGCTCAGCTAATAGTGCGCCGCCTGCTGGGGAAACCCGGTCACGGCCTTGTAAATTATTACAAATTTATACACCTGAAGAAGGCTCCACGGCCGAAACGTTGTGTTCTCTTTCTTTTTTTTTTCAGCATGGAATAAACCTATTGCAAATTTATACACGTATGTGGAATAGAAGTCTACATTGGAGCTAACGATGTCTCAGGGAAAGTGTCATTTCTAAATATATCAGATGCTTCGAAAAGGCCCAATGTGGAATTTGCTGCTCTACATTTAATACATTTAATATAAATACCACCGGTATCGAACAATAAAAGCAAATATAGCTCTTTAAGTTTACTGGGTAGTGCTCACAAATAAATGTCATTAATAGCGTCCAATAGAGGGAGATGAAAGACTTCTTCAAGAGATGTTTAATGAAATACTGTAGCTGTGGCCTGACGTTAGTATTGAGGCAGCTGGACAGAGCAGGCCAGGGTTCTCCCGTAACAGCGAGGACTTGGAAAGAAGGAAAAACTGCAGACACCGGAAAAACGGTGTCTGCATGTTTCGTCATACCCACCGTGATTTATACTCTGCTGGACGCAAGACATGAGGGTTAATCCTTTCCCTCTCGTTTTTTTTTAAATGTCAATGAACACTCAAACACCGTTCTGGACACGTTTTTTTTTCCGATTCTGATTATATTAATCAATTATCAGATAATTAGCAGAGGCTAATCCAATGGACCCAAGCGCAGTGAGAATCATGCAGAAGGACAGAGCACACACATTTATATCAAGTGGGTAGGCTCCACAGCCGAAACGTTGTGTTTCTTTTGTACTCTTTTCAGCATGGAATAAACCTTTCCTTGTTCCTTTACAATTATATAAACTTAACTCCAGTTACCGGTACTGCGTACTAAATAGAAGACCAAACTATAACCCACATTTATTGTGATGCTATATTAATAAGACCCATCACATGAACCCGATATGTTAGGCAGTTATTTAAGGATGACGAAAATATTTGTTCCAGTCCAAATAGCATCTACAAGAGCAGTATTATATCAAGAACAACTTTTATATAAAATGAATATTCCTCTGCTGGAGCAACGGACACGTTTCTTAGCAAAGTAGGCTCTTGAGTATCACAATTCTTAACACATAACGCTGAAAATAAATCGGGCCTCTTCACCAGTCACAGTCCTTGCTGGAGAATATGTGACGTCTGTCTCTGGCAGCCTAGTGCACGTCATCGCCATGATCAAGAATATAACATTTCGAAATCCGATCCTTTTTCCTAAAGGGAGGCGAACAAGAAACAGAATTGTCTTTTTCCCCCCCATCTGGTGGAGCAAAAGCAGCAGGTGCCGTCTTTAACTCGCGTTCACTTTAGAGAATAATTTTGTTTTCAGAGACTGAAACGTTAAAAGAAAAAGAGACTCACAGGTCAAATCTGATTGTCACTGCGGATTCATGAACTTCTGGCGAGATCACGCTTGAAGTACAAGATAATTTCACTTACTGACCGGGTAATCGCACAACAGTGAACACGCACACATCACAGTCACTGATTTCGCAAAAACAAAACATATCACCGTGTACTTACCTGTCCCTGAGAAAGCGCTCCAGGTTGCTGTGCAAGTTTCCGATCCCATGTTATTGCACGTCTTTCGATGAGGCTACCGAAAGTCACCTCCGCTGAAGTTCCTTCTGTTCACGCTTGGATCTCGTAAGCTACTCACCCACCTGGCTCTGGAGCTAATTCCCTCTGGTAAACATTCATTCCAGTTAGAAACTCCAGGCACTGAAGGTCAAATGGGTCAATCCAGACTAGTGCGGAGCCCAGCTCCTGTCTTTGGGCTGGAGGTCTCGGTTCCAGTTCTTCCAGAGATCATCTGAACTAAATGGACCCGTGAAAACCGGCTTCTAGAGGGGGTTAAAATGATCGTGGGCTACTCTCGGAATAGAAATCTCGAAAAGTCGGATCGCGACGACAGAAAGAAAGGACAGGCGTTAACAACGAGGCAATAAAAAACAATTTATTGAGAATAACTATCATTACAATCCACACGCCAACGAAGAGTAGTACTTTTAATCATACACGTGCCCACGACTGGGTTAGAAACGGCGTCTGAAACCAGACCTTAGTGTTTTGTTTTAGACGAAACGGAGCCAAAGTGCAAACCGGTTTGTCTTATCACAAGGACGATCTGCCGAGGTTGTCTTGATATAAAATATTTGGTTAAGACGCGTTTCCCCCCCATCTTTTATTGACAGCTAAGGGGAATGTGACCGTCATAGGAATCTGTCATATCTGTTTTACTGGTGACTGGAAAGGCCCTATTGTAGCGATTATGGTCTGTTAAAACAAATACTAGTGGATTAAACCCCTATCACTAATGTAAGAATTAGATCTAGCTACAATCGATGCTCTGATGTTCAGCAAAAAACAAAATAAGTGTGAATACTAAATCAGAATCTGTTTTTATTTTTCTTAAAAAAACAAAATGTGCAGTAGGACCTAAAACATGGAAAAAGGGAAGAGAAAAACTAGCATCTGTATTTGACGGTATGATTTTCACTGTAATGATGACCGTGCATAACCTCTTGCGGTAGGAGTAACACCAATTTGTTTTTTTTTTTAAAGGACGAAAAATACACCAACACTGACATATTTTATTCCTGCAGCATTCTGAATCATACTGTACTGGTACATCCTTTTCAAACCAGCGAGGGCCTGTTCCCCAGTAGGCAAAGACAACCAGTTTCTGCGTCTCCCAGCTTGATCCTTCCATCCTGTTAAACGGGTTTTGTCCAGCAGAGGTCGCTCGGGAGTAACCTAGGCTGCCGGGCCTGTCTGCTGTGCCAGCTGCTCCCTCTTCGGTTGCTATGACACCTGCTCTACAGGCCTCATCTGAATGTCTCCGATCTAGACTCGGGGGCGAGAGAAGAGAAAGACAAAAAAGATGGACGGGATTTTAATGTTTCACCCGAGAAAGATTAAGAACAATAACAAAATATTTAAAAAATGTATCACTGCAATCTGCAACGCAGAAGTAGAGTACTACATTTTCGGATATAATATGTGGATACTCTGAGCCTCAAACCAAAAACGAGTGAGATATGGAGGGTTTGGAGACACCTGCAGTATAGAAACTGTTACCTGCAGTAAGATGTTGTCGTAAGGAAGTAACCTTTAAAAGCTGACCACTGTAAATCTGTGTACCATCCTTCCAAATAAATAAGGCTCCTGAAGGACACTTAGAAATAAAATAGATTTCTTTACACCTCTCTACTGTATGTTTACAATGATACCGCTGTTTCACCGTACTGTACTTCAGTCTCAATTCACTATGGTGTACCACAGTAAACTTCATTAAGGAACTGCACTCTTGGTGGTGTCAAAGCAGAAATACATAGTCCGTTTTGGGTTTTTAAAAACTACAGAAATCTGGGAAGAGGGAAGAGTGTCAGAAAAGAGTGAGAAACTGTACATACCTGTACGTGAGGAGGGGTGCTTAGGACAAAGGTAATGGCACTGGCTATATCTTCTGCTTTTAGACACTGAGGAGGAAAAACAAAATATGGAGAATCCCGAATCCCCAGCAGATCACAAGCTCCAATGCTTTCCCTTTGAAAAACCTCCCGGTCTCTGTGGGAACAGAGGTAACGGAATCTCTGGAGTGGGGTTCACCATGACCTGTGACCCCCGGTTAACATCGTTGGCAAAGAAGACTTGGAAATCAGCACACAATGCTTATTAGAAGGGGATGCAATGTGTCAACAGTGACCATGAAGCGGATCTGTTCTGCACTCCATCAGTCATCTTCAGGAGCAGGAGCAGGGATGGGCTAGTAAAGGAGACGAGTACTTGAAAGAATTCAAAATATGCCTCGGGAGTAAAGAACACTAAGCCTGGTGACGCAAACGTCAGCTGCTATGTGCGCAAGAGTTATTGCCAGACAGGTGCTGACCTGAACACCTCATTTTGCAAAAGCTGCAAATACATTGTAAATTTAAATGTAGGAAAATGTGTGTTCAGTGAAGCCATTTTTTACAGAATAAATGTTCTGATTCACATTTGTGACCCCGCCACCCACACCAAAGATTCATTCAATTGTATGCCAAGTTTCTATCCTGTGGTGACTTTCTGAAAGCAGCTTACCTCAAAGCCAGGTCTAAATGCATGCTTCTGGTAATCATGCGCTGGATTGAATTATTGTTCTGAACTCACACCAATATGCAAAATAAATAGGACTCTTAAGAAATGCAAGAGAACAATCGCTCTTTCTTCTTATTTAAAGAGCAGTATTAAAACAGCTTGAAAAAATAAGGACAGGATCAACAACTAAGCACATGAATGCAATAAATAATACTGTCATTCTGTGAATCTGCATTGAAGTTTTCTTAAATCAGACTGTTTCTTTTAGCCTGTGTAGCAATGTTGTTAGGCCAGTCCATCTGTATTTAATTTCTCTCAGGCCTTGCAGTTTGCGGACATTGCGGTTCACTAAGACACAGCTGTTTTAGTCACTGATTCATTGCATTGAGTACAAATTCTAGTAAAAATCAAGAAATACTCCACCACCCAAAAACAGGGTCATAGCCAATTTGTAGCAGTTTTAAATAAGCTACTCTGGCATGTTGCTGAAGCATGTTGGCCTCTTTCAGGAATCTGGATGACTTAGCTATCAAACTAAATAGACTGGCTGTATGGCCTCTTCTCATTTGTAAGCCTTCTTGTGTTCTTAAACTTATGCTAGAGGATGCACCTCTTAACGAAGCCTATTGCAAAGCTGCCTTTTCCCTACAGCTTTGCACTGTGGCAAATGAATGGTTATTTCGGCTTTTCTGTCCAAGATCCAGACACAAGGGAAATACAGCTTTGCAAGGAAAGGCTGTCTCACCTTTATGCTTTCATATGTTGCTGCAGCCTTTTCTGGGTCGCTGTTGTGAAGCCGGAAGGCGAATTCCGTTTCCACTAGGCCGGGAGATATACACTGTAAGAAAAGTGAGAATAGATAGGGCATTCCACAGGAAACTGGAACACACGAGGAAGAAAAGTCAATAGAACACGCGCTTCTGAACGCATTACCTCCAGGGCTCAGCTGACAGAATGGTTAAAGCTAAAGTACTGACAATCTCTGCAAGACAGTTGTCCTATAGGTACAAAATTATTTACATAAAATACAGCATGCAGAGCAGTCCCTGCAGTACCTTTGTGAAACACTTACCAGCATCTTACACATCTTTGTGATGTACTGTAGGCAGCTTTTGAGGCAACATGTTAAACAGGAGAAAAAACACAAATCCGTATGGGCATGGACTGATGAAACAGGCTTTGTGTTGGAAAAACAACCCATGGCTCAAGACTGACCTAAAACAAAATGACCTTTTTCTTCCCTGTGGCTTTTCGTCCTGTCACATGCAGAGTCACAGATTCCGTTTAAAACTGAGAACAGGGAAAACGTCTTTACACAAAGAGCGGCGGGAGTGTGTAACATGCTGCCCAGCCATGTTGTTGAAGCTGCCAATTCATCATGATAACTAGACCAAAGAAACTAGATGGGCCGCATGGCCTCTTCTCTTCTTTGTAATCTGTCTTATATTTACAGGCCTTTCTGGTGTTCTGATTCCGAACTAGCAGCTCAACAAGTGCAACTGGTTGTGTTGTTTAATACACACCACAGGTTAGGGTGTGATGTGTGTCTTACCGTGACCTTTATGTGGGTTTTGGCTTCTCGCAGTTCCTGTCGCAGGCCTTCGGTCAGCGCGGTCACTGCGTACTTAGTTGCGGAGTAGAAATGCACCCCAGAGGCCGGCAGCACCCGGTGTCCACTCATGCTGAAGGCAAGGCAAGCACAGGCAGAGAGCAGCGGGGCAAGAGTTAGAAACTACCACGACACCACTGTCACAAAGCTAAGACAAAAGAAAAAGATGAAATAAAAAGTATATATACATACCAACACTACAGGACGGGTAATCAATGTGTCAATGGAAATTATCCGTGACTTATGGGATGATAAGTAGATTGACGAAAGGCAAAAATCAATCACAAAACAGAAATTTTAAAGTGGGGAAAAAAATCAGGGAGCGGGTGGGGACAGGGTGGGGGGTTGTCGTATCGTCCTCTCCACGACGGGAACGGTTTCCATTTTGTCGGATTTAATTTTTAACACGCCTCCTCTCTCTCTGTCCCCTGGGTTGCCTGGCATTTTGTTTGTCCTTATTGATCATTAGTGCCGAGATTTTCCATGCACATCACTGCACTCAGGGTTAGCTTAAGAAATGACAAGAGGTCAAGGTCCTAGAAACAAGATGATGCCAAACATGCAGCCTGGCTAGAAAGTACAGACATGTTAGTGAAATGAACTCTGATGCTTCATTTGACATGCTTTACAGATGCACGTACAGTGAAAACAAGGACGATCATATGTGCAATTAGCATTTGCTTCATAATAAGTATGGTCACAGAGCTAGGTTCACAGAAACAAATGGATGATTATAGAAGGATTATAGTACATAAGTAATACATATCCACACATAATTTGCACATATCCGCAAAAATATACACACACATATTCAGAATGAATTTTAATTCGTGACTGCATGCTCGTAAAAGATAACATAACCCTGAAATTAGTTCATTGAGAGATAAATACACATACACACATAGTCACTCAGATCTGATAAAGCCAGATTTGCTCCAGCACAGGGTGAAATAGCCGCACGCCGTATCTGATTACTGTGGGCATCACTTACTTAGAAAGATCTCATGATACGCAGAACAGAACAACCCATTCCACTGTCTATTATTGTGTAAGAACATAAAGGGAAACTGTCTGCAAAACCCACAAGACACCAGTATGGACTGAAGGTAAATACTTTGCTGGGTAATCTTGCCTGTGGGAGAGCTCACCTAACTTAACCAGTACCCTCAGCCGCAGAGCCAGCACGAGAGCCTAGGGTTGCCATTTCATCCCGTGACATTCTGAAGAAACTGCGCTCTTGGAGAAATTGTGACAGAAACAAGGGTTTGCTATAACCTTTCATACTGGAAACCGTGGAGAGAAACTCTGGAAGGGAAAGCTAAATTAAGTCTAATGGACCCACATAATTATATCGCTCCATTCCAAGAATGTGCTTTGATTAAAAACTGCGTTTATAGTACAGGGATGAATGCCTGAAAGACAATAGATCCCTGTAAGAAAGATTAAAAGAGCATTCTGAGTAACTACAATTTGGGGAGCTGGAATTTGCTTTTATGACACTGCAAGTACAGCAGAAAACTGATTCCCACTCTAATTAGCCCCAGATTCAAATGTTTGTTTTGGTCACATTTTTGTTGCAAAACGTTAGTGTTCTCAATAGGACACTAAAAAGCGTCAGTAGAGAAAAAATGAGCCCAATAATACCAGTACAATTATTTGGATTGGTAGCTATTGCAAAGTATGGAAAACAATGATCTTCATTTCATTCTGCATTCGTTTTCGCGTAACCTTTGGCCTGCAGGTCCTATATCTTATTAAAACATTACCACTTTATCCCCTGTCCATTCTTCCTCACCCATGGGATGAACTGCTGCAGATGTAAATGACTCCTACATCATGCTATGTCTACACAGTGCTCATGAATCAGAATGTTTACCCCCCGCATTAAACCTTACCAAGATGTGCTTCATTTCACTGCAGCTCATTTACGACCTGGTACTCTGGACGGATCGAGTTTTATGACAGCTCTAATTAGTGTGGTTGATCAGCATTCTATCGCGTCACAATTCTTACAATTCATTATTTCAAAAGCATTGTGTGGTACATGGATCTGGATTAAGAGGATACTGCTGGATTCTGGGATATCAGCATTGCCACCTTGCAAACATCAAACGCACACAAATACAAATCTGCACTCTCCCCTCAACAGACAGGTGAAAGGAAACTCAATGTGCTGGAAATCAAGACCAAATTACTTTCATGAATCATGGCTTCAGCTTTGTATATGGAACGATATTGCGTTCTGAACTCTGACCGGCTTTTATTTCATTAGTGCGCCACTCACAACCACAGACAGATTATTCAGGCCAGTGACTGCAGCACAGGGAGGAAGAATAAATGTGAATTTCCAAGACATCGACAATAAAAGATGGGACAGCGGGATACTGAAAGGCACCTATTTGGAATGTGGGAGGCCGAGGAAAAAGAGTGAAGGGTGGCTGGTGGGTTGTGTTCTGCCAGGCGTGGGTGTCTGACAGAGTCGTGTTAATATGAAACTCTTTTGCTGCCATCTCTAAATTCAAATTGCAGATGTCCCCCTCCCCCATCTCACACTTTGACACAGCAGAAACATCTGGCACGAGCTGTCAAGCCCCTTGATGGACAGAAACATGTCACATGCACTGGAGGCACTCAGGAAGCCATGCAGATGAGCCTACAGCCTGGGCGTCCCTACCTGTTAATGTTGATAATATGCCCATCGTCCACATTCCTTTCCTTCATGGATTGGTAGGCTTCCCTGGCACAGATGGACAAGGCAAGGACGTTAACCTAAAAGATATATTTAAAAATATAATCACTCTAGAAAAAATAAACAAAAAAACAGTCTGCACCATTCCTCCGCCCCCCCCAGATTTATTGACACAATCACGTGCGGAATACAGGAGAGAGAAAACGCTGGCTCGAGTCCAGGATTTTCCAGCCTGGTCAAAAGCACCACATCGAAAGGGAAAACAGAGCCCCCCTGCTTCTCGGGAGACAGGTACTGTATGTGTGCTCACTCATCAGCCGAACTCAGCCTCCTCGCTCCAGGCACGGGCTGATGAGGCAGGCCCTGAAGGCAACACTGGACAAAGGCACATGTCCTCCACCAGACATCCCCTTCCCGTGTGGAGTTCAGGGCAGGGAGGAGAACTTTAAGCAAGGCACTGGGACGGGGGGGTTAAAAATAAGTACAATAATGGGCGGATCAAATGTTTAAATAGCTGCACACATAGAGGATCAGACGCATCACACAGGCATATTGGGAAGTTGAGGTGTATAGTCTTTCACAGTCATCTTTCCTTTACTGCACAGAAAGGCTGAGGATATCCCAATGTTCCCCATCAGAGCATTAGATGAAAGCAGTGCTATAGTACTGTCAATGCAAAAAAAAGTTTTCACTGGCTGTTCTCCTAATTTGTATCATGTAGGCAGCGGGAATGAGGCGGATCGTCGTATTAAGCCCTTGAAAGGAAGACTGTTGCCTCTGGCGTGGGGCGGTTTGCGCTTGGCAGTGTCTTATCAGCGATTAGGGCTGGTTTTTAACAATTCGTAGCCCCATTAAATTTGTTCCCCTGCTGAGCCATTTGAGACTGGAAATGCCCTTTTCAAATTCACGTTGCATCACACATGCGTTGGTATAGCTGCCTTTTCCCACTGTCGGCACTTGACTTCTAAAACCCAGACAACAAAAGGAGTCTGTGGCTCATACTGTATATTAAAACTCCTCAACGAGCACGGGATGCCTCCTAAAAAGCAAACAGGAATGATAGAAAATAGGAGTTGATTAGGGTAACACCATACCAATGGATTCTCTTTATGGCTGTTAATGACGGCACTGTCTGTCAATGCCCCTATCTGAACTTCCTCTTTCCTGTCCTGTTATTGATGTTTTGGATAAAATAGGCCCAAACAGTCTCCCATCACTGTTTTGAAATGTATATATAAAACATCACCAAGAAAAAAATGTGAGCAGCAAATATGTTTTTTATAGTGGCTTCCACACATATTATAGTGCAGAACAGTACATACAGTATGATAGTGACGGTGTATGTCCACGTACTGTTTAATAGATGCTATTCAAAACAGAGTACAGGAACCTGGACATCTGTAAGCTTCCATCCTGGAGCATAATAGACCAGGTCCATGATAGACCTATCGAAAAAAACTAGTAAAAGCCAAAATGATTTTGCTAAAAAAGTTCAATACGTGCCCAGATTTAACGTCTGAGGAAAATCTGGATTACAGAAAAATTCTTCCTAGGACTGTTGTTTGTTACAGAGTAACTGAACTACTACAGGTACTGTATATGAGCGTGTGAGCTGGGATTGAACTCCAGAGACACTTTTTTAAGCCTTTACAATATTATATTTCGTGCCCAAAACTCTTCAGATCTCTCCATTATTATTCCATAAAGTCAACAAGTATAGTTCTGTCTTTTAGCTTCTTTGTGTAATTAATTCACAGTTTTCTTCGGCAAGGTTAGATAACTCCCAAGGGAAGCCAGTCCTTATCTCTTAAAAAGACATACAACCACTAAATAAAGGTCCTTTTGAGTTCCACATTCAGACACTGAGTACAGATGCTGTGTTGTACTTGTACACACTGACTAAAAACTCAGTTGTTCCAGAGATAAGATATAACAGCTGTAAAGATAACAGACACAGAATGGGGTGGAGCCCAGCAAGCAAATCATGAAGACAAGGCTTTGTGGTTATCTTTCTTTTCTTGTCCTGATAGCAGCAGTTTGGCCCTATTGAGTGAAGCTGTTGGCAGATACCAGGCAGGAAACGTCATGGGCATCATGTGCCTTCGTGGAGTTTCACAGATCTTTGATCAGTTACGAAATGGGGTTTCTTCAACAACTCATCCCTCCAGCCTTTCTCCCTGGCCAACACGCACAGAGCCGCTGGTAGCTGGCTACCACTGTGTCGAAAACTCACAGATACCCGCTATCATGGAGTTAATCTCTAGAAGGTTGCACAATATCAATTAGCTTCCCCTCAAGAACAGCACAGAAGTCAACAAAAGGCTAGATTCCAGGCAACATTGTTTGTGTTGACGCTGGCAACACTGAGACATTGGTGAAGGGGAAAAGGTCACCTAAAACTGATTTATGAACAGAAACCAGTGTTAGGTTTGACTGTCTAAAACAGTCACACACACATTTTGCAGGTTTGGTTTACTATATCTTATTCATCCACCCATTTCCTAACCCCTTTATCCATTTCAGAGTCAGGGGGGAGCCAGAGCCTATCCCAGTAAGCAACTGGCACAAGGCAGGATACACCCTGGATGGGATGCCAGTCCTTCATAGGGCACACACGCCAGGACAGATTTTCCCAGAAGGCAAATAACTTACAAGCATGTCTTTGGACTGTGGGAGGAAACCAGAGCACTCAGAGAAAACCAATGCACACAGAAGGAGAACATACAAACTCCACACAGACAGCCCCCCCCCAGCAACTGAACCCGGGGTCCCAGCACTGCGAGGCAGCAATGTTCACCACTCTGGCACTGTGCCACTCATGTCAATGTCAGTGATTGCACACGAGCTGTTCTTATCATTGCCTCAGCAGGATAGAGGTCTTGCATTGATTTTCTCAGCCATGAACTAACTGAAAAGCCCATTTTTACCAGTCTGCCAAACAAACAGGCCAATGAACAAACTGGCACGACAGAAGCCGGAGACGCGCCTGGCCCTGCAGGAGCTGGGTACACAAGCCCCGGTTCGGAAGTGTGAGTTTCTGACCTCCGGACACTTGGGATTGCACTGGCTTTGACAAGGACCCATTGGAGTTTGGGGCCAGGCCCTCCACATTCCCTTGAGTGTCAATTGCTTTTCTAATGTTTAAAAAAAAACAAGGACTTGGACAACTGCCTCGATCAGAAAGCTGAGGACAGTAACAACACTGTCCCCTGTCTTCGTAAAGATCCTCTCACGCAGCCAGAGCAACTCCAGGTCCTGCAGGGATTATATCCTGTGCTTTGTGCTCCCCACGAACACCAAAGGCCAAAGCTGTTCTGTGCCTTTTCGTGAACAAGCTCAAACTGGACGCACAGCCTTGTCCTCATTGCGGCAGGTGTATATCTGACCCAAGTTCAAATACATGAGTATCCATGAAAAGCAATCCATTAAAAGGCAAACAGCATGATTTATCAACTCATTGGCCTGTTTTCTGCACAGCCTTGTATGGGAGCCACTTAACTTTTAAATGCAGCCTGTAGCTCAGCTGGAAACTGAATCCAGTCATACATAATGACAAGATCTTAATTATATAAACTGCGAAACACCATAAGGTAAAAAACAACACCTCAGCTTATATCCTCTTCAGGGATACATATTTGTCACTGGGTTACTACTGCTGAGGCAGGAATAGTAACTTTCCACTCCCTGTCACAAATAAAGATCCCAGTCGCTGGGGGTTCACAATCACCGCAATTTACCAGAACTATTTCAGTGGGGCTTGCTGATAGAAAAACAAAACAGTAACCGTAATTGCAAGTGGAAATGAACAAAAAAGAGAGATCTTTTTCATCTGCTGCCGAACCGAGAGCTAAAGAGGGTTTTTCACTAGGAGCAGAGTAAACAGGGCCTTTTGTCTGCCAACAGCACATGAAAAGGATCTCTGGGCTTCCTGGCCCGTTTTTTCTCGGTTCTTTAAAATACTTTTTTCTGCTGCTGTTTCAAAGACCCACTGCAGTCCAAATCCACTCTGGGCACTGGCTGATAATTGACACTGACAGCTTGGTGGTTACTACAGCAGTCAGACACGAACACAACTAAGCTACACTGAAAGTCTCAAGCTACCATTGATTGATGTCCCAGGAGGACACGACCACATTCAAAGATTGTTTTCCTCTATACCAAGCACCTGCATTCTGAGTGGCCATGCTCGGTTTTACCCTGTTTGTGTTATGAACCCTTTTAAAAAGAAAGAGCTTATTCATTCAAAAAAAGAATCTCATTAGGCCAAATCCTGAGAGATTCCAGGCAAACAGTATTCGCACAACATGACCAATCAAAAGGGGCAAAATTTGCCTTTTACAAGAGGGGTGGGTCAGGGTCAGGGGTGACTATGGCTTTAAAGATAATGGAACAGTTTTTACCTCCTGGAGGGGAGGCATCGTTTCCTATCTCTCATTACTCAATTCTGCAGTTTAGACTGTATCTGTCAATGATTTCGAAACATCCAGCTACACTGTTGAATGGAAGTCACATGGTGTTACTATAATTAAACAAGGCAGGGAGCACAGAATGTATCCAACAAGCTTAACGTTAACTGAATGTTACTATTACATCATCAGGGTCTTGACATCAGCTGGTCAGCGCTAAAGCATTAAGCTAGAGCAGTGGTCTGAGAGACTAGCTTACACAAGTCATTTCAGTCGCACTACAGGACACGAAAGGGCTCTATTTATGCAAAGATAATTTTGACCCTGTGAAATGCTGCCATGTCCTTTCCTGACGTCTACAAAATAATGGGCAATTTCTTTTTAAAGAATGGTTTTTCTATAAATAGTAATGGCTGAAACTAAAGTATGTGCATTAGTAAACACTTGACAGGTTCCTACAACTATCTTGCAGTGCTTGTATTGTTTACTCTGTGGTGCCATTAGCTCCTATAAAACAGATAAGAACAAAAATAAATTTGACAGAACAAAGGCCCTGAACGCTGCTGGTGGTGTGAAGCCTTCATGTGCTCCAGACTACAGGTTAAAACTAAACTGCTGTATAAGAGGAAAACAAGGTCAGTGTGCAGATTAGACGTGCTAAAAATACTGCAGTACATATTCATTGCAGAAACCATGGCAACAGATGGAGGACAGAAGAAATGTACAGCTGAAGTGATGTGCTTGCAGCAGCTTCAATGGCCCAGGCCCGTGGATCACACACTGTGTGACAACAACTTCTTCTTGAGATATTAAACCCCACAAGTGGGCTTCTATGCTGAACCGGGCCTGTTTGTCCCCAGCAGAGAGGCTGTTTGTTTGTTCCACATGGCCTCTCCTACTCTAGGGGTGCAAACGGGGGGGATGTTGGGGGTGAAATTTGAATGCAGGGGTTTCCCAACGTTTTCTTCCCACCCCTTGTTTTTCACACAAATGGGCCGATCCCCATCGCATTTTTTTAGACACACCGCTCAGCACATTTAGCAAAATAACATTACCCACAAATGTAATTTTATAGACACAACATTCCCTTTTTAAAGTAAGGGATCTCTGGATCTTTTCCATCTAGTAGTGTGCTCTAATAATGTACTCTGAGTGAACAGAGACGGAAGTTAGCACATTCTGAAGTGCCAGTAGAATATTTCTCACTAATTAAGCACACAGGGAGGATTCGCGAGATTCAGGGTCCAGCAGCTCAAAACGACAGTAATTAAGCTTCATGCAGAGTTCCAAATTTATATTTTGGCGATTACAGCTGCTAAGCATTTGTTAACAAAGGACTACAAAGCACTGATTCTAGGATAATGGAGCAAAGGGTAGCTTAACTATTAGAAAAACCTTGATTTCTAATCTTCCTCCTGAAATAATCAATTAAACCATGAGCTCTTCTCAGCTTGATCTCCTTTGAGCCACCATAATGATGGCAAGATGGGATAAGTTCTCATTCTTTCTTATCCTAAGATCTACCCTAATTTCCCAACTGGAAAATAAAAGCACTCCCTGGGCAACAGTTGGGTACCACTCTAAAACAAGTATCAGTGCAAAAAAGCCACGGAAATATCCCAGATAACCTTCTTGTCTCTGTACTTCGCTACAGCACCCTCTCTATGCTTCAGACAGCAGCCAGGTGGGATAGAATCCAACACACTAACCTAACTCTTCAACCGTCTATTCAATTGTATTCTCAAAAAATTCTTAACAGCACTGCACGTATACGGACAACCTCCACGTAGAACTGTAGCCTTTCCCACTGATTTCTGAATCCCGATAGATTTCAGCTGCTGAAATCAGACTCCCATTGAGCAGCAGTTTGCTCCGTTTCAGCTTTTACATGGGGCATGCTCGTTCCCATTCTGTGCTGATATTTGTTTTGTTCGAAAATCCTGCACACACAGAAGCTGTGAGCTCCCCAAACCTAAACTGCTTCATTCTGCTATGCAGGAAGGGGAGATTTACTCCTTGATGAAGGAACTCCTAGGAGGGGGGGACCTGTTGATACAGACGAGTCTGCAGAGTGCAGCAGAACTGTTCGTCTTTACTCTCCGGTACCCATTTTATCTCGCTGCAGATATGCAAAGCGAAGAGCAGCATTTAAGTGTCTCTCCTGCTGTCTGGAAGTAGCTATTGCCAGGAGCTGGGCTCCTGTTCAACGACGGCTCCTCCAGTCTGGCAGTTCGGAGAGCACAGCACAGCAGGGGAGCGAGTGAAATGAGACCTGGCTTGGGAAGGACCGAAAACTTAATGTATGAATACGCAACAAGGTGGAAAGACCCCCAGATCAGCTTCTTCCAAACAAAAACCCACTGTAGGGTTTGATACAGCCGCCGAAGCGCTTAGGAGCGATGTCTGTTTGCAGCCATAAAAGAGCACTAACACGTACCACCCCCTCCTAGCACATGACTTATTGGATTTTATCAGCCAGCAGTCATGGAGGAAACACTTGTAGAGAGCAAGAGTGGCCAACGTCCAGGACAGCAAGGACTGTTTAACTATGGGTCTGGACATTTGGTGTGCCAAAGGGTAGTTGGCTTATCTATTTTTTTCTAACAGTAGCCTTGTGTACTTCTGGTGATGATTTGACAGACTTATCTTATACTGTGCAGCAAGAAATAAACATACGCATGTGCACAAAATACTGCATTCAGGAGAGTTGGCTATAATATTAAGATCCTTACACTTTAACAGCACTTTTCTGGACACTCCACTCAAAGTGCATTACGGGTAATGGGGACTCCCCTCCACCACCACCAGTGGGAGCCCCATCCGGATGACTCTAGGCTAGGGCCATGGTACTGACTGACCAAACACTCAACTATTTAAGAAGAGACTTCCAGTTAAGATGCAGTGGTCAGAATTCCTGCCTCACAGCTCTGGGGCTCTGGGTTTAATTCCGGACTTAGGGTGCTGTCTGTGTGGAGTTTGCATGTTCTCCTTGTGTTCACATGGGTGTCCTCCAGATGCTCTGGTTTCCTCCCACAGTCCAGAGACATACTTGTAGGTTAACTGGCTTCCAGGAAAACTGGCCCTGGCGTGAGTGTGTGTGTCTGTGTGTGGCCTGCGATGGGCGGGAGTCCTGTCCAGGGCGTGCCCTGCCTTGTGCCCACTGCTTGCTGGAATAGACTCCTGCCCTGCCGCTACCCTGATTGGAAGAAGAGGTTAGAAAATGGACAGAAGGATGGAACCAGTGCATCTGAAACAACAGCTCTGCTTCGTCAGGGACTGGAGTGGTTTCCAGTCCATTTCTCACGACCTGCGCCTCGTTGGACTCAACGCCAGGAGCCCCGGAAAGGAATACCCACATCCAGCATGTTCCTCCAGCCTTCGGTCTTGCCGCTGAGCAGGGGCTCGGCATGGGCGAGGCCGGCGTTGTTGATGCAGACGTCCACGCCCTGGTGCAGGGTCCTGATGGCAGAGAACATGGACAGGATCTCCTCCTGGTTGGACAGGTCGCACTTGTATGGGATGAGGGTCCCGGTGTAGCCCGCGCTCTGGCACTCTGCTGCAAGCTTCTGCAAAAACAAAAAACAGGCCAGGCTTTACTGCGGCCCTGGACGCCCCCAACACCCCAGCCTGACCCATAGATCCCAACGGCAGGAAAGGCAGGGTTCAGGAGGCGGGGATCTCCAGCACAAAGTCAAATCTTTCAAAACTCCGGGCCTGGATGGCACAGAGAGCTTGTCCTGTGCACCATGGGACTACTGCAAGGCACTGTGGGAATATGGCAAGGCTCTGCCACAAGGCACCATGGGAATATGGCAACTGTGGAACTACCACAAAGCTCTATTGAAAGGCACTAAGGGACTCTTATGGGCCAAAATGGCCAATAGATGTGAATCAAGGCATGAGGTACGAGGATGGAAGTTTTAACAATCAGCCATTCTCAGTTTGAGCAGTAATAAGGAACTAATAACTGGAGAATCCACTTTTTAAAATTAAAACAGACAAATAAAGGACTTTAAGAAGAGCATTATTGGGGAATTCACTGAGTGGCAGTTTTGCTGTCGAGAAATCTAATGTCTTCAGTGCTGTCTTGTGCACAATATTCTGCTATATATATATATTTCTGAGGGCAGACAAAATGGTTGTTAATTTTTCATTATTAATCTTTTTTTCACCTGGCTGGCTGAAGCACCACAGGTATAATTGGGTTGAAATCATGCCCTCCCCACTCACCCTAAAGGGAGAGCAGAACACAATATCAACCATATGATTCATTTCTTAAGGAGGAAAATGCCAAACTTTACGCATCTAGCTCAAGTAATCAAATAGAGTCACACCACAGTACTTTATTCAGAAATGTATCAGCTTTTATGAAAAAATGTGAAAAGCTTAGTGAAACAGCTGAGAAAGCTGTGCTTTGTTACTGTCCACAATTCTGAATCCACTTCCAGAAGCTTGCAGATCATGCTGGCTATTAAGTGCTGTTTTCTGAACTGCCTCCCCTTTCAGAAACAATATTAAAATGCTGTATACTGATTGCCTACTCTGACTCACTGGCCATGTAATTTAAACACTAGGAAGATCAAAGCACTGCAGTGTTACAAAAGATAATTTGCAATGAAGGACATAGTGGATGCAAACTATTTAAAAGTCATGTCAAAACTCAGGAACACATCAGCATGCAGGAGGTAGGAACGCAAAACGGGAGACTTGCTAATTTAAGTGTGGCTCTAATCCAGGAGACAGAGGTCATGAGGTCACTCAAATTACATTCTGCTGACAATTAGTGTGTCTCCTTTAATCATCATCTCCAAATTCCATCAAAGAAACATTCAGGAGTGCCGTTTGATTGGGGGGGGACAAAACCAATACTCACAGAACCGTGTTGAAGGGAACTACCTTTACATGAACTGGAATGTTGATACAGGGATAACCTGAAGGTTTTCTTACATCTGATGTAGTGTCACTCCCACTTCTGTCCGCTCATCATCTGAATGACTGTTCTGTAGCATGCTCTCGCCTCACCCACCTCCTTTCTTAAAATCAAGCAGCTCTTCTACAAAAAGCACAACTTTTCACTTTAATTGCACGTTCTGGCTTTAAAATCCAAGAACACCCAGTTCCCTATGGCAAGCAGAGAAAACGAAGGGAGAGAGACCAGTGAAGATCAGCTTTTTCACATAAAACAGACTTCCCAATCTACTCCGGGGGCAAGAGGCCCAATTCCGTCAGGTCTGATGCTGACAGATGTGGAGAGCTACCATCCTGGCAGGGGTGTGTCTGTCTCCTGTGTCTTTCTTGCTCTATCAGGAAATCCCTAACTTCGCACACAACAGGAGGCACTAAAAGCAGAGCAGGCGAGAGGACAGAAGAGTCCGAGAGGCCGGTGTGCCTGTATTTAAGCCAGCTTGTGCATTCCCGAGAAAGCCAGTGACCCATCTGTGCTGCGCGGTGCTCCCACACACAGCAGCTCCAGGCGCAGCGCGATCACAGTCATGTGATGTCTGGCTTGTATGGCAGCCAGACACTGGGCACGATGGCATGCCAGCTCCCGCCTGGCTCTGCAAAAAACCTCCTGGCCCTTGAGCTGCACTGAGACACTTGGGATGGCATGACGACAGCCCTGTCTGACCCTGCGGTGGCCCGGAATGAATGAGGAGGGTACCTTCTGCAGTTTTCGGATGTACAGTCTCACAGCAGCAGCTTAAAATAGCACAGCTGTCAGCAGCACGAAGAAAGTCATTAAGGACTCTTGCTGTCTCCTGCTGCTTTCACATTAGCATAAAAACAGAAAGCACTGCCTCTTGGCAGGCTAAAAGAAACGTACCCCAAGATGAATAAGAAAAAACAGATTGTTCTGGATGTCAAAGACAGACAATGCTGTACCGTGCAGAATGCAAAGACCAGTAACTGTCTCCTGGGAGTGAGGGCTGGTTCGAACCCTGAGCAGTGGAAAGAGATTATGTCCTGGAAGACATTACCAGAATTAAAGATCGAGGATTTAAAAGTAGTCAGTCACAGCTTAAAGTGAATAAATATACAACTGTCCTTAATTAAAGGATGTATTGAAAGATTGTGACAGTGTGGAAATTTTAAACTATTCAGCTATGAAAATTTAACAGAGAAGGCTCAAAATATCCTCTTAATTAATCCATCCATTTTCTAACTGCTTCATCCAATACAGCATTGCAGGAGAGCCTGAGCCTATCCCGGCAAGCAGTGGGCAAGGCAGGGTACACTCTGAACTGGACACCAGTCCCTCACAGGGCACACACACACACGCACACACTCACACCTAACGTGAAAACTCCATGCAGATAACACCTCAGGAATCAAAGCCAGGGATTCGACAGGAATTTATCCTTAGTAATGAGAGGAAATCTGATTTTGCAATGAGGGCATGTTGAGTAGGGCTTGAACAGGCAGGGAGATCAGAACGAGCCTAAAGAGTTTTTAGAGATGGGTCAACAGTCCTGTCCACAAAATGCCAGAATGTACATAGCCAGTAAGTACAGAGCCAAAAATCGAACGAGGTCTTTAAGACTGCATTAACAGCTTGTGTGCAATTACTCCCGCCACCTGACATGTTCGGAATGCAGAACAGGGAAGGCAAGCTAAATCAGATTCCTGCTCAACTGCCTCTCCACGGCTGTCACGACTGAGGACTTAACCAGGATTGGCAGAGTGGGTGTGTGTGTGAGAGAACTGGGGCGACATCAGTGTCAGCCAGAGTGCCCCTGCAGACTGGCAAATGCTAATGCAATGCTTCCCTTTTGTGGGCTAGGAAATGAACAGGAGCTTATTTATCCATCTACTCCAAAGAGGAGTACAGCTGGGAGCTGGGAATTTGCGGAAACACTCGGTTGCTTTGAAGAGACAAATCCTTTGTCACCAACTGTGCTAGTTAAGATCAGGGGCTGTCTTTCTGTGTTCTCACAGGGGACGTTTCAATAGCATTGCCTGCACTACGCTGCAGTTACTGGGCAAGCTGCACAGGAGGGAACAAGCACACAATATCAAAGCACACCCCGGATCTGCAGAAAGTAATGTGCAATTTCAGAATCCATGGATTCCAGTCTAATGAACGTAATTTCACTGTATGAATGTATCTGTTACACAGCATCGAGATCATGAGAGGCTGATTGAAGGATGTTTAGCAAAGTTCTCTCCTAGCCGTTTCCTGCAGCTAGGAAGTGTGTGAGTTTAGAGCAAAACTGTCCACATATGAGCCTGGTCTGCTACTGTATTATGCCTTTCCTTCCTAGTGGAAAGGGTTTTTGTAAACCCTATGTGTTAAAACACAAATAAATGAAATTAAAACAGAATCTTTTCTAAAATTAAGAACATTTGTACTACGACGTTTAAGTTTTGCACCAAAAAGTTCAAGTCCTTCCTAGTGTTGAAACCTTCCTGTGTTCTGAGTGCTAAACAGCATTGTTCAGGTCTTATACAACCGCCTGCCTCACATGTCTGGGAAGTAAAGTTTTCGGAAATAATTTTAGATGAAATTTTGACTTGTACTAAATAATGTCAAAGAGCTTTTCTTCAGGAGGAAGAAGTACTTTCTCTTCATCAGGCGTCATGCTAAAAAGAACACACGCCCCATTCTCACAATAACTGAAGAGATTGTAGTTTACAGCGAGCCTCACAGAGATCTATTCAAATCTCATTAACACCTCCCATTATAAGGCTAGAAACTGCTCAAGTTGCCCACACTGCTGTGAGATGTGATACTATTTGAAGTCTAAACACAATTTCCAACTAAAAAAAAATGGCAAAACCATTTGCTCTGAAAGTTTGAAGAACAGAATACTTTTGGACAAACATATTTATAGAGATTAAACTTTAATAAAGAAGGCACGAATGCTCAGAAATGATCTGGATGGACATTCTTCATTCTTTAGCTGTGCTGAAGGCTTTGCTTGCTACTCAAGGTAAAACATGCGTAACCAACACTCCTACACAGCTCTTAGCTTTGCTTTATTATAATTCTAGGTATACAAACCTTGCAGTAGATCTTCAGTTCTGATTAGTACATGATCATGTTTGATGCCGGTAATAGGCTATAAATTAATAAGACACTTTGAACTGTCATCAGGTGTCAGCTGGTGGAGGTTCAGAACATTTTACTTGAAAGGAGATTCCCCAGGTTTAAAATAATCTGTACCAGACATTCTAGTTGTCTGACCTTAAATTTCCCTTTCAACAACATTTTCTTTTCTGCATCTGGGCTCAGTTATATTAACATTGAGATAAAATGCAAGACCAGACAAACGCCTGGCAGATGACGTTCGCAGTACTCCACGCAGGTGGAAAAACCACAGAACTATAAATACAAAATGGAAAAAACACAGAGCTTGAAAAGGCTACTTAGAAAAGAGATGTAGTTGTTTATGTTGCCACATCAGAGTGACACACTGAGACAGAGGTCAGGCTCTGAGTGTCTTTGTGGCTTCTTTCAAGAAACACCTGGATGAGACCGGAGGCACTTTACTCAAAGGGAGGTAGGAGGGTGGAACAAGTTGCCCAGCCATGCTGTTTTTTCAAGAAACAGCTGGATGAGACCCCT